CAGTCAACAGAGGGTCACTTGCTCGTCTAGGTAAAAAGCCACCTACAATTCTCATGGATGTACTAGTGGATGCATAATGTTACATACTTTCACCTTTCGATTTCCCAGGGATCTCTTCTTGTTCTGCTCCGTACTCAGAAATTGCTGCTGTTTCACAGGCTGCATTTTCCAATGGAAAAGGCAAGAGAGGAGGGGCTGGAGCAATAGCACAGTGGGTAGGGCGTTTGCCTTGCATGCGGCTGACTCGGGTTCGATTCCCAGCATCCCATATGGTCCCCTGAGCACTGCCAGGAGTGATTCCTGAGTGTAAAGCCAGGAGTGACCCCTGAGCATCGCCAGGTGTGACCCAAAAAGCCAAAAAAAAAAAAAGGCGAAAGAGGAGACCTGCTCTCTCACACACACACTACTGGCAGCGCTCAGGGCTTACCCCTGGTTCTGTACTCAAATTTACTCCTGGTGGTGTTTTGGGGACCCTTTGAGGTACCTGAGAGGGAACCCAGGTTAGACACCTACAAGGCAAATGCCCTCCCGCTATACTATCTCTCTGGCCTTTGTTGCTATTGTTTTATTTTTTATTTTATTTTATTTTTGCTTTTTGGGTCACACCCGGTGATGCACAGGGGTTACTCCTGGCTCTGCACTCAGAATTACTCCTGGCGGTGCTCAGGGGACCATATGGGATGCTGGGGATCGAACCCGGGTCGGCCGCGTGCAAGGCAAATGCCCTACCCGCTGTGCTATCACTCCAGCCCCCTGTTGCTATTGTTTTAAACTTTACTTATTTATTTGCTTTTGGGGGGCCACACCCGCTGATGCTCAGGGCTTACTCCTACCTCTGAACTCAGGGATCCCTCCTGGCTGTGCTCGGGGGTCCATATGGCCATATGGAATGCTGAGGGTCAAACCTGGATTGTCCCTGTACAAGGCCAACATCCTACCCTAAAATATCCCTCTGGCTTCTATTTTATTTTTATGAAAAAAACTTTAGGGGGCGGGAGCGATAATACAGCAGGTAGGGCATTTGCCTTGTATGCGGCTGACCCAGATTCGATCCCCAGCATCCCATATGGTCTGCCTAGCACGACCAGGAATAATTCCTGAGTGCAGCACAGGCGTAACCCCTGAGCATCACTGGGTGTGACCCAAAAAGAAAAAAGAAAAAAGAAACTTTAGAAAGATGTGAGGGGAGGAGCTGGAGAGATAGAACAGCAGGTAGGGCGTTTGCCTTGCATGCAGCCAATCGAGGTTCGATCCCCGGCATCCCGTAGGGTCCCCCAGCACCACCAGGAGTTAATTCCTGAGTGCAGAATTGGGAGTAACTGGGAGTAACCCCTGAGCATTGCTGGGTGTGACCCAAACAGGAAACAAAAAAAAGGTGAGGGGGAGAGAAAGGGAGATGTAAGCTACCCATGACCTATTTATTGGATATGCCAAAAACAGTAACAATAACGGGCCTCATTCCCCTGACCCTGAAAGAGCTTCCAATATGGCAGGATTGGGAAAGACGCTAAAATCTCAGGGCTGGGACGAATGGAGACATTACTGGAGCCTGCTCGAATAAATCGATGAACAACAGGATGACAGTGATACAGTAATACATATTTAAGACAGAACACAGGCTTCTCTAGCATGGAAATGGCAAGTAAATAAAGATACAAGCAAGCAAGATAAGTGTTCAAGAGAGAACACGGGCTGTAAGTTCAAGCTATTGTTAGTTTTTCTTAAAAAACCTCAAGAGCCTGGGGCTTGGCTCGGAGGGCTGGAGTGTACGCCTTGCCAGTGGCAGTCCCAGGTACAATCCATTGCACTGCATGGTGTCCCAGCACTGCTCAGAGCAAACCCCAGCGCTGAGCCCAAGTACCTTCCAGCCCCTCCAAAAAAAAAAATGAGGGGAGGGGTGTTTCAGGAGGGAAACTGGGGGTCAGTGCTGGTGGGATATGAACCCGTTGACTCATTGTAGAACTGAAACATTTTCAGAACAGCTTTGTAACTGTGTATCTCACGATGACTCAACTGAACTAAAATGAAAAAATATCAAACCTGGGGTTTGAGCCTGGCGCTACAAGATAACAAATCTGGCAAGTAATGGTTGGGGCCATCATCCTTCAGTTCCAAAGGCCCCATGCTGAAGGGCTTTTGTCCAGAGGACCAATCAGCAGTTGATTTCTGTTCATGTAAGTTTGTTTGGCATCAACTGGGGGATGGGGGGTGAGGGGGAGTGTGCAGGGATGTCTTGCATGGCAGAACCTTAGGCTTCATCCCTCAAATTGCAGCTTCCCTGAGCACTGCTCAAATGTTTGCTCACTTTCGCCAGCAAATTGCCTTGCATACATGAGTCCCAGGGTTCAATTCCCAGTGTTACAAAAAGAAAAAAAAAAAGATTTAGTGTCATCCCCTCTGGACACTTTCCTGACTGCTGGGTCCAGGTTAGGAGCCCATCCTTTTATTCCTGCAATGCTTCCTTTACTTTGTATTTCCATGATATACATTTTTTTTGGGGGGGGAGGGTGGAGCGATAACAGTGGGTAGGGCGTTTGCCTTGCACGCTGCCTACCTGGTTGACCCAGGTTTGATTCCTCTGTCCCTCTCAAAGAGCCCAGCAAGCTACCGAGAGTATCTCGCCCGCATGGCAAAGCCTGGCAAGCTACCCGTGACGTATTCGATATGCCAAACACAGTAACAAGTGTCACAGTGCAGACATTACTGGGCCCGCTGGAGCAAATTGATGAACAACGGGAAGACAGTGACAGTGACATTTTTGGGGGGTTTACTTTTGGGTCACACCTGGTGATGCTCAGGGCTTACTCCTATCTCTGTGCTCAGGAATTACTCTTGGTAGGTTCGAGGGACCACTTTAGGGAGCACAGGGGATTAAAACTGGATTGGGGGCTGGAGCTATAGTACAGCAGGTAGGGTGGTTGCCTTGCACACAGCTGACCCGGGTTCGATTCCCAGCATCCCATAGGGTCCCCTGAGCACCACCAGGAGTAATTCCTGAGTGCAGAGCCAGGAGTAACCCCTGTGCATCGCTGGGTGTGATCCAAAAAGGAAACAAAATAAAAATAAAAAACCTGGGTTGGGTAAGGCAAGTGCCCTTGCTGTGCTATTGCTCACAACATACCTTTGTACACAAACTTCTGTCCCCACCTTCGGGACTCACTGTTTAATCTTTACAGTTTAATCAAATGATTACCTTTGAACCAGAAAATGTTCTGAATGCTTTACCTATGTTAAAGATAGCATCACTGAATTTCTCGTTACCCCCTGTACAAGCAATACTGGTTTTGTTTTAGAGGAAGAGATAGGAGATTAATTTCTCAAGGTTGCCTGCATATTAACTTTCAGCATCCATACCAAGTGGGGCACCGCTTGGCATCCTTCATAATGATATTGCTGTTGGGACAAAGTGATACTATAGTGGGTAGGACTTTTGTCTTGCACGTGGCCAACCCGAGTTCAATCGCTGGCACCCCTTATGGTACCCTAAGCACCGCCAGGACTGATTCCTGAGTGCAGAGCCAGGAGTAAACCCTGAGCAGCACCAGGTATGGCCCCCACCAAACACACACACAAAAATACAATAACAGCCATAGCTATGATTAGTACGTATTTTTATTCAGGGGAGTTGCTGCTGGCTGTGCTGGGGGTGGGAGAGCCTGTGGTATCAGGGACCTGACCAACATACAGAGCATGTGCTCGGCCCTTTTAAGACACCTCCCCTGTCCCACAGTGTAAGTGCTGCACTTGGATAATTTCAACTTCCCAGCAACCCTGTCTGGTAAATATCGTTACTCCCATTTTACATAAGAGGAAACAGGTTTCATGGGCTTGTAGGAGCGGCCTCCGTTGTTGGATCCCTGGCACCACGGAAGGTTTCCCGGAGCCTTGCCAGGAGTGATGTCTAGAGTCGGCCCTGAGCACTGCGAGATGTGTCCCACTTCGCCAAAAAAAAAAAAAAAAAATAATAGTAAAAAAATAAGGGTGGTGGTGGTGGAAGAGGGCTTAGAGACAGTTTGGCAGTCTCCCTAAAATCACTCCAAGATCACACAGCTCCCTAGTGAGAAAACTTCCCTGGCATCCACGGAGACGGGAATAACACGGGCGACGCGGGCACCACGGGTGACACCTGAGGTCCAGAGGCGGAGGCACAAGCGTTCAGAACTCCCGGCTCGGAACAGCGGTCAGCCCAGGGACAGTGGCCCCGCGGGTCGCTGTCGAACAACGGGAGCCCCTCATTCTCAGGAGCTCGGGAGCTGGGTGTCCACGTGGCTCAGAAGACTTAACGGTGGGGAACGGACCCCCTAGGGACCCCAAAGCAAGGAATCCATCACAGGGTTAACACGGAGACAGAAAGGGGTTAACCCCCCAGTCCCCTTCCCCAAGTGCCCGGCTTCCCGAAGGTCGGCCCGGGCAGAGATCAAAGGTTAACCACTCCGGGCTGGCCCCCCGTAGGGCGTGGCCTTCTCTCCCGGGAGCTCGAGAAAGGGTGCGGCGACGAGAGGGTTAACGTCCCTGGAGGGCGTGGCCTAGGGCGGGGCCAGAGCGCCCACCGTCCCGAGAGCGCCAATGGGGGTGGAGCTTCAGGGCCGGGACCCGGCCGGAGCGGCGGCGAGAGCGTCAACGTCCCGGGAGGGCGTGGCCTAGGGCGGGGCCAGAGCGCTCACCGCTCGGAGAGCGCCTATGGGGGCGGAGCTTCAGGGCCGGGACCCGGCTGGAGCGGCGGCGAGAGGGTTAACGCCCCCGAGGGGCGGGGCGGGGCGCGGGAGGCGGAAGCGGCCGCGCTCGGGGCTCCCCGAGCGCCGCGGCTGCCGTCGGTGGGACTCGGGCCCCGCGACCTCGCGATCCGGGAAGCCGAGCGAGGTCCGGGGCGGTGGCGGGGGTATGGGGGGGGGGTGGGCGGCCGCACGGAGGGGCTGAGAGGGCGCGGGGACGGGGCGTCGCAGCGGGGCGGGGGCCGAGGGCGCGCGCGTCACACCCCTCCCGGGTCACCCCCCTTGCAGGTCGCTCCCGCGCGGGGCCCCAGACGCGGCAGCCGGCGTCCCGGGGAGCCCTCCACGCCCCGCACCCCCATGGGCCAGGCGGCCCTGGCCGCGGGCAGCAGCGGCACCCCGAGCCCGCGGGCCCCGTACCCCGACCTCTCCTGCCCCCGGGGCCTCGAGGAGCTGCTCTCGGCGCCCCCTCCGGACCTGGGCACGCAGCGGCTGCACGGCTGGAACCCCGACGACTGCTCCGAGAACATCGAGGTCCAGGACGGGGGCTTGTGCTTCGAGCGGCGGCCGGTGGCCCAGAGCACCGACGGCGCCCGGGGCAAGAGGGGCTACTCCCGGGGCCTGCACGCCTGGGAGATCGGCTGGCCCCGCGAGCAGAGGGGCACCCACGCCGTGGTGGGCGTGGCCACGGCGCTGGCACCCCTGCAGGCCGACCGCTACGCGGCGCTGCTGGGCAGCGACGGCGAGTCGTGGGGCTGGGACCTCGGGCGGGGGACGCTGTGTCATCAGAGCAAGGGGCCCGGGGCCCCCCACTACCCCGCCGCCGGGCCGCAGGACGCGCCGCTGGAGGTGCCGGAGAGGCTGCTGGTGGTACTGGACATGGAGGAGGGCACCCTGGGCTACGCCATTGGGGGCACCTACCTGGGCCCCGCCTTCCGCGGACTCAAGGGCAGGACCCTGTACCCGGCCGTGAGTGCGGTCTGGGGCCAGTGCCAGGTCCGCATCCGCTACCTGGGCGAGAGGCGAGGTGAGGTCCCGGGGGGCTGCGGTTGGGGACGGAAGCTAGGTGGACAGTGGCAGAGGGAATGGATGCAAATGAATGGGTTCTCGTTTTTGGGGGGGGTCCACACCCCGTTTGTGCTCAGTTTACCCCTGCCCCTGCCCAGGGATCCATCAGGCGCGGCGGGGCTGGCACTCCTGGTGCAAGGCAAATGCTCTACCCACTTCTTTTTTTTCTTTTTTGGGCCACACCTGGCGATGCTCAGGGGTTACTCCTGGCTCTGCACTCAGGAATGACCCCTGGCGGTAACTCAAGGGACCCTATGGGATGCTGGGAATCGAACCAGGGTTGGCCGCATGCAAGGCAAACGCCCTCCCCGCTGTGCTATCGCTCCAGCCCCACTTCACCCACTTCCGGGTGCTGCCTGACTTCATCCCAGTGCTGGGAAGGGGCCCTTGAGTGTGAGACCGCAGCTCCAGCTCGCCAGCAACAGAAGGTGGTGACCCTCCGGGCATTAGGGTTTGGCTGGAAGCAGGACTAGTTGCTCAGGTCCAAGGGGAAGAGGACTGGCAGTACCAGGCTCCCAGGACATGTACTGGTTCCCTGGACTCAGACCTCAGAAAGGAGCCGTTGGTGCCCAGGGCATCAGGAAGTGGGTGGCAAGGAGGCAACCGTGGGGTGTGGCTTCCTCAGGCTAGTGGGGCTTGGCTCTTCCCAGCAGTTGGCTGCAGCAGAGGCGGGAAATCTTGCCTCACCTCCCCTGCCCCCAGCACCTTCAATCCGTGACTGGAGATGAAACCGGGAGGTGAAATGCATCCCCAGATCCCACTCCAAAAAACATAGGGGGCCAAAGAGGTAGTACAATGGGTAGGGCACTTGCCTTTCATGTGGCAACTGGGGTCTGTCCCTGGCATTCGTAAGGTTCCTGAGCACTGCCAGGAGTGATCCTTGAGTGCCAGCTCAAAGGAAAAAAAAAAAAAGGCCTGAGCACAGCTGAAAAATAAAAAAGAAAAGAGGGTCAAGAAATAAACCCAGGGGGGCTGGAGCAATAGCACAGCAGGTAGGGCGTTTGCCTTGCACACGGCCAACCCGGGTTCAATTCCCAGCATCCCATGTGGTCCCCTGAGCACCGCCAGGAGTAATTCCTGAGTGCAGAGCCAGGAATAACCCCTGTGCATCGTCAGGTGTGACCCAAAAAAGCCAAAAGAAAAAAAAAAGAAACCCAGGGGCTGGAATGATAGCACAGCAGGTAGAGCGTTTGCCTTGCATACGGCTGACCCGGGTTCAATCCCCGGCTTCCCATACGGTCCCCGAGCACCGCTAGGAGTGATTCCGGAGTACAGAGCCAGAAGTAACCCCTGAGCATCGCTGAGTGTGTCCCCACCCCCCAAAAAAGGCAAGAAATAAACCCAAAGCACCACAGGAGGAAACTCCACTCTCCTCTCTGCGGCATGGGGAGCCCCTGCAGTCTGAGGACATCACCCCGACTCACCTCCCTCTGTCTCACCCCCAGGGGAGCCACACACCCTCCTGCACCTGAGCCGCCTGTGTGTCCGCCAAGCGCTAGGGGACTCCCGGCTTGGCCAGGTGTCCGCTCTGCCCCTGCCCCCTGCCATGAAGCGGTACCTGCTCTACCAGTGAACCCCAGGACCCGGAGTGCGCTGACGCCTGGACATGACCCTCCATTCTCTCCAGGGGGTCAGGGAGGATGCTGGGCCCCTCTCCCCAACCCCAGCTCTGGAAGCTCTTGGGCAAGAGGAGTGTTTCAAGTAAAAGAAAAAATATATATATATATCGCGGGACTTCATGCCAGGCTGTTTTCACTCGGGGCACCCCAGCGGGGGGCGGGTGAGAGCCCTCCCTGCCCCAAGGGACCCAGCCCCAGCAGCTGACATCCACTACCCAACCGCCGCCACGCTCCAGGCTGCTTTCCAAACACATTATAAGACTCTTCCTACCCATTTTCCATAATTACCACACCAGATTTGATGGGGTTCAGACAGTAGGCAGCAAACCAGAGAGAAATATATAAATACATGCCTCTCGGAGAGCCTGGCAAGCTACCAAGAGTATCCCACCTGCACGGGCAGAGCCTGGCAAGTTCCCTGTGGTGAATTCAATATGCCCAAAACAGTAACGACAACAGGTCTCATTCCCCTGACCCTGAAAGAGCCTCCAATCGTTGGGAAAAGACGAGTAAGAGGCTGCTAAAATCTCAGGGCTGGAAGGAATAGAGACGGTACTGGTGCCCGCTCGAGTAAATCAACAAACAGGTTGACAGTGACACAGATGGCAGAAATGTGTTGTTCTAAGACCCTGTTTCCAGGGGTCTGGCCCCCGCCCCCTGCCTGCCACTAGAAAGGCAAAGATTCTCCAACAAAGCTCCAAGCTGGGTGCCAGATGTTTATTCTCCCTGCAGGCGGGACAGCTCACGGACACGACACACACAGGCGTTGGCAACTCAGGCCAGCAGCGTTCCCCACCTCTGGGGGGACAGGGTGGTTCTCAGCCCCTGGCCTCGCGGTGTGAGATGGGAGAAGAGGATGAAGGCTTCTCTCTGTGGCCCCTCAGTGGGGACAGCGGGGACCCCCCGACCCCAAGCACACTCGCTCCCTTCCACCGCCCAGCCAAGGAGATGCCATCTTGGGGACGTGTTTGGTTCTAAGCCACTACAGGAAGTGGAGAAGGGCTCGGCCTGGTCCCAACCATCCGGGGGAAGGTGTGTAAACAGTTAAAGGAAGGTGGTGTCGGGAGTCGGCCACAGACGGGCGAGTGAGGCCATCAGAAGCAGGGGAGGGGCGCCACAATGACTGGACTTCTGAGCGACACGGTCCCGGGCTTAGCAGGATGCCGGGGGAGGGATGGGGCTTATTGCTTGGCATTGATGATATCTACGAATTCGGGCTTGAGGGAGGCACCGCCCACCAGGAAACCGTCCACATCAGGCTGGCCCGCCAGCTCCTTGCAGTTGGCCCCAGTCACAGAACCTAGGAAGGGAGGAGAGAGGGCTGGGCTGGGGCCGTTCCCCCTGCTGCCTCGGGTGCAGGGCACAGCCAGGGGTCAGACCCACTCACCTCCGTAGATGATGCGGGTACTCTGGGCCACTGCATCAGACACATTTGACTTGAGCCAACCCCGGAGCTTTTCGTGGACTTCCTGGGCCTAGACCAAGCCAGATGTTAAGTAAGACTCTGCTGCCTCTCGGAAAATCCCTGGGAAAATCTGAGTCAGAGCACCAAGGCCCGGATCCCACCCAGACTCTGGGATGGACAGGTCATTCTTCTTTGGGTCCCGGGATACCTGTCTTTATTTATTTGATTTCTTTTTGCTTTTTCGGGTCACACCTGGCAATGCTCAGGGGTTATTCATGGCTCTGCACTCAAGAATTACTCCTGGCAGTGCTCAGGGGACCCTATGGGATCCTGGGAATTGAACCCAGGTCAGCCGCAAACGCCCTACCTGCTGTGCTATCACTCTAGTCCCCTATTTTATTTTTTGGTTCTGGGGCCACACCCAGTCATGAATGCACAGGTGTTACTTCTGGTTCTGCACTGAGGAATCACTCCTGCCAGTGCTCTGAAGGCTTTAGGGGGTGTCAGGAATCGAACCAGAGTTGACCACATGCAAGGAAAATGCCTTATCTGCTGTACTATCTCTGGATTGGTTCTTCCCTTAAAAATGAGGGTTTGGGGGCTGGAGTGAGAGTACAGCAAAAAGGGCATTTGCCTTGCATGGGGTACACCCGGGTTCAGTCCAAGGCACTCCAGGCAGTCTCTCGAACCCACCAGGAGTGATCCCTGAGCACAGCGGGTGTGGCTCCCCCAACAAAACAAGACAAGAACGCAATGTGGGTTTACCCCAAACCATCTCTTTGACTGTCCGATTCTCCCTACTGTGAGTAGCAGCAGGAGGGCAGGCTTCCCGCGGCTGGTTACCTGTTGAGGTGTGGCCGTCTTGCCGGTCCCGATGGCCCACACAGGCTCATAGGCCAGGACAACCTTGCCCCAGTCCTTGACGTTATCTGGGGAACAGAGATCCTAGGTGGAACGCGAGCAGGAAGGAGCCCGCCCCAGCCAATGAAGCCGTTGGTGGCCTCCTGCCCCCTGGCGGCCGCGGCCGGAACTGCACCACCCGTCTGATGGGCGGGAGCTTTCCAGAGTCAGCTCAGCAAACCAGGGCACCTGACCCACCCCCGCCCCCCTTCCCCGGGCCATCGCGGTCTGGTCTCCTTTCTCAATACCTGCGATGGCCTTGGTCTGCTCAAAAACGACCTTCTCGGTGATGCCCGCTTCCCTCTCGTCGAGCTTCTCCCCGATGCAGGCGATCACCCCGAGCCCCTCGGCCAGGGCGTGGGCCACCTTCTGCCCGATGAGCTGTCGAGGAACACACGGGGTCAGACCCCGACCCCTGCTGGAACAGGCACCTCCGACCTCCTCTCCCGCCTACTGACCTCATCCGACTCCCCAAAGACGTGTCTCCTCTCTGAGTGTCCGAGGACCACCCACGTGGCACCGCAGTCCTTGATCATGCCAGGGCTAATGGGGGCGACAAAAGCCGTGGTCAGTGAGCCCGGGCGCTCCTGGCCATTGCATTGAGCATCGAGGGCAGGATTGCCCCACAGCACTCTCTCACCTGATCTCCCCAGTGAAGGCTCCATTGGTCACTTTGTAGCAGTTCTGCGCTGCCACCGCGATCTTGGGATCCAGCTTCTGCCTGGCAAAGTCGATGTAGGCGGCCGGGGGCGCGCACACCACCTCTGGGAGGAAGAGAGGGCGAGGGCCCGGGTGAGAACGGAAGCAAAGCGCCCGGGTTCCAGCCAGGGCGCTGGTGCCCCCAGAACTTTGCTATTTTTCTCCCCAGCAAGATGATCTTTGTCCACTTCCCTTGCTGGGCTTGCACCCAAACTCCAAGGGGCCCTGCCCTCTGCACTTTCCCCGGCCCCAGCTCCGATTTCCAGGGCTATTTTGGGCCGGGGCACCTCCTAGATTCGGCATGCTCTGGGAGCCAGGTTCTCCTGTCTGAAAATAGTCCATCTCCCCCTCCACGATCCGTTTTTACTTTTGCAGAAGCAGAAAAGGCCTGTTGCTAGGGCTTTTAGATTAGGGTCTTTAGCAAATAAGCAAGGGGATGATGGATTTTATTTGGGGGGGGGGGGACACCCTGGCGGTGCTCAGGGGTCACTCCCGGCTCTGAAGTCAAGGCATCACTCCTGGCGGTGCTCAGCGGATGCAGGGGGTCGAAGCCGGGTTCGCGCAAACAAGGCAAAAACCGCCCTCCCCACGGCACTCTCTTCCCAGGGGGGTGATGATGCCGAGGGCGTTGGTGCTGGGATTAGCGGGCAGGCCCGGACGGCGAGGACCGAGGTCTGCCTTGTCGGTGTCCAGGGCGGCCCCACTCCGCGGCCTCGATCCTCAGGCCCCCCACTCGTTTCCGGCCGGCTGGACCCCTCCCGGCCTCCCCTGCCCGCGGCGGGAGCCCGCCCGGCCGCCCGGGGAACGCGCGCGGGGACCGACGCGGCTACGTGCAGCGGCGCACGGTCCCGGCGGCGCGGGGGCAGGTAGCCGGGCGGGCGCGCGCCCCGGCGATCGCCCGGCCCCCCGCCCGCCCGGACCCTCGCCGCGACCCCCGCGAGGCCCCTTCCCGCCTCCCACCCTCGGGTCCACGCCCGGGTGGCACGCCCGGCCCCCCACGCCCCGCACCCCGCGGCCCCGCCACGCCCGGCCCCCCGCGCGCCCCGGCGCGCGCTCACCGGTGTCGGCCGGCACCTTGGCCTTGTTCAGGGTGCAGATGAGCTCCCCCAGGTTGTTCTTCCTCCCGTTCATCTTCCAGTTGCCCCCGACGAAGAACTTCCTGGAGGGCGCCATGGTGCTGGTCTCGGCACACTGAAGGTCAGCGGCAGCGCGCAGCCGCGGCGGCGGCCACTGGCCGCTTATAAAGAGCGCCGCCAGGCAGAACTCCGCCTCCTCGCCCATGGCCCGCCCCGCGCGCCCGCCCGCGACCCGCCCGCGACACGCCCCGCACGCCCCGCACGCCCGCCCGCCGGCCCCGGTGGCCCCGTGCCCGCGTTCCGTCGTTGCCCCTTTCCCGTAGCGACGTTCCAAGGGGCACGCGGGCCCCCGCCCCGTCGGCCGCCCCGGAGCCGGGCGAGGCTCGGGGGGCATATTCTGAGCCCCCTGCCCCGCTACAAACACTTGCTAGGTCCGGGGTCCCGGGGGAGCTGGCAGCCCCCAGGCCCCGACGGACGGACCGATGGACGGACGGTTGGGCTGCTGGAGCCCCCTGCTCCCCCCTCCCCACGGCCTGGTCCATCCTCTGGCCTTTGACCCCTGGGGGTCTCTCCCCAGGTTCTGGGCATTGTCACAGGACTCAGAGGGGGGAGGGGGCAGGCCTGGTTGGCAGGGGAAGCCCCCCCACCCCCCCTCCGGAGAGCCCATCTTCCCGCTCCAGTCACTGTCACTCCTGCTCCAGGTCCTGATCTCACAGTGACCCCCGACCCCCCCTTGCCCTTAAGGCCCCTCTGGATCCCCCCCACCCCCCAACAGGATGCCCGGGGGAAGACGTGCCAAGTCAGCGGCCGGGCGAGGTCTGGCGCGCACCACCCCGCACCACCCAGCGGGACGACGGGCACACAAGTTAACCATTGTAGTTTTTTTTTTTTTTATTCACATCGTGTTTTGGCATTTTCCAGAGGAGAACCGGGAAGAGACGGGGTGAGGAGAGACGGAGGCAGGGGTAGGGGTCTCCCCCACCTTCCCCTCCGATCCCTCCTTGCCCAACCACACTGGGGGTCGGAAACACAAAGTGGGAGGCACAGCGGGAGGCCTCCCGGGAGAGGCCTGGAAGCAACACCCACACCCACGCGCGCAGGGGCCGGCAAGGACGAGCGGAGCACTGTGGGCTGGGCGGGGAAGGGCGCATCTCCGCAGGCCGGCGGCCCCCTGCCCTCCCCGGGGCCACCCCAGTGTCTCTCGGCCCCCTCCGCTCGCGCGCGCCGCCTGCTCCCCCCAAACCCCAGCCTGGAGCTCTTCCCTGCGGCAGGGAACAACAACAACAACAAAAAAAAAACAAAGAAAAAAAAAAAAACGGGGAACAGAGCAGGAGGGGCGGGGCCGGAGTCCATTCCTCACGCCTGGCGGTGGCCCCTGCCCTCCGCCGCGAGGGGTCCCGGGCGCCTAGCTGGCCACTCTCTGGTAGAAGTAGATGTAGCCCAGGTCCTTGGGCGGCTTCTCCGAGGCGCACACTTTCTGGTCGTTGTAAATCACCCACCTGGGCAGGGGAGGACAGTGAGTTGGGCTCCCCCTTCATCTCTTGGCCCGCCCCTGGGGGTCTCGCTGACGCGGGGATGCGGGGGACAGAGGCTCTCACACCCCCTGCCTGGGCGACCCCCATCCCCCTGGGCCATCTGCTGTACCCTCCTCCCTCATCCCAGCGAGGCGGCCTTGATGGGCTTGCACCGAGGGCGGGCAGCCACTCTCCAGTGGCCCCCGGAAGGAGAACATTCTTCCCTGACCCAAGTCCTTCCTGCAGGCCGCTCTGGGCCTGCTCAGGGCCTGGGGTTTATTTTATTTTATTTATTTTTTTTTCACTTTTTGGGCTGGTGTGATAGCACAGCAGGTAGGGCGTTTGCTTTCCACCCAGCCAATCCGGGTTCGATTCCTCCGCTCCTCTCGGAGAGCCCGGCAAGCTACTGAGAGTATCCCGCCCACACAGCAGAGCCTGGCAAGCTCCCGGGGGCATATTCAATGTGCCAAAAACAGTAACAATAAGTCTCACAATGGAGATGTTACTGCTGCCCACAGGAGCAAATCGATGAACAATGGGACGACAGTGCTGTTTTTTGGGTCACACCTGGCAATGCACAGGGTCACTCCTGGCTCATGCACACAGGAATCCCTCCTGGTGGTGTTCGGAGGACCCTAGGGATGCTGGGAATCGAACCTGGGTCAGCCGCATGCAAGGCAAACGCCCTACCCGCCGTGCTATCGCTCCGGCCCCCACAGGGCCTGGGGTTTAGACCCCGACCTTTCTTCTCCACGGCTCTGCTTGGCGGCAGGATCCCCGCCTCCCTCCACCCCATCCTGGTTCTCTCCAAGTCAGGGATGTGTTTGGGGGGAGAGAGGATGGGGGACGCAGAGCACGTGCTCTGCATATGTGAGTGCCCATTAAGCCTCTAAGGGGCCTGGAGATTGTCGGGTGGTTTAGGCACCTGCCACGAGGGCCCCACCCAGGCTCAACCACCCCCCACCCGTAGCTCTGGGGCCACCCCGCGCCTCACCAGGACAGAACCTTGAGCACTGAGGCAGGTGCAAGCCCCGAGCACTACCTCCCCCGACCCCACCGCAATAAAGAAAATAACACAAAACCGAAAAATGAGGGCAGAGAGAGAGTGGAGGGGTTAAGGCGCTTGCCTTGCGTGTGGCTGACCCTGGGTCGATGCCCTGAGCACAGAGCTGAGAGCAGCCCCCACCCCCAAAATAATAAGCCCACACCGAAACCCCCACGGTCTGTAAGATGCCCCTGGCGTCCCGCCCAGCCCGCCCTCACCTGCCGTCCTTCTTGATGTGGCAGACGTAGTGGCCGCACATGGTGGAGGTGCCCATGTGGCTGATGAAGGCGAAGAGCTGATACTCTAGGGGGGCAGAGGGGGAGGGCAGTGAGTGGCCCGGAGCGACCAGCCCCGGACAGTCGCATGGGAGAAACGCAGGGCCGTTTGGGGGCTCAATGGGAAGGGGGTGGGGGGGGCCAGGGCTCCGTGGGACTCTCGGAAGCCTGCCCCCTATGCTGGCAGAATCCCCCCTTCAGGGTCGGGCAATCGGTCTTCCGGCTCCTCGAAGCCTTGGGGAAGACGCAGGGGGCCCAGGGGCACTCACTTCCGGGGCCATCGCGGACCTTGGGTCCCACGGGTATGGACTCCGAGATGGAGTCGGCGGCTGAGCGGCCCTCGGAGATGTCCATGGCGGCCTCGGCGTCCAGGTCATCGATGTGACTGAAGATCCAGTCCACAGCCCGTTCTAGGTTGTTGTTCTTGGGGGGGGAGGGGAGAGTTCCTTTCCCACCAGGTTTGGGGGGCCAGAAAAGCAGCGGTGAAGGCCTCGGTCCCTGCACGCGGCCACCCCCCGGCCGGTGGGGGTGGGGGTGGGGGTGGGGGAGCCCGTCACGCCCTAGCCCTGGATCCCCCCCACCCCCACCCAGGCCCCCCCCCGCTGGTGCCCCGCCAGGCGTCAGCTCCTACCGTGGCGCGCAGCGCTTTGAGGGCCTGGTCCCGGGAGAAGCCCATGGAGACGATGGTGGTCACGCAGTCCTCAGGAGGGGGGTCGGCCGCGGCACTCGTGGACCCCGGCCCGCTGGAGCCCGGCAGGACCAGGGGGTTGGCAAAATCTGCGGGCGGGAAGGACAGCGTGGAGGGGTGGGGGAAGAGGGCCGGCCCACCCCCCTGCCCATCTGGATCGCCAAGAGCCCCCTGAGCCCCAGCCCCCCGCCACCCCCCCACTCCGCCTACCTGGATCGTCCATGTGCGACATGACCCAGTTCATGGCCGCCTCGGCGCCGCTGTTCCCCGTGTAGTACACGGCCTTGCGGCAGGCGTCCATGGGGAAGCCCATCTCCACCAGCTGGATGATGACCGACTCGTCCAGCATGGGCGCTGCGGCGGGCCAAGGGGGGGTCACCGCGGCCTGACTCCTCAGAGGCCACCTGCCCCCTCTCCCCAGGCCCCCCGCCCAGCGACCCCCACCCCCCACCCCGTCATGCACTCCCGGCCCCGACCCGCCCGGGGCCTTCTCCTCCAAGGCCAACAACAGAGGGGGACGGGGGTCCCTGTCCTGAAAGCACGGAACAGAGGTGAAGGGGGCCCCACCCCACAGAACGGGGGGACCCCTGCTGGATTAGGGCCCCCCCGTCTCCCCCCACCCCGCGACCCCCGATGGTCGCCAATGAGGCAAGGGGCCGATGAGGCGCGTGTGCTGGTTAGTGGCCAGCCAGGGCCATCACAGGAGGGCGGAGGGAGTGTGAGAGGGAGGAGAGAGAGACACACAGGACAGGGCCGGGGGGCCGAGGAGGGGGACAGAGGGGGACAGGCGGAGCAGGCCCCAGCGGCAGGGGAGAGACAGGCAGGCAGAAGAGTCACTAACATGTCGGAGAGGAGAAGTGAGGGGAGCAGAAGGAGTCTTCGTCTTCGTTGCCATAGAAACCAAGGCTACCTTTGGGCTCGTCCGGCGTGACCAGCGGGGGGGCAATGTCGGGCAGCTCCTCCTCTCCCGGCTGCAGCCCTGTACCCCGCAACTGGGAAATGTCCAGCTCCTCCGGCATCTCAATGGACACGTCTGCGAGGCAGAGGGGGACGCGCGGGGTCACTGCGACAGTCCCAGAAACCGCGTGCTGGGGACCCCCCACCCCCCACTCTGGGTGCCTGGTCTCAGGGCCCGACTCCGTTGGGGACACGGAGCTGCTCAGGGCAGGGGGACCTTCTGCTTCCTGCACTGCAGACAGACACGAGGCGCTCACGGAGTGACTGCCACGGGGCCCCGGGCCAGGGACACATGTCCAGTATGAGGAAGGCCCAGACTTTTTTTTTGGCTTTTTGGGTCACCCCGGTGATTCTCAGGGGTTACTCCTGGCTTTGCACTGAGGAAATACTCCTGGCGGTACTCAGGTATGGGATGCCGGGAGTCGAACCCGGGTTGGCCACGTGCAAGGCAAACACCCTCCCTGCTGTGCTATCACTCCAGCCCAAAGGCCCACATTTGACCCTGGGCTCACAAGGCCCCTGAGCACTACCCAGGTGGCACCCATGCAAAAATGACAGGGTGGGGGGCTGGGCTCTGGAGAGAGAGCAGTGCGGGCCACGCGCTTGGGTCTTGTCTTCTCTGATCCCCGGCACCCACCGAGCACTGCCATGAGTAATACCTAAGCATGGAGTACAGAGTAAGCCTTGAGAGCAGCTGCATGTGGGCCCCAAGAGAAACCAACCAACTGAACCCAAGGTCCCTCCAGGAATACTCCCGAGTCTGGGTTAGCCCCGAGTGCTGCCGGGTGAGGCTCAAAATAAACAAATAAATAAATAAAAATTGTACAATAAAGTGGACTGGAGCAATAGCACAGCAATAGCAATAGCACGCAGTCGACCTGGGTTCGATTCCTCAGTCCCTCTCAGAGAGCCCGGCAAGCTACCGAGAGTATCTCGCCTGCACGGCAAAGCCTGGCAAGCTCCCCGTGACGTATTCGATATGCCAAACACGGTAACAACTGTCACAACGGAGACGTTACTGGGCCCGCTCGAGAAAATCGATGAACAACGGGAGGACAGTGACAGTGACAGTACAACAAAGCAAAACTTTAGGCCCTTGGTCAGGACAGCTGGATTCCCTTCTGAGATTTGCCACACACTAGCAACTGACACATGGGAGAGAGACTTGATGCATCTGTGGGTCTCAGCTAGAAACTCGTGTTTTTGGCCTTTGGGCTACAGCTGGGGGTGCTCAGGGCTTACTCTGGACTCTGCACTCAGGGATCACTCCTGGCAGTGCTCGGAGGGACCTTTTGGGTTTTGGGGGACGAAGCCTGAGGCGGCGGCAGCGTGAAAGGCAAGTGCCCAAACCCACTGTACAACCTCCCCAGACCCCTCAGCTGGGAAAGGTTCACACAGTCAAATCAGCAGCTGTGCAAAACGATTTCAAGATGATCATACAACCCTCTTGGCCCGTGGGGGATGGGGTTGGAGCCCAGTACTTAGTATCCTTGCCGGGTATGTGTGAGGGCCTGGGTCTGACCCCATTACCTCACACACACACAAAGGTGCAACAAAAAGCGAGTGATTGGATCCTGGACGCTCCTTATAGACCCCGAGCCCCGCCGGGCTGATCCCTGAGTGTAGACCAGGAGGAGGCCCTGAGCACAGTTCCAAAAGCAAAAAAACAAGAAAAACAAACAAAAAGGTAGTTCAGGAGGTGAGGCTCTTGCCTTGCACTCCACCCCCCGCAGATCAAATTCCTGGCACTGCATATGGTCCTGAGCACCACCAAGGGTCACTCCTTGAGCACAGAGCCAGGAAAAGTCCCTGAGCACTGCTAGGCATGGCCCCAAACCAAGTATGTGAATGCAAGTGTGAAAATCATTTTTGGTTGTAGAGTCTAACTATAAAATCAAAGAAGTCTCAAAAACAAAAAATTTTTTTTTTCCTTTTGCTTTTTGGGTCACACCGAGGGATGCTTAGGGGTTAGTTGCTCCTGGCTCTGCACTCAGGAATTACTCCTGGCGGTGCTTAGGGACCAGACGGGATGCTGGGGATCGAACTGCGGTTGGCCCGTACAAGGCAAACACCCTCCCCACTGTACTATTGCTCCGGCCCCAGTCTCAAATTTTTGAGTCGGGACTTTTTTATGCTTGGCCACACTTTGAAACGTCTAAGGTAACGTTTCCTCCTCCAGAGGGAAGTGTGAGAAACACCGATTTACAGGCCGGAGTCTTTTCCGCCCCCTCCTGTACCCACCCTGGTCCCCGCCTCCATACCCAGTTTCTTGGGCACCCAGTCTAAGCCGAAGGTGAACTTCTTGATCTGGATGACCAGGTAGTCGGGGAATGAGGCAAACCGGGTGGTCCTGCGGGGAGACAGAACAGCCTGGTGCCTCTCCTCCCCTCCAAACGCCCACTGCAGGACTCAGCCAGGCGGGGCCCGAGACCCCAACGCCCCGAAGCTGCTCCTGTCCCATCTCGAGCCTGCGCGTCCCCAGACAAGGAGCGGGAAGCAGGCAGGCTCCTGGCAGGGGCCACGAGCGGGGGCTGGGCAGGAATCTCTCGAGACGAGATGGTTCCAGATCTCCGGCGCGTGCCAACAGCAGGGCCAGCCCAAAGCAAAGGTCACTGACCGGAAATCCACGTTGGGCCCCGAGGGGCGGGGGAGGGCCAGGCAAGGTTCCCGCAGGCCCCGATCAGCCGCGGGAGGCCGGGGACTCACTTGACGGCCACGGACTTGGCCTGCAGGGCGGTGCTCCAGAAGTCGTCCACCTGCTCGGGCGCCCCGTAGGCTTCCAGGCAGGAACTGAAGGGCACCTGGGCGCGCACCAGCTCGGGCAGGGGCAGCTTCTCCTCGCCAGCTTGCCGCTTCTTCTCCTCGTATTCCAGAAGCTCCTCTGGGGACACAACGGGCAGCTGGAGCCTTCCCCGCCCCCGGCCGTGACACCCCGCCAGCTCCCCGAGGCGCCCAAACCCACGTGCTGCGTGTGGATCTGGGCTGCAGACAGGGGTCCCCACGCCCCAAAGACCACACACATCACTACTCCTCCCCCCCTCCCTGCCTACCTTGATCTCATTGAATTCTTTATCTTTGGCTTTTGGTAAGGCTCAAGGCTTACTCCTGGCTCTGCACTTGGGAATTACTCCTGGGAATACTCAGGGGACCATACAGGATGCTGGGAATTGAACCCGGGTTGGCCGTGTGTAAGGCAAACACCCTCCCCGCTGTACTACTGCTGACTCTCCTTTATTTTTGTTTCTTGGGTCACACCCAACGCTGCTCCGGGCTGACTCCTGGCTTTATGCTCAGGCAGGCTCAGGGAACCATATATTGGGGATCGATCCGGGTCCTGCTTCGTGCAAGGCAAGTGCACTCCCTGCAGTAATGGGTCCCCTGCCAACCTTCATTTTATTTATTTATTTATGTACTTATTATTTATTCTTTCTGGGTGACACCCGGCGATGCACAGGGGTTACTCCTGGCTCTGCACTCAGGAGTTACTCCTGGCGGTGCTCCGGGGACCTTCATTTTATTTATCTGGCCATGCCTGGCCCTGCTCAGTGGCGACTCCTGGCCGTGCTTGGGCATCCGTCTAGGATGCCGGGGATGGAGGCCGGGTCTGCCTGGTGCAGGGGGGCTCCGGCCTGCCTACCTTTGTTGAGGGCGGCGTCCATGGGCACGGGCAGCTGCATGATGTAGTCCACTCGCTGGGTATACTTCACCTTCTCTGTGGCCAGGCACTTGATCTTCTCCTCCACCAGGAAGCGGAACACTTCATTGGGGTTCTCCGAGCTCCGGCAATTCCTCTACGGGAAGAGACGGGTAGGGAGGTCTGGGCCGCCAGCAAACAGAACAAGGGGTGGGGGAAGAAGGGCAGCCACTTCAAGGCTGCCGGGGGAGGAGGGAGTGGCAGGAGAGCACCATGGAGTGGTGTGGTGTCAGAGAGAAGCCCCCCGACCCTAGATCTGGCCCCGCTGGGACAGAGGCGGGTAGCGAGGTGAGCTGGTATTCTGCTTTATAAAGAGCAAAAGTCCCCCCTGAGAATGACTCCAGAGGCAAGGCCGGGGGTGAGCCCTGAGCACAGCCAGGTGTTGCTTCCCTCCCCGTCCCCCCAAAAAACGAGCGAGCCTGGGAGTCGGGATAGTAGCATGGCGTAGGTGTGGCGTTTGCCATCTACGTGGCCAAGTCAGGTTCAATTCCCCAGAACGCCATCGGGTCCTCCGAGCACCTCCAGGAGTGATCCTTGAGCAGAGCCAGGAGTCAGCCCTGAGCACCCCCTGGGTGTGACCCCAAACCAAACCAAACCAAAACCAGCCAAAAGAAGAAAACAAGGGAATGATCACGCTGGACAACATCCAAGGGTTCAAAGTAGGTAAAGGGATATCCTTGATAATCTTTCAGTATCAATATTGCTAACCACAATGCCCAAAAGGCAGGAATGGGGGGGGGGGAGAGAGAGAGACAGAGACAGAGAGAGACAGAGACAGAGAGAGACAGAGAAGAAAAGTGCCTGCCATAGAGGCAGGTTGGGGGTGGGGGGTGGGGGTGATGGGAGGGAACCTGGGGACCCTGGTGCTGGGAAATGTACACTGGTGGAGGGACGGGTGTTGGAACACTGTAGGACTAAAAAACCAATCATGAACGGCTTGGTAAGGATCTATCACAGTGATTCAATCAAAAAGTTTTTAAAAAAATATGAAGAAATCCAGTGGTTGGAGCGATAGCACAGCGGGTAGGGCATTTGCCTTGCACTTGGCAGACCCCGGTTCGATTCCCAGCACCCCATGTGGTCCCCTGAGCACTGCCAGGATTAATTCCTGAGTGCAAAGCCAGGAGTAGCCCCTGTGCATCGCCAGGTGTGACCCAAAAAGAAAAAAAAAAAAGAAGAAATCCAAACACCTGAGGGTTCTCGACTTCATCAGGCCACCAGCCTGACAGAGCTTTGGGACTGTCCTGGGGACTCTGGAGCCAGGTGGGGGCAACAGCGGAAGGGATGAACCGGGGGTGTCCTCCCCGTCCTTACCTCTACCATGTTGATGAGGTGAAGGAAGAATTCCTGGGCATCCTGCTGGCGGTTGGTGGAGAACTCGGGGTGCCCCTTCCCGATGAGGGCCTTGAACATTCGAGGAGCGATGCCGTCCTGCACTTCCTGTGCAGGCGGGGCGGGGACTCAGCTGGCGGCCCCCAGCCCTCCCCCTCCCCCAGTCCTCAGCTCCCCCGTTAGTTCCGGGGTTGGGGGGAGGGGGGACACAGGGTGGCCCCTCACTCACCTTCTGTTCTGGAGCCACCTCCCCATTGCCTGACTCTGGTGTCGGCTTGGAATATTCTCCCGAGAGAAGCCCGTGGCCCAGCTTGGCCCTGCGTGAAAATCCAGAATCATTGAGCGCTGGCTGGCCGCCGCCGCCGATGGTCTAACTGCCACCGACCCCCGCTCAGGGCCCGGCTCAGACACGAGGAGCCTCGATGCCACAGGAACCCAACACAAGGCAGAGAGTGGCGCCCAGCAGACAGCCAGCTGGCAGCTGTGACCCGGCCACCAAGAGGAGCATGGCCTCTTCAGGCCAGCAGCCATCAGCAGCTGTCAGCCGCGGGGCTGGCCTACGTACACTTGGGTGCTGAAGTCCTGGGTAGGATCCGTCGGGGCATTCTGGAAGATCTTCTCCAGCTTATCCACATACCTAAGTGAAGAACAATTGTAGGGCTGTGGCCAGGGCCCAGAGGCCAATGGGCCCAAAGAGATTCATCCTGGGGCCGGAGTCACAGTGCAGCAGGCAAGGTGCTTGCCAGGTTCGATCCCCAAGACCCCATATGCTCCCCCCGAGCCCCACCGGGAGAGATCCCTGAGTGCAAAGCCAGGAGTAAGCAGAAAGGAATGAAGGAAAGGAGGAAGGGAGGGAGGGAGGAAGGAAGGAAGGAAGGAAGGAAGGAAAGAAGGAAGGAAGGAAGGAAGGAAAGAAGGAAGGAAGGAAGGAAGGAAGGAAGGAGGGAGGGAGGGAGGGAGGGGGTGGAAGGAGGGAGAGAGGAAGGAGGAAAGGCAGGGAGGGAGAAAGAGAAGGCAGGAAGGAAGGGAGGAAGAAAGGGAGGAAGGGAGGGAGGGAGTGAGGGAGGGAGGAAGGAAGGAATGAAATAAGAGAGGAAGGGAGGGAGGGAGGGAGGAAGGAAGGAAGGAAGGAGGAGGGAAGGAGGGAGGGACAGATTGTCACTTCCTCTAACTCAGAGGACAGACACCCTCCCGAGTGGGGAGCTCATGGTAGGTCATGAGTCCGTCTATTTGCTGGAAGGGGTTCTTCCTCCCCCTCTCAGCCAACGAAGCATGCGGGGGTCTCTGAGCCCTCCTCTCCCTCTCCCAGTCTTGATCTGGGAGAAGGGAGAAGGGTTCACATGGGTTATGATCCACGGGCCAGAACTCGTCAGGGGGCGTCACAGACCCCTGAGTCTCTCCCAACTGGGCCGCGGGGACACCAATGACTTGCCTTTCTCCTTTCATCAGTGCCCTGATCTCTCGCAGGACATCCAGGCCCTGCGAGGTGCCGATGTGAGGTCACTGGCTTAAAATACAGACCACCTGCTGGCCCTCGAGAAGGCAGGAGGCCATGGAGAGCCCTGGGATTTGGTGTTCTGCTGTGTGCGTGTGTGTTGGGGGATGGTGGATGTGGCTGGGGGTGGCCGGGTGCAGTTTGAACGTGCTCCCCACCGCAGCCCAATCAGGCCGAGCGAGTCCGGGGCTATTCCCAGACTGAGAGCCAGCGCAGAGGAGCCAGGGGCGGCTGCCGGGGTGGAGCTGGGGGCCAGGCGTGGGGGTGCGGGCGCCACTCACTTCCTCTGGAAATCGGGGATGCTGAAGAGGACCTGGACCACGGAGTTGAGGTAGCAGCTGTTCCCCAGGTTGCGGATGCCCGTGTAGCCGGGCCCGAAGAGCGGCTTCAGGGTCACGCTGGACTCCTGGATCAGCTCCCACTCGCCGATGCGCTGGTTCATGTCAATCTCCAGCTCCGTCATCGTCTTGTCCGTCTGCGAGGGAGGGGCAGGGCCACGTCAGCCGGTGCGAGACTCGGCTCCTCGCTGTTTCCCCTTTCTGGGGGGGCGTGGCCTACCCACCGGGGGGACTTGTCCCTCCGTGCTCAGGAGTGAGGCTGGCAGTGCTGGGAGACCACAGGTGGTGCTGGGGACCCAACAGGGTCAGCTGTGCGCAAAGCAAGCGCCTCCCCCTATGACATCTCTGACCCTGGACCTGCATTTCACACTCGGGTCTCCTGCACGGCAGGACAGTGAGCCCCTAAGTGGGTGGTACTGCCCACCTCGAGGGGGTGGTGGGGGCTTCTGGCACACCTGGGTAGAGGGGGTCCCCCCACATTTTTTGTTCTGGGGGCCACACTCGGCATTGCTCAGGGGCTACTTATATGGCTCTGCACATTTCTCCTGGTGGTGCTCAGGGGAGCATGGGGGTGTCACAGCTAAAACTGGTATCTGCCTGAACACAAGGCAAATACCCTACCTGCCGTACTATCACTCCTGCCTCAACCATTTGTCCCTGAAACAAGGTACATGCCCAGGGCCAGAGAGATGGTGCAAGGCCTAAGCTGTCTGCCTCGCACACAGCTGACCTTGGTTCAGTCCTTCCCTGTGGTCCCCTGAGAACCCCCAGGACTAGCCCCGAGCGTGGCCGGGTGTGACTCCAAATCCCCCAACATCCAAAAGCAGATGGTGGATTTCCAGGGAACCTGAAAAATGAACCTGAGTACATTTCTCCCTGATAAGGGAGAGGTAGGGCCAGTAGGTTTGGGAAATCTGTGGTCTAGGCTAGATCTGAATTTGATGCACTCTGGGGCCGGAGAGATAATACAGCTCACCTTCTGCATCTTGAGCATGTCGATGCCGAAGTGGGCCAGGTGCTCTGCCAGGTTGGGGTCCAGCACCATGTCATCTTCGTCGTACGAGTACACGTCTGGGGCAGGAGGGAGGCGCGCAGTCAGAGACGACCTCGGGCCCGGCCTCCCACCCCGGCTCCCAGGGGTCCCCGGGGGGCCCTCGAACACCCTCGTCTCCCTTCTCGAGTTGCTGTCAGGGAAGATGGGTCAGCAGGGGCGAGGAACGGTGGGTGTGGGCATGAGCTGCAATTGCCCCCTGCAGGGTGGGCACCGGAGGAAGATGAGTTCGGAAAGATCAGTATTTTTCTTTTTTCCTTTTTTGGGGGTGCTGGCAGACCTGGCGGTGCTCAGGGCTTACTCCTGGCTCGGCACTCAGGGATCACACCTGGAAGTGCTTGGGGGAGCGTATGGGGTGCCGGGGATCGCTCCCAACTTGGTCATGCGCAAGGCGAGAGCCCTATCTGCTGTCCTATATCTCCAGCTCTGGAAAGATCCATGTTGAGGCCTGAACAGATAATGATGGTGATCTCCAGGAAAACGGGCTGAGGTGGGGGTGGGGGGTAACTGAAGACTTAATTCCATCTTTAGTACCGTTGCTTTTTTGAGGGGTGGGACACAGACTCAATGATGCTCAGAGATTGCTCCTGGCTCTGTGCTCGGGGGCCACATGTGGTGCTGGGGATTGAACCCGGGTCAGCCACATGCAAAGCAAGCACCTTGCCCACTGTCCTACTTCTCCGACCCCTCCTGCTGAACCCACCCCTCCAATCCCCCCCAATTATATATATATATTTTTTGGTCACACCCGGCGATGCTCAGGGGCTACTCCTGGCTTTGCACTCAGGAATCACTCCTGGCGGTGCTCAGGGGACCCTACGGGATGCTGGGAATTGAACCCGGGTCGGCCGCATGCAAGGCAAATGCCGCCCCCCCCCCCCCCCCAATTCCGACTGTTCTTTCTGTTTGGCTCGGAGCCACACCCAGTGTCGCTCGGGACTCACTTCCCACTCTGTGCTCGGCGATCACTTCTGGCGGAGCACAGGGGGAAGCTATGGGATGCCGGGGATCAAGCCTCGCGCGGCTAGCGCCCTCCCCGCGGGACTCTCTTTCCGGCCCCCGTCGCTATCACTAAGAGACAAGACCTTCGGGCCAGGACTCGCTTTGCTTGCTTGGGCAGAGTCCACGGGCCCACCCCATGTCCTCGTGGTGGTGCCGGGGGCGGGTGGGGGGTGTGGGGTGAGCTACCGGCTCCGTCCGGGGTGATGGTGCCCAGCTTGACGGCCAGCGGGTAGCCCGTCTCTCGGTAGTGCTCCACTGCGTGGTTATTGCCCCCGCTGCCATCGAAGTAGCGGCGGCCGCAGAGGATGGAGCCGTCGGTGAGGTTGAGCCACAGATTCTCCCTCATGTCACAGCGGGAGCACTTCCAGCCACTGGGCCGGAGAGAAGGAAGTCAGCGGCCAAGTGGGGGTGGTGGTAGTGGTGGGGGGGACAGGAGAGTGGGGGAAGGGGGTGTGGGGGCGGGGCTCTGCTCCTCCAGGGGCTGGGCTCACCAGGGAGGGATGCGCGCGGGGTTGTCCAGCTGCTTGAGGCTGAAGGCGTGCTTGGACACCTGGCGCACCTCCCCGTCCCAGGCCTGGATCTCCTGCTTGCGGGACGCCGAGTCGGCGGAGAGCAGGGCCTCCACGGCGCTGGTCACCTGGGGGAGCAGAGGGTCAGGGGGTGCGCCCGGCCCACCCAAGGCACCCCCTGCTCTGGCCCCATTGGCCCTGTGTGTGTGGGGGGGTGCATACCCGATCTCGGACGATGTCCGGCAGGCCCCCCAGTCCGTCCCGGGCGATCTCCAGGTAATCTGGCAAAATGACAATCTTCACGTCCTCGTCGAACTCAAACTTCTCCTCGCTGAGGTCGAAGCCGCCCTCCACACCTGGGGAGAGAGGGGGGTCCGAGGGTCTGGCTGCAGCCGGGCAGGGCCACACCCCCCTGGCTTGGTTCCGGCAGAGGACGCAGGTAAGAGAGGGGTGCTCACCTATAGCCAGCCGGGTGGGCTTCTTCCGTGGGGGGTCTCCGGTGCCTGTGGTGGAGTCCTCCTCTTTCTGGGGGCAGCAGGGAAGGAACAAACGGGGTGAACTGCAGCGGGACACCAGCGGAAGCCCGTGTACATGGGGGGGGAGGGCATCCCGGGGCTGGAATCACACCCAAGACCTATTCTGCTATTCTTTTATTTTTTTTGCTTTTTGGGTCACAACCGGCGATGCTCAGGGGTTCCTCCTGGCTCTTCACTCAGGAATTACTCCTGGCAGTGCTCGGGGGACCCTATGGGATGCTGGGGTCGGCCGCGTGCAAGGCAAACGCCCTCCCCACTGTGCTATCGCTCCAGCACCCAAAGACCTATTCTGACCCCAGGAGCCACATCCTCACCCTGATGGGACGCTGGGGCATGCCAAGTTAGAACAAGTCTGATGCTGAGAAAAAAGGCACCCAGTGTGGGTCGGGGGGCAGCTGCGACCCAGGGGAGGAGATGAGGGACAGGGTGCCCGGCGGGAGGGGGAGGGGCCGGTCCAGTCCTACCGGGCGCCGGGTCCGCCGGAGGTGTAGGTACACTCGCTGGCCTGTCTTGTTGAAATGTCTCTCCACATACTGCTTGCCGAAGCCCAGGAATGTGTTCATGCAGATGTAGAGGCCGCCCTCGGACTCCTAGGGACACACGGCGCGGGAGGAGGCTCAGGGCGGCCCAGAGACCAAGGCCCGTGCCTGCACGGCTGGACATTCTCCTTCCAGGACTGCAGGGCTTGGGACCGGCTGCTTCACCTTTCAGGGTCTGGCTCCGGGCTCAGAGTCTCCCTTGCGGCTGACTACCAACCAGCAAGAGCAATTGATCTATCAGCCACCGTCTGGCTTCCTCCTGGCTCCTTCCTGGGGCTTGAAAGCCCTGGATCAATTGCGGGGAGCTCCCTGTTCACACCTTGCCCGGAGTGAAGGGCCCCGGAAAGTGGACAGGGGTCAAAGACCTGGGACTGTGGTGCCAACGATAACATCTGAAGAAGAGCCCATTCCTGGGAGTCAGGCACCAGGATCACCATGGCAACCGCACCTCACCCGTGAAATACAGAGAACCTTCTGGATCCACATGAGACCCTAGTGCCCGCAGCATGCGGGGGCTGATTACTGAGCTTGTGGCCTGTCCAGACACTCCTGGCCAGACCCGGGCCCCGGGGCCACGCTGAGTCTTCTGCCTTCTCTCCAGGAGAACATGGCCTTGTTCTGGGTTCTCAGACACACCTAAGCCTGGGGCCCGAGTGACAGTTCGGCGGGTAGGGTGTCTGGGGCTGACCCACGTTCCATCCTCAGCACCACTAGGAGTGAGCCCTGAGCAGAGGACCAGGAGGAAGCCCTGAGCACTGTCAGGGTAGCCCCCCAATTGCCCCTAATCTTGTCTGGCAGGAACTCAAAGAGTTCAGTACCCTGCCCACTTCCTATCTAACCAATAACCATCATTCCCACAGCTGTCCCCTCGGTCTGCATCCTCCAAGCCAGCCTCTTTCTAGAAGGATTCTAGCAACCCTGGCTGAGCCGGCTAGGACACACCTAACCCAGCAAGGAACCGGCAAAGCCAAGCGTCCAGCTGACACACAGGCCGATGGGGAAAATGGGCCTCTCCGAAAATGAACAAGCAAGCGGGCTGGAGCAATAGCACAGCGGGGAGGGCGTTTGCCTTGCACGCGGCCGGCCCAGGTTCGATTCCAAGTATCCCGTATGGTCCCCTGAGCACCGCCAGGAGTAATTCCTGAGAGCAGAGCCAGGAGTAACCCCTGTGCATCACCGGGTATGACCCAAAAAGAAACCAACGAACAAAAAAAATTAGTGAAAATGAACAAGTTAGGTCGGAATGAGAGGAGAGCGGGGAAAACGCTTGCCTACCGCGCTGCTGGCCCTGGTTTTGATGCCCAGCACTGCATATGTTTCCCTGAGCACAAAGCCAGGAGTAAGCCCCAAGCATAGCTGGGCGTGCCAAGCCCCACCTCCCCACAATAAAATGAGCAAGTGGGAGGTGGAGTGATAGTACGGTGAGGAGGGTGTTTGCCTTGCACATGGCTGATCCGGGTTCGATCCCCAGCATCCCAAATGGTCCCCCAGAACTGCCAGGAGTGATACCTGAGTTGCAGAGCCAGGAGTAACTCCTGAGCACTGCTGGGTGTGACCCAAAATGCAAAACAAAAAAATTAATAAAATAAAATGAGCAAGTCTATGGGCTGGAGCGATAGCACAGCGGATAGGGTGTTTGCCTTGCACGCAGCCAACATGGCCAACCCGAGTTCGATTCCTCTGCCCCTCTTGGAGAGCCCGGCAAGCTACCGAGAGTATCTCAATCGCATGGCAAAGCCTGGCAAGCTCCCCGTGACGTATTTGATATGCCAAACACAGTAACAAGTCTCACAATGTTCCTGGGCCCGCTCGAGCAAATTGATGAACAACGGGAGGACCGTGACCGTGACCGTGAGCAAGCCTACCAGTATGCCCTTGAGCATAGAGGCATGGGGCAGTCAGAAGAGGAAACGAGGGACATTAGCAGTCTCCCCTGGGACCCAAGGTTTTGAGCAACAGCAGGTATTTGCTTCCTAGAATGAAAGTGCCTGTGGCCTTGAATTTGTTGTCTACGTTCTTAAACCCAGGGTCCAGGGATCCCAGAACGATAGTCCAGTGGGCAGGGGCCTTGCTTTGCATGAGGCTGACCCAGGTGTGATCCTTAGTACCCATGTGATCCTCCGAGCACTGCCAGGAGTGATCCCTGAGCACAGAGAGAGGAGTAAGCCCCTGAGCACCACGAGGTGTGGCCCCCAAATAAACAAAAGCTAGGGCACTGGGGGGTCGGAGCACCAGGACAGCAGATAAGGCGCTTGCCTTGGATGGAGCAAACCCGGTTTGATCCCTGGCACTGTCTACGGTTCCCCTGAGTCCCACCAGGAGTGATCCCTGAGCAGAGCTCGATGTAAGCCCTGAGCACTGCAGTGGGGCAAGTGGGGGGGTGGGGGGGACTCCCCAAATCAAGGCGTCATCTAAAGCAGCTCGTGGTGCCGTGGGCTGCTCTGTATTACTTCCCAGAACAACAGGAATTTTGCTGTTCATGAACAAATAAAGGGCACAGCTCACCAGGGAGCTCCCATAAGCTCTGCCTGCCGTGGACCCCACGCAAAGAGCATCACACGTCCGGAAGATGGTTAGCAAAGCAACCGGCTAGGTCTCTAGACTTGGGAGGACAGAAGGAAAAAGGAGGGAGGGGGCGGAACCATAGGACAGCAGGCAGGAGGCTTGCCTTGACCGGGACTGACGTGGACTCGACCCCCGGCATCCCATAGGGTACCCTGGGTACTGCCAGGCGTAATTCTTGTGTGCAGAGCCCGGAGTAACCGACCCCTGAGCATCACCACAAGTGTGTTGGATGACAAAAATCTTCCGGGAGGTGTGTATGTGTGTGTGTGTCGGGAGGGTAGTTTATTCGAAGAGAGAGGGAGACCGGAGTATAAAGAAGACCCCCTGACATGGATTTATCCGTTGAGAATTAAGAGAAAGCTTTCCTTCCTCGAGAGGGATGGTTTTTATCAAGCCAGGCACTGGAAGGAGGAACGGGAAGGACTTTGGCACCCGGGCAGGAAATAAACGATGCTGGTTTCACCCAGGACTGGGAAGCACCCAGGCCCCCCAACCCAGTCCCTCCTGCCACCCCCACCCCCACCCCCAGACAGGCAGAGAAGCAAAAGTGTGAGAGGCTTGGGTCGGAGCCCAGCAGGTTTGCCAGGCAAACCACAAAGGCTAGCGACCCTCCTGGGTTGGGCCTTAGCTCAGGATGCTCCCTACTCAGCAGTGGCCACGCCGGAATGAAGCCTTTCCACTCTGACTTGCAGTTTTTCCAGGCCAGGCGCGGGTCTGGCTTGAATACCCTGGGCAGGGCCAGCGGCGGCAGCAGCGGCGGCTGGAGGGGAGGGGTGGGTGGGGAGGGGGGCGGATCCCAACCAGGACGCACTGCGCGGGGTGGGGGGCACTGGCCGGGCAGGCAGGCGGCGGGTTTCTGCTGGAGGGTGACACAGGAAAGGCAGAACTGCAGGAAGGGAGGAGGCACCCGGTGGAGCCCGCAAAACCTGAAGCCACGCTGTGGGTGGCGGCTTTGTCTGACTAGTCCAGAGTGGGATGGCCACGGGAGGTGGGGGGGTGGGGGTGGCGTTGGAAGCCCCCACCCCACCCCACCCCACCCCCCAAGAAGGAAACCTTCTCTCTGGGGGGATACTTTTACAATGGGTCACCCCTGCGGGAAGCGGGGAGGAGGGAGAAGGGGCTGCGGCAACAGTTCACCTCGAAAGGAGAAACGACTCGAGTTTTCCTCGCCTCCCATCCCATGACCCACCTCCCCGCCCCCTGTCCACATTAACCACGGGTGGAGGCTCTCTGAACTCGGCCTTTCTCCGAACGGGCCTCTCCGATGGCCCCGTCCAGACTCACAGGCGCCGAGGAACTTGCAGACCCCACCCTCCACCCGCAACCCCGGCCCCAAGAACCGTGTGGAGGGTGGGGGGCGGGAAGGGGGGGGTCGCCCCATCACTCCCACTCGAGACTACAAAATCCGGGGAGCCATGCGCGGCAGGCAAGCCCGACTCCCAGGCATTCGCGGGAGGCCTCTTGGGGGATGTAGTTCAACCGGCGGGCCGCGCCGCTCACCTGAAGCGGCCAATCGGGGCGCGACGGACTACAACTCCCACAAAGCACCGCGACACGGGGCCCGGGCGCGGCAGCCGCGATGGCTTCCGGGGCCGGTAGTCCCACGCCGGCGCCGGCTAATTGGAAGCCACGGCAGGGAGGCGAGCGGGAGACTACAAGTCCCATGGTGCACCGCGGGGAGGCGGTAGCCCAAGCCTTGCAGGCCCCGGCAGAATGACCAGGGAGATGGGAGTAGTGCTGGCTTCGGGCGTGGGGAAGGGGCTTACCGGTGTGTCGAAGGAGAAGGCGCACTCGTCTTTGTGGACCCGGTCGCCGGCCTTAGGGACCCGGATCGTCGGTAATACTGACAGCAGCGCCTCCTCACTCAGCTCCGCCATGACACCGGCAGCTGCTCCTCCACACACAGCGGCTCCCACCGTTCCCAGTCCCCCACCCCCTACTCCGGCCGTCCAATGAGCGCTGCCCGCTCCGGGCATGCGCCGAAGGGAAGCGGCGCGAGAACGGCAGTTGGACGGAACCCGCCTCCCGGTGCTCCGCCCTCTGCCCTAGTCTTGATCACAGCCAATGAGAAGCTCCTTTCGGGCCCTGGCCCCACCCCCGCCGCCCCAGCAGCCAATCCCGCTCTTCCAGGCAGCGCGCATGGAGCGGCGAGGCGGGGCGGGGCGTGGACCCCGGCGCGCAGGGACCTCCTTCCAGTTTCTTAGCGGGGCAGGGATTGACCGTTGTTGAGATCAAATCAATCCCAGAAATTTTTCCTGTGGACTTGTCCGGTTGGGACATAGGAGGGCGATTTGATTCTTAGTATTTGAAAAGGGGCTCTTGGCCGAGGGGGGCTCGAAAGGGTTCAAGTGATTGATAATCCCGTCAGCCAATAAGGATTGCTTCAGCGCCGCTTCCAGCTGGGTCCATCCACATCAACGTAATGAGTTTGTTTCGGAAATGACGGTGCCCAGAGCTTACACTGTGGGACCTCAGAGTCTCACGATGGGCAACTGTCAGCCGAATACGCAACGAAGGTCTCCTTGTCCAGGAGGCGTTGCCCCTGCAAATGAAACTGCTAGTAGACGTGTCAGCTGGCCCCAATGATGGACGTCCGCTCTGTCCAATGGTTTTCCTCTTTGGGGGCGGGTCTCACGTAGCGGGCCTATGGGAGCCAGTTCCGGCTCAGCCAATAGCGTGCAGGCAGTGGGCGTGGCGGGAGGTTTGAAACTCAGTTTGGGGAGTTGAGCAAGCGGTGCGCCCGGAGGTGGACTGGAGGCTGGGTAAGTGATCGTGGGAAGAAAACAGAGAGAAAGTGAGAGGACCCGGCCGGCCGAAGGTGCCACCCTTCCCTTCCCGCTGCCCCCGCCGCTGGGTTTCTTGGCTGCGAAGCGGGAAGCGGGGGGAAGTGCGCAGCCGGGGGCGGCTGGAGGGTCCTGGGGACTCAGACCTGAACCGCTTCTCCCAGGCATTCCGTCCTCGCGTCGGGCCGGGCCCTGCCCGTCCTGGTCCTCCCGGTGGAGATGGGCTCCGCCAAGAGCGTGCCGGTCACCCCCGCGCGGCCCCCGCCGCACCACAAGCAGCTGGCCCGGGTGGCCGACCCTCGGTCCCCGAGCGCCGGCATCCTGCGCACTCCCATCCAGGTACTCTGGGGTCGGCTGGGGCGGCGGGGAACCGGGCTGGGCTCCGGGAACCCTGCCCACGCTTGCTTCTGAGATGGACCCCCGCCCCCTTCCCGCCTTGCCTCTCCTGTTCAGGGCCTTTGTTTGCCACCTGCTATCTCAGAGTCCCGGAGTCCGCCACCAGGCTCCTTTGTCCTAACTTTTCCTCCCGACAGGTGGAGAGCTCTCCCCAGCCAAACCTCCCAGTCGAGGAGCAATTGGAAGGTGCTGCCGAGGAGCTGGAGTTTGATCCCCGTTCTCCCACCCTGGGCATCGCCAGGACACCTAGGAAGAGCAGCAGCGGTGAGTGGCCGGGGCGCCCGCGGTTCCCGATAGGGCTGTCAACCTACTCTCGGTTGCTGGTACTCAGACAAGCAGGCAAATGCTCGCCCGCTGAGCCTGATCCCCAACGCCTTGTTTGTTTGATTTGGGGGCTACGCCCGCTGGTGCTCAGGGGCTGCTCCTGGCTCTGTGCTCAGAAGCCACTCCTGGCGGTGCTTGAGGGCCACATGGGATGCTGGGGATGCAACCAGGGCGGGCTATGGACTGTTTCTCCAGCCCCTCGTGGCTTCACACCCGGCTGCGCTCAGTGATCACTCCTGGTGAGCCCAGGGGAACATATGGGGTGCTGGGGATCCAACCTGGGTTGACTTGATGTAAAGCAAGCATCCTCCCCACTGTCTCTCCAGCCCTATTGGCTCTTTTTTGGGGGGGCCGGGGGAGGGCACACTTGGCGGTGCTCAGGGTTACTCCTGGCTCTGCAGTTAGGAATCACTTTTGGAAGCATCAGGGCACCAATTGGGTGCCAGGGATCGAACCCGGCATTGGCTACCACATGCCAGTGCCTGCCCACTGTACTATTACTCCATTCCTGGTTGGCTCTTTCTTTTTTTAGCTTTTTTTGGGGGGATCACACCTGACAATACTCAGGGGTTACTCCTGGTTCTGTACTCAGGAATCACTCATGGTAATACTCAGGGGACCATATGGGATGCTGGGGATCGAACTTGGGTCAACTGCATGCAAGGCTGTCACTCCGGTCCCTGGCTCTTTCTTTTTTTTTTTTTTTTTGTTTTGTTTTGTTTTGTTTTTTTGGGTCACACCCAGCAATGCTCAGGAGTTACTCCTGGCTCATGCACTCAGGAATTACTCCTGGCAGTGCTTGGGGGACCATATGGGATACCAGGGATCGAACCTGGGTCGGCCGCGTGCAAGGCAAACGCCCTACCTGCTGTACTATCACTCCAGTTCCGCCTGACTCTTTCTTAAAGGGAACTTCTTCCTCCTGTTCTTCTAGACCCAGCTAACTTTTTTTGGGGGAGGGGCAGTGTCTGGGATGGAACACAGGATCTCATACCTGTGAGGCAAGCACCTGACCAACACTTACCAACAAATTATATTTCAGGCCCCATGTCACTCTTTTTTTTTTTTAATGTATAAGTACTGCTATTTAATCAGCCACTGATTAGCTGATTGAATTGCCCTTGTCACTCTTTACTCTTTTCTCAATGTTTTGTGTTTCTCTCTCTCTCTTTCTCTCTCTCTCTCTCTCCCCCCCACCACCACCTCCCCTCTAATTCCTCACCTCCTTGGTTGTGAGTCCCAGGGCTACTGTATGTTTCTATATCTTTTTCTCCTTTCCAATAGAATGATTTCTTTCTTTCATAATTTTTTGGGGGGATCACACCCAGCAATGCTAACAGTTTACTCCTGGTTCTGCACTCAGGAATCATTTCTTTACTCCTGGCGGTACTCAGGGGACCCTATGGGGTGCTGGGGATCAAACCCGGGTCAGCTGTGTGCACTGCAAACCCCCTCCCCACTATACCATTGCCCCAGCTCAATAATTTTTTTTGTGTCAGAGGGTCCTTGCCTTACTTTACCTCTCATCTGCAGACCTTACAAGCCCACTGGTGACACAGCTGATTGAAGCCCTTGGGATCGAAGACCCCAAACCGAATCTGCCCCCTGAACCTGCCCTGCCCTCGGAGACACCATCATCTCCTGAATTGGACTTGTCTGTGGGCACCCAGTTTGCCCTGGAGGATCCGACGCCACCTGAAAGCCAGTCAGAGCTGCCTTCCAAACAGCTGCCTTCCAAGGAAGAAACGGACCCACTCCCAAATACCCCGGTGGCCAGCCAGGGCTCAGACAAGCCCCTGAAAGACCCCGAGACGCCCAGATCTTCAGGTACAGACGCTGCGGACAAGGGGGAGGGGAGAAATCCTGGGAGGAAGTCCATGGAGTTGGAGGAATAAGCTCTACACCCTTCCGTTTGGTTCTTGGCGTCCACGCCTTCCCCACCTAGGTTCTAAGCGAAATAAGAGGAAACCCAAAGGAAAGGTACTGGGGAGATCGCCCCTCACCATCCTGTCAGATGACAACTCCCCCGGCACTCTGGCGTCACGGCAGGTAAGGGAAAAGAGGGTGTTTTTTTGTTTTATGGTTTTTTTGTTTGTTTTTGCTGAGGGGCCACATCTGGCGATGCTCAGGGGTTACTCGTGGCTCTGCATTCAGGAATCACTACTGGAAAGCTCTGGGGACCAGATGGGATGCCTGGGATCAAACCCAGGTTGGGGGGCTGGAGCCATAGCACAGCGGGGAGGGTGTTTGCCTTGCACGCGGCCAACCCGGGTTCGATTCCCAGCATCCCATATGGTTCCCCGAGCACCGCCAGGAGTAATTCCTGAGTGCAGAGCCAGGAAGAACCGCTGTGCATGGCTGAGTGTGACCTAAAAAGCCAAAACAAAAAAAAAATAAACCCAGGTTGGCCACGTGCCAGGCAAAGACCTACCCACTGTACTATCTCTCTGGTCCCAGAGAGTGGAAACGCCTGGGAAATTCACCGTGGAGGGTGGGAAGCCTGTTTCCCTGGTTCTTCCTTCTGGAAGCCTCCTCCTACCCTTCAGTGAGTGCAACTGTCTTTTGCAGGGCAAGCGGCTTTCTCCCCTGAGCGAAAATGTCAGGGGCCTAAAGGAAGGGGCCCTTCTGGGGACAGGCGGACTCGTGAAAGCTGGAGGAGGAGCGTGGGAACCTGGCCAGGACCATGACAAGGAGAACCAGCACTTCCCCTTGGTGGAGAGCTAGCCCGGCACCCAGCACCCAGCACTCCACTTTACTGGGTCACTCCGCCCTGGCCCCGGGGGAGAGAGAGACTGGAGAGGTTGATTTTCTTTGACTTTCCATGAACATTATGACTTTTCCACCTGTGAGAGTTTTGGATTGCGCTTTCTCTGTGTTTTATGTGAGTTGGTTTATTAAAGGAGGTGATTTTAAAATGATGTCATGATCGGGAAGTTTTCATTGTTTATTGCAGGGACCATCAGTGGGGGCCATCAGGATACCTCCGCAGTCCTGGACTTAAGATATTTATTTCGAGTGCTGGGAGTCACACCCAGCTGTGCTCTGGGCTTACTCCTGGTGGGCTTGGGGGAACCATATGGACCATATGGGATGCCGGGGATCAGAGTTGGGGTGCTTATGTACAAGGCAAGTCCCCTACCCACTATATTAAGTGGTGCTTTTTTTTTTTTGCTTTTGCTTTTTTTTCACACCCAGCAATGCACAGGGGTTACTCCTGACTCATGCACTCAGAAATTACTCCTGGCGGTACTTAGGGGACTCTATGGGATGCTGGGAATCGAACCTGGGTCAGCCGCGTGCAAGGCAAACACCCTACCCGCTGTACTATTGCTCCAGCCCCTTAAATGGTGCTTTTAACTATTACACCTAAGCCTCACTTGGCTCTCCTGAACATGGAGTGGCAGCCCGGAAAGCATCTTTGTAGTCTGAGTGACACCCCAGCTTCCGCCGGCCCCCTCTAATACCTCCAAGCTGCTTTTTTTTTTTTTTTTTTTTTTTAAATTTTAAAGCCAGTTTACTTTCCATATCATTTCAAGAAGGGAATTTGCCATTTTAAACAACATTCAAGTTTATTAAACAAAGTTATAAAATGTTTAACTTTCATCAGCTTCAAGATTTATGTTGCTCCCAAATTTCGCGTATAACTGTACTTTCAAATCAGCCAACACCCGCTGAATGGATTCTACTCGGGATTCTAAAGCGTCGATTTCTTCTTGCAAATTTTTCTTTGCTTCTTCTAACATGTCCTGCGTTTCCTCCTGGGAGTGGCTGATGAAAACGTCCCCGACTTGGTAAGGAATCATCAAGCAGTCGTCGTCCGCCAGCATGATGTCCTCGCAAGCGTCTTCGAGATTCTGGAGCTGCTTCTTCTTCACATCTATTTCTTCCTTAAGCTCTGTGATTCTGCTTGTGTTCCGAGCAAATTTGTTGATCTTTTGCTGGTCTTCGAAAGTAACGTTGACATCTTCTGCAGCCGCCTTCTTCATGGTGGCCGCCATCTTCTCCAAGCTGCTTTTAAGCGCTTCTCTTAAACCCTGGCCTCTGCCCTCTGGTTCTTAGGTGTTTGCTTGGAGGACTGTCACACTCAGTATTCTTGGTCACTTACAGGTCAGTCCGTCTAACCGTCACCTTTACCCAGTTCCCACGATGGCATTTCTGTCAGTTTGCCCAGGGGCCGGGGACACGGCTCTCAGGGCTAGTGGGCATGCTAGGTTTGATCCCTACACCTCACAGTCCCCAGGGCACTGCTGGAGGAGGACCTTCCCACCCCCGCCAATTATCACTCCAGGAATAGCCCCAGAGTATTGCCAGGTGTGGTCCCCAATCACAAACCCCCAAAGTCAGCTTGTCTAAAAGTGAATTTCTGCTCTGGCCTCCAGAGTTCTTCCTCATCCTCGACTCCCTGTTCTCGTGAGTAACAGTGTTATCTGGCCAGTCTCCCAAGCCCATACCTTAGCCATTATATTCAACTTATTTTTTTTCATGTCCCATAACCCAGCACTTGGTTACTAAATCATATTCTCTTTTTTTTTTTTTTTTTGGAGGCGGGGCACACCCAGGGATGCTCAGGGCTTACTCCTGGCTCTGAGCTCAAAGGTCATTTCCTGTCAGGGCTTGAGGGATCATGTGGGGTGTCAGGATCAAACCCAGGTGACCACGTGCAAGGCAAATGCTTACCCATGAAAACCTCCTCCTGATCCATCTCGGGCCGTCCCTATGAGACCTGAGCTTCTGCCCCTACCCCGTCTGGACAGTCTGTGTAGTACCAGCCTTTCTCATCCCATCTCTAATACTTTATTTATTTATTTATTTATTTTGGCTTTTGGGGTCATGTCTGGCGATGCTCGGGGGTTAGTCCTGACTCTGCACTCAGGAACTACTCCTGGCGGTGCTCAGGGGACCATATGGGATGCTGGGGCTTGAACCTGGGTTAGCCATGTGCAAGGCAAACGCCCTTCCCACTGTACTATTGCTCATCTAATACTTTTTTTTTTCCTTTTTTGGGTCACACCCGGCAATGCACAGGGGCGACTCCTGGCTCTGCACTCAGGAATCACTCCTGGCAGTGCTCAGGAGACCCTATGGGATGCTGGGAATCGAACCCAGATTGGCCGCATGCAAGGCAAACACCCTCCCCACTGTGCTATCGCTCCAGCTCCGCTCCTCTAATACTTTTTAAGTGGAAGCTGCATCTTGGGGTCACAGAAACAGAGAGGAAGCTGGACGCTACAGCCAGATGGAGGTGCTCCACTTTATTGCAGGAAAGAAAAAGGAAAAACAAAAGGATGAAGGGGGCGCAGGCGCCTAACTGGTACCCGGGCCACAGTCGCAGAACTGAGCATCCCGGGTCACCCCGTGGCTCTGAAGGAGGAGGCCTGGGGCTTGGGTGGGAACCTGGTGGCCCGTCCAGGGCTGGAGTCGCTGGGGTCCTTCCTATCAGCAGACGCTATCAGGACCTCGGAAAGCGTACGGAGGCCCTAAAAGGAGCCAGGGCAGCTGTGTTCCTGATGCTGCCCCCCCACCCAACACCCCTCTCCAGAGTACCCACTTTTCTCTAGGAGGAAGTTGGCTGGGAATGGCAGCGGGGGTCTAGAAGGGGAAACGCGTTCAAGCCATGTGAGGGGCCGGGGGGGCGGGGAGCGTGGTCACCTTTATGCTCTTCCCCCCTCCTCGAGCCGCCTCAGTTCCAGATTTTGAGGAAGCTGTCCCAGGAGCCTGTTGCCACGGCCATGCCATCAGCTGTGACCCCCAGGCAGCTGACTCTGTTGTCGTGGCCAGAGAGGATGCCTGCGGAGGAGGGGGAGGGGTCAGAGGTGGAGCAGGACCCCCCACACACACTCGGGCAGGTACCCGGGGATTCATCTGCCTGGGTGGAGGCTGAGAATTAACCCTAAAGGGAGGGTTCCCTCCTGACCAATCTCTTCCTCCAGAGCAGGGGCAACCTCATGGCTTCTAGAAAACACGATAGGAGACCCTTTCATCCTGATCCTTGAAAGAGACCGAAGGGTCCAGAGAGGAAGGGATTTGCCCCAGGGGGCTCAGAAGCTAGGCCCCAGACTCAAGATTTGGGTCTCTTCAGAGGGAACCCTTCTTTCTTTTCTTTTCTTTTTTTTTCTTTTTTTTTTTTTTTTTGTTTTTGGGTCACACCCAGCAATGCTCAGGGGTTACTCCTGGCTCTGCACTCAGGAATTACTCCTGGCAGTGCTTGGGGTACCATATGGGATGCCAGGGATTGAACCCAGGTTGGCCGAGTGCAAGGCAAACGCCCTACCCGCTGTGCTATCGCTCCGGCCCCTCTTTTCTTTTCTTTTCTTTTCTTTTTTTTTTTTCCTGCTTTTGGCCTGGGGATGGAGGGTTGGTTCTAAACCAGGCAGGGCTCAAGGCTCTTCCTGGCTCTGTGCCCAGGGATCACTTCTGGCAGGGCTCAGGGGGCTACAGTAGAACCAGGGATGGAACCCGGGTTCTGCATGCAAGGTGAGTGCCCTACCTGCTGTGCTGTTTCTCCGGCCCAGGGAAACTTTGTTTGAACATTCTGGGAGGGGGGATGCCTAGAGAACTAGCATAGCGGGTAGGGAGTTTGCTTGCATGCTCGAACCAATCAGGGTTCGAGCCCCCACACCCCCTTTGACCCCCTTAAGCACCACCAGGAGTGCTTCCTGAGCACAGAGCCAGGTGTAAGCCCTGAGCATCGCCACATGTGACCCCAAAAACCAAAGACAAGAAGAACATACTCCTATGTTCTTTTTTCCTCTTCTTTTTTTTTTTTTTTGCATTTTGGGTCACACCTGGTGATGCACAGGGGTTACTTCTGGCTCATGCACTCAGGAATGACCCCTGGCAGTGCTCGGGGGGACCATATGGGATGCTGGGAATCGAACCCGGGTCAGCCACATGCAAGGCAAACACCCTACCTGCTGTGCTATTGCTCCAGCCCTCCAATGTTCTTTTTGAACATAGGAATGAGCCCCCAGGGTCTAAAAAAAAAGCCCCTAGACTATCTCTGGCCCAGCGGGACTAGATTCTGAGGGCAGGAAGTAGGGAACAGCCTGGAAGAGGAGGAGGGATGAAGGGAAGAGTTGGGAGTGGGTTTGGGGGGGTCTCCCAGCAGAGAGAGCAGGGCAGGGGGCGGGCTCTTACCCACACGCTCGCCCTTCATGGAGTCCCAGACGTTGCAGTTGAAGTCGTCATAGCCGGCAAAGAGCAAGCGTCCACTGAGGGAGAAGGCCACGGACGTGATGCCACAGAGGATGCTCTCGTGGGTGTAGGTAGCCAGCTCCTGGTCCGCCCGCAGGTCGAACAGACGGCACGAGGCATCGTCCGAGCCGGTGCAGATGGCCTCTCCGCTGGGGAAGAACTGAGGGGATGGACCGTGGGTTCAGCACGCACACCCTGCAGCCCACCACCCCTGCCCTCAGCCTGGCCGTGTCCTCCATCCACTGCCATCTGTCATAGGCTGATGCAGGCTCGGACCTTCCACAGCAGTGATGCTGAGGGCACCAGCCCCGGGGTCAGAGGGAGAACCACCGTGAAGCCCCTGAATCCCCAGTGATCATGTCAGTGGTCATTTGCCTTGCATCCGGCCAACCTGGGTTCCATCCCTTGCATCCCATACGGTCCCTGAGTACTCCCAGGGGTCATTCCTGAGTGCAGAGCCAGGAGTAACCCCTGAGCATCACTGGGTGTGACCCAAAAAAGCACCAAATGCCCCTGCCAGGGGATCGGAGTGATAGGGTGTTTGCAACGGGTAGGGTGTTTGCAACGCACAGTCAGGTAGGGCGTTTGCAACGCACGTGGCCAACCTGGGTTCAATCCCTAGAATTCCATATGGTCCCCCGAGCCCTGCCAGGAGTGTGACCCGAGTACAGAGCCAGAAGTAACACCTGAGCATTGCTGAGGATGGTCCAAAATATTAAACATTTTTTAAAAAATAGTAAATAAACATCTCGATTGAGAAAGGCCAAATGTTGGGGCTTCCAGGCCAGCACACGCCTTGCAGGCGGGAGGCCCTGGGCTCATCCCAAGAACATCCATGTCAGAGACATGATGGAGAAGAGGTGGCAGAATGATACCCATTTAAAGGAAACGAGGGGGCCACAGGGATAGTACAGCAGGGAAGGCGTTTGCCTTGCATGCAGCCGACCCGGGTTCGATTCCCAGCATCCCATATGGTCCTCTGAGCACTGCCAGGAGTAATTCCTGAGTGCAGAGCCAGGAGTGACCCCTGAGAATCGCTGGGTGTGACCCAAAAAGCCAATAAAATAAAAGAAAAATAAAGGAAATGAAAAGGGGGAGCTGGAGAAATGGAATAGACGTTAAGACATTTGCCTTGCCAGGCTGGAGCAATAGTACAGTGGGTAGGGCATTTGCCTTGCACGCGGCCGACCCAGGTTCGATTCCCAGCATTCCATATGGTCCCCTGAGCACCGCCAGGAGGAATTCCTGAGTGCATGAGCCAGGAGTAACTCCTGTGCATTGCCAGGTGTGACCCAAAACAAAACAAAACAAAACAAAAAAAGACATTTGTCTTGCCTTGAGGCTGACCTGCCTTTGATCCTGGCACGGTTTAGGGTCCCCAAAGTCTTCCCAGGAGTAATCCCTGAGCACTGAGGTAGAAGTAAGTCCTGAGCTATGCTGAACGTGACCCCCCAAAACAACAACAACAATACCAAAATCAAAAAGAGGCATGTGGGGCTGGAGCAATAGCACAGCGGGTAGGGCGTTTGCCTTGCACGCGGCCAACCCGGGTTCAGTTCCCAGTATCCCATATGGTCCCCTGAGCACCGCCAGGGGTAATTCCTGAGCTCATAGCCAGGAGTAACCCCCTGTGCATTGCCGGGTGTGACCCAAAAAGCAAAAACAAAACCAAAAAAAAAAAAAAGAGGCATGTTGTGTGCCACTTACTACAAAGACCTAGCAAACAGCTGAGCCAGAGAGATGATATTACAGGGGCGGAGAGACTTGTGAATGGCCAAGCCCAATTTGATCCTCAGCACCACATATGGTCCCTGAGTGAATGCTGAGCACCATAGAGCCAGGAGTTAGCTCTGAGCACCTCCGGGTGGGGCAAAAAAAAAAAAAAAGAAAAACAATAACAAAGGGGGCTAGGGCCAGAGAGATAGTACAATGGGTAGGGCTCTTGCCTTGCACACGGCCAACCTGGATTCAATCCCTGGCACCCCATATGGTCCCCTGAGCACACCAGGAGTGATCCCTGAGCACAGAGCCAGGAGTAAGCCCAGAGCACAGATGGGTGTGGCTCAAAAGTCCAAAAGCAGGCAAGCCAGCAAGAGGGGAGAGGAGATAAGGAGATAATCCAGGTATGAGCTTTGCCTGCAGAGGGCTTCAAGCTGGATCCCCAGCACTGCGTGGGCCACTCCGACCCCCAGCACCACCTTGTATAATCTTGTATATAGGGTCTGGAGCGATAGCACAGCGGTAGGGCGTTTGCCTTGCACACAGCCAACTTGGTCGACCCGAGTTCGATTCCTCCGCCCCTCTCGGGGAGCCCAGCAAGCTACCGAGAGTATCTCGCCCGCACAGCAGAGCCTGGCAAGCTCCCCGTGACGTATTCGATATGCCAAACACAGTAACAACAAAGTCTCAAAAATAGAGACATTACTGGGCCCACTCGAGCAAATTGATGAGCAACGGGAGGACAGTGACATAAAATAAATATATCCTTAGTGACCCTAAAGACCTCAAGACCCAGCCTTTGAGCCATCTATCTGGCCTACTTGATTATCACCCAGTGTTACCTCTGGCCTCCTGTGTGCTGCTTGGGAGGCAAAAACAAACAAACAAAACAAAACAAACATCCCGAACTGAAAAAACTAAAACCAAAGGTTCAATGGGCTGGAGCACCTGCCTGGCCCAGTTTCTGGTTCTGGTATTGCATTGCTGGGAGCGACCCCTAAGTACAGAGCACAGGAACCCCCCTACTGGCCCTATAGGATGGGCCCCCCTCAAAAAAGGGGGGAAACAAAAAGTGGGATCTCTACGCAGGTGCAGTGTCTAGTAATCAAAGGGATGTAATCCAGCTCATCTACAAGATCGAGCTAATCCAGCGGTGTGATCCTACCAGCCCTCTAATCTATTCATCCGTCTGGCCTCCTGCGGATGTGTGGGGATCAACTCATTCCTCCTGAAAACGTCTGAAGTTTTGTTTGCTATGTCTTGGCCATGCCAGGCAGTGCTCAGGGCTTACTTCTGGTTGGCTCTGTGCTCAGGGATCGCTCTTGGTGGGGCTCAGAGGATCCTATGTGGTCCCAGGGATCAAACTCGGGCCAGGCCACATGCAAGGCAAAGAATGTAGTCCCTGTTACTACTCTCTCTCCAGCCCCCTTCCTGGAACCTTCCAGAAGGGAATTTGTTCCCTGGGGAGTGTTTAAAAGCAGGAGGCCAGGGGCTGGAGCGATAGCACAGCGGGGAGGGCGTTTGTCTTGCACACGGCAGATGGAGGTTCAATTCCCAGCATCCCAGATGGTCCCCCGAGCACTGTCAGGAGTGATTCCTGAGTGCATGAGCCAGGAGGAACCCCTGAGTGTCGCTGGGTGTGGCCCCAAAAGATAAGTAAATAAATAAATAAGAGCGGGAGGCTAGCAGGGGCTGAGGCCGTGGCTGATGTATGTGGGGGGGGGGCATGAGGTAGTCTGGGGGACTCACACAGATGGCATTGATGTCCGACTCGTGGCCCGTGAACGTCTGCCGGCACGTCCCCTCTCGCACGTCCCAGAGCTTGGCGCTGGCGTCGCAAGCGCCCGAGATGAAGAGTTTGAAGTCGGGGGACACGGCCAGGCTCATGCAGTCCCCGGTGTGGCCCACGAACACTGTCTTCTGCTGCCCGGTCTCAATGTCCCACAGGGCACTGCCAGGAGGGGGAGCTGTCACCAGGCCAGGCTGCGCCAGCACTGCCTCCCCAGGAGGGGCCTGCCAGCAGCCCCCCAACCCAGGTATCCTCACCATGTGGTGTCCCCTGAGCTGGTCACGATGTTATTGTCATCCAAGAAGCGGCAGCAAGAGAGATAACCTGGGGGGGAGGGGAGTGAGGGGAGGGGACGGTTGGTTCCCTGGCTGCAGAGCCACCACCAGTGGGATGGAGGGGGGAGGGGGGCACCCCGCTCACCGGTGTGTGCAGACAGCTCCCGGCTGACCTTGACCGTGCCCTCCCGGGACTTGAGGCTGTAGATGGAGCACATGTTGTCCAGTCCCCCGCAGGCCACGAAGTTCCCCGACGGGGCATAGGCACACGTCATGACCCAGGAGGAGCGCAGCGGGATGGCGTGCACCTGTGGGGTGCAGAGGCAGGACTGTTTTGGGGGTCCCCCCACTCGGGCGGCTGGGGTAGGCAGGACACCAGGCAGGGCGGGTACCTTATTGGTGGTGTAAGTGTCCCAGACGATCAGCTTCCCATCCTGCGAGGCACTGACCAGCAGCCTGCAGGGGGTGGGGGGTGACACCTCCCATCACCAAACCCCTCTCCCCTCCCTCTGCCAAACTGCCCCCCACTGAGCCCCCCTCACGCCTCACTTGGAGTCAGTGGCCCAGTGCATGGCGTAGATCTTGGCCAGGTGCCCCCTCAGCGTCCGCCGCGTTCTCATCTGGACCCGTCCCGCCACCTCGAGGCCGGATACCAGCTGTGGGAGGGGGCAGGGGGCAGCAGGAGAAGGCAAATGAGGGGCTAGAGTGATAGCACAGCAGGGAGGGTGTTTGTCTTGCCGACCCGGGTTCGATTCCCAGCATCTCATGTGGTCCCCCGAGCATCACCAGGAGTAATTCCTGAGTGTATGAGCCAGGAGGAACCCCTGAGCATCTCCAGGTGTGACCCAAAAAGAAGAAAAAAAAAAGAAGGCAAGTGAGCAGATGTCTGCCCAGATGCTATCGTCCCCCCTGCCATGAAGGGTCCAGTCCAGCTTGAGGTCACAGCCTGCCTGAGAAAAGGACGTGGGGGGGGGGGCAGGAGACACACACAGGCAGGACCAGCATCATGGCTTCAGGACGGAGATGCAGAGGCCGGAGAGACAGAACAGCAGGGAGGGCACTTGCATAGCACACAGCCCATCCAGGGTTGATACCTGGCATCCCATATTGTCCCCTGGGTCCCGCTAGGAGTGATCCCTGGGCACAGAGCCAGGAGTCATCCCTGAGCACAGCAGGAGATGGTCCCCAAACATAAACCAAACCAAACAAACCCAAAAGAGGAATCAGGGGACAGGAGAGATCGTATCTTGGGTCGTATATCTTGGATAGTATCAGTGCTTGCTTTGCATGCGGCTGATCCGGGTTCAATCCCGAGCATCCCATATGGTCCCCTGAGCACCTCCAGGAATAATTCCTGAGCACAGAGGCAGGAGTAAGCCCTGAGGACCACCGGGTGTGGCCCAAACACAAAAAGAGAGAAAGACAAAAAAGGGTGAAAGAAAGAAAGAAGGGAGAGAAAGAAAAGAAAGAGAAAGAGAGGGAAGAAGAGAATGAAAGAGAGAAAGAAAGGGCTGGAGCTATAGTACAGCAGGGAGGGCATTTGCCTTGTATGTAGCCGACCCGGGTTCGATTCCCAGAATCCCATCCATATGGTCCCCCAAGCACCGCCAGGAGTGATTCCTGAGTGCAGAGCCAGGAGTAACCCCTGAGCATCGCTGGGTGTGACCCAAAAAGCAAAAAAAAAGAGAAGAAACTGAGGTCTTGAAGGCCCTCAGCCGTGTGTGTGTGTGTGTGTGTGTGTGTGTGTGTGTGTGTGTGCGACACATGGTTAAGTGTTTAGTGAATGTTTCTGCCAAGCTCAGATGCCACCGAGTTGAAGAATTCTTTCCACTCTTGGAAAGAATGTGCCACTCGAAGAAAGAAAAACAGCCTCCACCTGTCAAGGCAAGGCAGCCTCTGCCATTCACTGCAACTCCACTTCAGAGATGAGAAGTGTGGGGGAAACGGGCCTCGAACCCACACGCTCGTTAGGACACACGTCAAGGCCAGGCCCCCTCCCTTCCCTCTGGCCGGGAACGGACTCCCGGATGGGTTACTGGGTGTCACCCCCGCATCAGGACAGGCTGGACAGAAGGCGCGGCAGCTCGGGGAGCACTGTCCCTCCCCCCTCTCCCCTGTAGCCTCACCTCCGCCAGGGTGATGTCGGCACAGGCTTTCCTGGCATCCTGAGGGGAAAAGCAAGACATCAGGGGGGCCGGGGGTACCGGGCCCCTCAGGGGACTGCGTGCTACGGGCTCAGCTACGAGACGGGTCTGGGAGACTCGCAGGGAAGGGGGGTCTTGAAGGGGTCGTCCAAGAGCAGGGGTCGCCCCCTTTCTCCAGGTTCTCGGTTCTGTGTTTCCTGGGGTTCCGCCCTCCCCGGTGGGGCGGGGAGTGGGGTTACTGCAATCTGTTTCTTGAGTTGTTCTGCTTCCTGCCGCAGCTGCTCCATCTCCCCCATGGCTGCAGGTACAGGGTGACTCCTGCTGGAAACACAGGGGTGGGCCTGTGTTTGGGGGGGGACCCCTCCAGGCTTGGTCTCGGTCCCTCACACCCCACGCCAGGCACCCTTCGAGGTCTGGAACCCACAGCAGCCGGAAAAGAGAGGAAGTGACTAAGCCAGGGCTGGCCCCACCTCCCCACCAGCCCCTCCAGGTTTTGGGGTCCCCTGGAAGCCTGCTGAACCCTCCCTGCGCCCCCCCCCCTTACTTGGGCTCTCCCTGGACCGGTCCCCCGGGCGCTGCCTGACTCCCCGCGCCGCTGTGCCCGCCTGTCACCTGCCCCTGCTCTGCTGGCGAAGGAGCTGGCCTGGCCTGGCCCCGGCTGGGGAGGGCCGAGGACGTCAGGCAAATGCAATCAGCGGGCAGGGCTGGGGGGGGGGGGTGTGCAGGGAGCAGAGCTGGGCCCAGCCCTGGGAGGGGTGCGACAGGAGAGTGCGAGAGGAGGAGCCCCCTCCAAGCCTGGAGAGAGGCCTCCAGGCCCCCCCCCCCCCAGACTCTGCTACTGGGATAAGAGCATCAGGCCCCAGGGGATTAGAGCAAAGCTGTGAGGATTAAGGGTTGGGGTTCTGCAGGGGTGCAAAAGAACAGACAGCGGCCCCCTCCCCGGCTCTGGGCCCCACCCATGGGGAAGCATCCTCTGGCTGTCAGCAGTGAGATGGGAGGGTGAGAGGGCCCCCCCCGGCCCCCTGGTCGGGACCCCCTAATTGTGTCCTCGAGCTCAGGGCAGTGAGGGTGAGTCGGGGGGGGTGCAGGCAGGAAGATTACAAGGGGCTCATCCTGATCATCCTTCTCGACACACCCCCACCAGCTGCCCCAGGTCTGGTCCTGAGGAGGGCGGGGACAGGTACAAGGGAGGCCCCCCCAGGAGGAGGCATTGGCCTGGCCCTGCCTCGGCTGCAGAAGAGGATGCAGAGAGGGAGGCCCTCCCTGCCCCCTGCCCTGCTGGGCTGGGCCTCCCTGTCCCCTGCCCTGCTGGGCTGGTGGCTGGCTGTTCCTCGCTCACGTGACTCTCTCGGGGCCTGGCTGGAGCCAGAATGGCCAGGCCGAGCTGAGTGTGTGTGTGTGGGGGGGGGGGGGGGGGGAACCAGAGGGCAGAGCTGGCGGGCCCGGGGGGGGGGGGGGGGGGGGCAGCTGGCAGGGGTGTGAGGCCATTTGCATGAGGGAGCAGGTGGCTGAGATTTCCCTGACAAATCTCAGGTGTGGGGGGTTGCCTTGGGAGCAGTGCCACCCCCACCCCCCACCAGGAACCCCACAGAAAGGCACAGGAAGGCGCAGAGGGCCTGGGCCAGCAGGTCCTTTTATTGATGGAGGGAGAGGCCCCCCCCCCCCCACCCGCCGGGTCCAGTACCCCTCCCCCCACCCTGGCTAGGCCGAGACCTGGGAGATGAATCACGGGTCTGGAGGGAGGGGTGCACGCTGAAGTCAGGGGTCCCAGGAGTGACCCCGAGTACTGTGCTGGAAGCAGCCCCCGAACACCACCAGCTGTGGCCTCCAAACTGCCCATCTCTCCACTCCAGCCCACCCCCTTCTCTCCAGGGGAGCCGGAGGGCTGCCCGTGGGTCGGCCAGCTGATTTCTGGGTGCATCTGGGGTCCTCTGAGTCCAGGCCGGGAAAGCTTTGGTCAAGTTTGAGATGCTGAGAGAGTCTCTGGTTCTGCTCCTGTTTTGGGGGGGCCTCCGGGGGGGGGTAGTCCTGGGCGTGAGCAAGTGGTCAGAACCACCTGGAACTGTCGTGGCCCTCACAGCTCCTCTCGAACCCGCTTCCCAGCCTTATCATGGGTCTGTGAAAGTTGTCGGCTGGGGGGCTGTGGGGAAGGGTCTCTGCTGGCCGTTTCTCCCTCCTCCTCCTCCTCCTCTTCCTCCTCTTCCTCCTCCTCCTCCGCCTCTTCCTCAGACGCCTTCAGAAGCTCTTGAGCCTTAGTCCACTCCTGTGGGTATGGACGGGGGGGCGGGACGGGAAACAGGAAGAGGGTCTGGTGAGTTCCCATCCACCCTCCCTGCCCCCTCCCTCCCTTGCCCCCAGCTCCCCTCACCTGCTCCTGGTACTCAGGTGCCCACGTGTGCCACAGGGCCAGGGCGCAGCGCCGGCCCCGCGTCACGGCCCACACACCGTGGGGGTTCTCGCCACCAGAGCTGAAGGCCACGAGCCGTCCACAGCGAGGCTGAACCTGAGCCTAGGGGGTGGAGGGGCTGGTCACTCCCAGAATGGACCCTCACAGCACTCACAGGAAGAGGCCCCAGAGGGGGGCGGGGGGGCGGGGTCCCACGGACCTGGGCTCCGGGCCCACTTCAATTCTGCCTCCAGGGACTGTCCTGGGGCGAGTGGGAAAAGGCCTCAGCCTTTCCACACTGAGAGCAGGTGGCACAAGGTGTGTGAAGTGAGCTAGGAAGGCGGGGGTGCAGCCCCAGACACAGTCTTGGGGGGAAGGAACTTGGGGACCCGCCTCAGGTAGGGCCTGGATTAAAGTTGGGGGCTGGGGTGAGCTGAGAGGAGGCCATAGAGGCAGAGATGATGAGAAATCACCTCTCCTGGCCCCTTGATTGAGTTCCTGTTCTGACCTGGAAGCTTCCATGAACCAGGAAGTAGATCACCTGACCTCTATTGATTACCCAGTATTGGCTCATTCTTTTAGTTTCTTGTAATTATTATTATTATTGGCTCGTTCTTTTTTTTTTTTTTTGGCTTTTTGGGTCACACCCGGCGATGCGCAGGGGTTACTCCTGCCTTTGCATTCAGAATTACTCCTGGCGGTGCTTAGGGGACCATACGGGATGCTGGGAATCGAACCCAGGTCGGCCACGTGCAAGGCAAACGCCCTACCCGCTGTGCTATCACTCCAGCCCGTGGCTCATTCTTTTAGTTTCTTGTAATTATTATTATTATTATTATTATTATTATTATTTTGGCTTTTGGGGTCAGGTCCGGTGGTGATGCTCAGGGGTCACTTCTGCCTCTGCACTCAGGAATTGCTCCTGACAGTGCTTGGAAGACCATATGGGATGTCGGGGATCGAACCTGGATCAGCAGCGTGCAAGGCAAATGTCCTCCCTGCTGGACTATTGCTCTGTCCCCGTATTTAAAAAAAAAAATTGGGAAGACAACGCCAGCAGTACTCAGGAATTACTCCTGACTCTGTGCTCACTTTGGGATGGGCTTGGGGGACCATATGGGGTGCTGGGGATTGAATCCAGGTTAGTCACATGCAAGGCAAGCATTTTACCTGTGTACTATCACTAACTCATTCTTTTAGATGCACAAATCAAATGACCTTTTTATTGGCCTCTGGTGTTTTGGCCATGCCTGGTAGTACTCAGGGGCTACTCTTGGCTCTGTGATCAGGACTCACCATCCCTGTCAATTCCCCCAGGAGACCCTGTATGGTGCTGGGACTTGAACCTGAGTTGGCTGCATGGCATGCTAAGCCAGCCCCCTAATCCCAGGCCTATCTCTCTCCCCTCCCCTCAGTAACTTCTTTGTTTTTGGGTCACATCCAGTGATACTCAGGGATTATTGTTAGTTCTGTATTCAGGGTTCACTCCTGGCAGGGCTGAGGGGACCACAAGTGTTGAACCTAGGTCAGCCGCGTGCAAGGCCAGTTCCCTGCCCACTGTATTATGGCTCTGGCTCCTTAATGACTTCTTCTTCTTCTCTTTTTCGGGCCACACCACGCAGTGCTCAGGGTTGACTCCTGGCTCTGCATTCAAAAATCACTTCTGGTGGGCAACCATGTGGGTTGCTGGGGATCAAACCCGTGTTGGCCTCATGCAAAGCAAGCACCTGACCCACTGTACTATCTCTCCAGCTTAATGACTCCGTAACATAACCTTTTAAAATAGGATCTAGGGGACCCAGCTAAGCACCGGCTTTGCGTGCAGGAGGACTGGGTTGAACCCAGCATCCCATGATCTCCTAAGCACAGCCTGGAATGACACCCCACCTCCCCCCCCAAAAAAAAAGACCTGACCTAGGAGTTGTTCTTGAGCACTGCTGGATGTGGTCCACAGACAAAAATAAATTCAAAATCAAACAGGGACAAGGAGATAGCTCAAAGCGTTGCTCATATATTGTTCACACAGAAGGTCTAGTTTTGCTTTCTGAGCACTCCCAGGAGTGATCCCCTCCAAAAAAAATATTCATGCTTGGAATAGCCCCCCAGCAACACTCAGCATGGCCCTGAGACAAAAATAGATGTTATTAGCATTGTCTCCACTGAGAGAAACTGCCTCAGAAGACCCAGATGTGAGCTCAAGTGGGGGGCAGGGCCTCTGCACCCCCTGTTGCACCCACACAATGGGGCCTCCAGCTGCGACCTTCTGTGAGGGGAAGGACTAAGTCCCACCCTGAGATCCTCGGAGCAAGCCCAGGGGATCCCTGGTTCCCTCCTGCCAGGCCAGCAGGATCTGGAAAGACCCCTTGGGGGTCTGCTAACAGGAGTGGAGGTGTCCTCACCTAACTTAAGAAGCCCACACCACAGGTGCACGGTGGGGAGCCCCGGGAAGCAAAGGGTTCAGGGCCCCCAACACACACTATTTCCCTGCATTTGCCTCTGGGAATCTGTTTTGAATGCTGACCCCACACCTGTCACCCTCACCACGTGACCTGTCACTCTCCCCTACCGTCACGGTGACAGCATCCGGCTCTGTGAAGAACAGATTCCCGCCCCGGAAGTCATCGTTGAGGTAGAGGAGGCCACTGGAGAGGAAACAGGAACCGGCCACGGTGAGACCCCAACTCAGACCCGCCTGCCACCCCGCTCCCCCCTTTCCCCACCGCCCCACTGCCCACCTGTAGTCCCGATAGGTGTAGGCGGGGGGCTCCCGCCAGCACTCCCCAGTGTCGGGGTCCAGGACACAGTTGTCGGCATGCACCGGATGGCTCAGGTCCATGCGCTGCGCCTGCTCTCCTAGGAAGCGGGGCACCTGGTGCCTGCTCTGTGCCCCCCTTACCAGCCAGCATCCTCCCACGGCAGCTCCAGGGGCTCAGCTCCCCACCGGAGCAGGGGGCGTCGGGCTGCCGTAGGCAATCTAGTGGTGCTGGGGCTCCCCGGTTACCTTCGATGGCGCTCCGGCACACCAGGTGGGTGAAGGAGAGATGCAGGGGCCGCTCCGGGGAGAAGTAGGCCTGCGTCACGGTGCGCGCCCGCTCGCTCGCCTCCAGCAGCAGCCGCGCGCCCTGGCCCCGCACAGTCCCAGCCTGGGCCAGCTGCAGGATGAGGCCATGGGAGTGGGGGTAGCACCTGGGGGCTAGGATGCCCCCCAGCCCAGGTCCACAGCACAGTGCCTGCTCCCAGTCCTGGGAAACCCCGCCCCTCCTATAAGCCCCGCCCACACCCAGGTCCACCCCAAGATACCCCGCCCACACTAAGCACTGCCTTACCATATGCTCCGTCCATACCAAGCACTGCCTCTCCTAGAAGCCCCGCCCACACTAAGCCCCTCCTCCAGAGAGGCCCTGCCCACACACAGCACTGCCCCTCATAGAAGCCCCGCCCACACCAAGCCCCGCCTCTACTATAAGCTCCGCCCAAACTAAGCACTGCCTCTTGCATAAATCCCTTCGCACCAAGCACCTCTCCTATAAGCCCCGCCCACGCTAAGCTCCACCTCCAGAGAGGCCCCGCCCACACAAAAAGCTCTGCCTCATAGAACTCACCCACACTAAGCCCCGCCTCTACTATAAGCTCCGCCCACACTAAGCACTGCCTTTTCTGTAAACCTCTCCCACAGCAAGAACTGCCTCTCCTATAAGCCCTGCCCACACTAAGTTCCGCCTCCTGAAAAGCCCCGCCCACACTAAGCACCGGCTCTCATAGAAGCCCCGCCCATACAAAGCACTGCCTCCCTGAGAAGCCCTGCCCACACTAATCATCACCTCCCCAAGAAGCCCCACCCATGCTAAGCCCCGCCTCCCCATAAGCCCCGCCCACACTTAGCTCCGCCTTCAAGAGAAGCGCTGTCCCTTCGAAGCCCCACCTCCTTGGAACCCCTCCTTACTCCCCCTTTTTCTACTCTGTAGGAGGGGGTCCCTAGGATGCTCTCACCTGCGCAGCTTTGAGCACTGTGAGACCCTGGAAGCGTTCGTGGGGAGTGTGAGGGGAGCGGCGGCCCTGGGTTCCGGCCCCTGCAGCATCCTAAATAGGAAAGGGGTTGAGTCCTGGTTCCCTGTCCCCCCCCCCCCCACCTCCCACCCAGCAGGCCCTGTCAAATTCCCGTCTGGATGAAAGGGGTCGGAGCACAGAATTCTGGAGAGGCTCCTCAGGTGGGAGCCATCAAGGAGAGAGGGGCAGCTGGGGAAAGGGGCAAGGCCCACTCACTGGGTTTGAGCAGTGGAGAGAGGGGTCTCTGCATCTGGGCCCCAAGAGGAAGTTTGCTAGGCCAGGTCTTGACTGAGTGGGAGAGATGTCACTCTCTGCCCCCTTCCATGGGTACGCTGGGAAGACACACTTGGAGGGGGCTAAGAATCCCAGATGGCCCTCGGCTCTCCTGGAATTGGCACATACCTCTCCTGACACCCATTCTTCGGGGTTTCTGCATCATGCAGGAAGTCCCCCAGCTAGGATCGATCCCCTGGACACAGATCACAGCTTTGAGAGGCCACTGAGTCGCCCCTGTCATCTCACCTTCTAGCCTGTGTACTGAACACTGAGCACACGCCAGGCCTGGAGGCAGGCGGGTGGGGGGTCAGTGTAGGTCAGTGTTGCTGAGAACCAACAGCGGGGTTCGTATTTGGAGACAGAAACCAAAAAGCCAGATCAACTCATAGGTGAGACCACATGTCAATGTGATGTCTGAGTTAATGCCATTTGATACAAAGTGACCACCTGACTAGCTCAGGTAAGAAAAACATGGCAGGCAGCAGAAACAGCAGGGGCAGAGTCCTGAGACCAAAGGACTTTAGAGGGATCACGGAGGAGAGACAAGGTTCTGTAGTCAGAAGTGATCCTCAACCCCATTCTCTCTTCCTCCTCCTCCTCCTCATCATCTTTTTGTTGTTATTTTGTTTCTGCTCACGGCAGTGCTCAGGGCATCTCCCTGGCTCTGCACTCAGGGATCACTCCTGGCGGCTTGAGGAATCCTATGGGGTGCTGCGGATCGAACCTGGGTCAGCCACATGCAAGGCAAACGCCCTACCTGTTGTATTATCGCTCCAGCCTCATCATCGTAACTTAAAAAAAAATGTGGGTGGGCTCGTATCTGGTGGTGCTCAAGGGTTATTCCCAGCTCAGTGCTCACTTTGGACACTACTTGGGTTACTATATGTAATGCCAGGACTTGAATCCAGGTGACTCACAAAGACTTTGCTCCAGTCCATTGAGTCATCTCTCCATCCCTTCTTGGATTATCTTCCATTTTATAGTTTTTCTTTTCCTTCTTCCTTCCCTCCCTCCCTCCTTTCTTTCTTTCTTTCTTTCTCTTCCTTCCTTCCTCCCTTCCTTCTGTCCTTCCTCCCTTCTTTCCTTCCTTCTCTTCTTCCTTCCTTCTCTCCCTCACTTCCCTCTTCCTTCTCCCTCCCTCCCTTCCTTCCTTCCTTCCTTCCTTCCTTCCTTCCTTCCTTCCTTCCTTCCTTCCTTCCTTCCTTCCTTCCTTTGTTCATAGTACTCCTGGCTCGGAGTTCGGGGGACCACACAGTGCTGAGCAATCTCCGGCCCTTCAGCTTTGGGCTGTTAGAGCACTGTTAGAGCACGTACCTTGCATACATCAGGCCCTGGGTCTGATCTCCGATTCCACAAAAGAAAAAAAAAAGCCCTATCTTTGATTTTTCTAAAACTTTCTCACGTGTCCCCCTCTCTCCATTCCCTGGAAGTCAGGAGCTAAGCTAAGGCATCCGCGTCACCCCATCTTCTCCCTCGGCATTCTGCCCCTTTCCCTTCCCGTTGCATTCTCCACACGGCCACTAGAGGGATCCTTCAGCTCTCGGGCTGCGATCCGCCCAAGAGCCCGCCCCACCCCCCGCCCAAGTCCTCCACTAAACTGACCACTATCTGCAGTAACATCCGGAGTCCTGGGGCCAGAGGGGGTAGGGAGTTCGCCTTGTATGTGACTGACCCAGGTTCAATTCCTGGCACCCCCCCCTGGGTGTGCAGAGTCAGGAGTAAGCCCTCAGTATCGCTGGGTGCGGCTCAAAAAAAAAAAAAAAGAATTTCTTGGTGTGGCTCAAAAACAGACAAATCAACAAAGAACCTCTTGGTAGGACACAGAAGCCCATTCACTGCCCCTCCCTGCCTCTGAGTTCTCTTCCGTCGTGCCCTCTCCCTCACCCCTGGCTAGTACACAGTCTGATGATAAATAAGTGAACACTGACCACTTTTTTTTTTTTCTTTTTGTGTCACACACAGCGATGCTCAGGGCTGACTCCTGACTCTGCACTCAGAAATCACTCCTGGCGGTGCTCAGGGGACCATATGGGAGGCTGGGAATCGAACCTGGGTCAGCCGCGTGCAAAGCAAACGCCCTACCCACTGTGCTGTCGCTCCAGCCCCTGACCACTTTCTTTTTACTTTTCTATTTTTTTATTTTGCTTTTTGGGTCACACCTGACGATGCTCAGGGGTTACTCCTGGCTCTGCGTTCAGGAATTACTCCTGGCCATGTGGGGGGATTGAACCTGGGTCTGTGCGTGCAAGGCAAACGCCCTCCCCGCTGGATATTATCAATCTGGCTGCTCTTTTTTTTTTTTTAAGCTGGCCATACCCAGCAGTGCTCAGGGGCTACTCCTGGCTCCGTGCTCAGTGATTACTCATGGTGATGCTCAGGGCGAACTAGGGCGAACCATATGCAAGGCCGGAGCCTTAGCTTCTGTACCTGATCACTCTTTTGATGCGTTTTTGTGCCACACCCAGCAAGTGCTCAGGGATCACTCCTGGCGGGGATCAGAGGACCATATGGGGTGCCTGGGATCGAACCCAGGTAGGCCGTGTGCAAGGCAAACATCTTGCCCACTGTACTACCACTCGGGTCTAGTTGTCTATAGTTGTCTGAGCACTTTCCAGAGAACTAGCTCAACTCTCAGACACAAACATCTTGATTTCCGGTAAGAGGTAAGGCAAGGAGGCTTAAGTTCCATCATCCTCCCTGGAGCTCTAAGTCCAGCCATTGCCACACTACCCCGGCCTCGCCTTCCAAACACTCCCTTCCCAGCTCCGGCTGGCTCCACCCCGCTGATGACTCATGACTCTGCATCTCAGCAGAGGTATCAGCAGGGTGCAGGCTTCTTTTATCTCTCTTTTTTTTTTGCTTCTTGGGTCACACCCGGTGATGCACATGGGTTACTCCTGGCAGTGTTCCGGGGACCATATGGGATGCTGGGAATCGAACCCTGGTTGGCCGCGTGCAAGGCAAACGCTCTACCCACTGTGCTATTGCTCCAGCCCCGTCTTCTTCTATCAAACTTCCCACTGCCCCCTCCAGACGGTGCCCCCAAAGGATGTGATCATCAACCTGTCACTGGAGGGTTCCCAGTCCCCAGTTAGGGAAGGTGGGGTGACGTGTGAAGGCGGACCTCCAATGAGAGCATGGAGGCTTCCCAGAAGGGCAGAGGCATGCTACAAATTTGAATGGGTCACTGTCCCCAAACTAGAAGGGGTCTGGGCAGGGGGAAAGAAGCCTGGGGGACCATGGAACAAACCAAACCCCCAACTCTCCTCTATCCTCCTCGTTTCCTTTTTTTTTTCTTTTTTTGCTTTTTGGGTCACACCCGGCGATGCACAGGGATTACTCCTGGCTCTGCACTCAGGAATTACTCCTGGCAGTGCTCAGGGGACCATATGGGATGCTGGGAATCGAACCCGGGTCCGCTACATGCAAGGCAAGCGCTCTCCGCGCTGTGCTATAGTCCCGGCATCTCCTCTCCCTTTCTTGGGCCTCTTAATGCTCCCTGCCTGGTTCTGCTTTTCTGTTTCCGGCTCAGGCCCTGCTCTGTGAGGCTGAGGACCAGCACTCATGCACAGCTGGGGGGTCAGGGCAGAATGGGGGGTGGGATAGGGGCCAGGGGTCGCCCCTCCGCCTGCCCAGACCCCCTACCTTGGCCAGCTGCAGCAGCTCCCCGCATTCGGCCGCCGTGAGCAGCCCGTCCAGCACGACCCTCTCAGACCCGTTCAGCTGTCTTGCGTCCTGGGTCAAGGTCACCCCCTCCAGGAGGAGGACATCTGCAGGCAAGGGACAGGGCAGAAGGGGACTGAGACTCCCCAGAGGCAGCTCAGGCAGGAGGTGGCATCGTCCCCCACCCCATCCCCTGTCCCCCCGAGCCCGTGGGCTCCTGCCCACCTCCCCTTTCCCCCAAGGACTCACCCTTCCAGTGCGCCAAGGGCTTGGGTTCTGGGGGTTCGTGGTCCCAAGGCCTCTTCTCCTGATCCTCTCTCAGGGGCAGGAGACATGCTCAGAGGGTGCACGTGACACTCGGGGTCTGTCTCCCTGCGCCCCGCCCCCGGGACACCCCATCTTCACAAGGCGGCTCCTACCTGAGCTTTGCTCTGAGGGCCTCGGGGATGAGAGTGTCGGGGGTCCAGGGATCCTGCGAGAGCGGGGAAAAGTGGCATCACCCACCAAGACCTTAGACTCGAAATCAACACAGCTGGGGGCCTCTGGCTTGGGGGAGGGGAGCTCCCCCTCAACTCCCCCCTACCCCTGACACTGGGCACAACCTGGGATAATGATGCTACAACAGCTGTGTGTGTGTGTGTGTGTGTGTGTGTGTGTGTGTGTGTGTGTGTGTGTGGTGTGTCTGTGTGAGGGGGGCACACCCAGCAGAGCTCAGGGGCTATTTCTTTTATTTATTTATTTATTTTTGCTTTTTGGGTCACACCCAGCTTTGCACAGGGGTTACTCCTGGCTCTGCACTCAGGAATTACTCCTGGCGGTGCTCCCGGGACCATATGGGATGCTGGGAATTGAACCTGGGTCAGCCACGTGCAAAGCAAACGCCCTAACCGCTGTGCTATCGCTCCAGCCCCTCAGGGGCTATTTCTAACACAAGCTCAGCTCAAGAGTTGCTTCTGGTGGTGCTTGCAGGATCATGTGGCAAAGGGATCAAACCCGAGACTCCCCCACGCGAAGCAGAACATGTGCTCCAACCTTTTATTCAATGCTACTCTTTTTTCTTTTTTCTTTTTGGGTCATACCTTGTGATGCACAGGGGTTACGCCTGGCTCTGTACTCAGAAATTACCCCTGGCGGTGCTCAGGGGACCATATGGGATGCTGGGAATCGAACCCGGGTTGGCTGTGGGCAAGGCAAGCACCCTACCTGCTGTGCTATCACTCCAGCCCCTCCAATGCTATTCTTCTTCCTCCTTTTCTCCTTCTTCCTTCTCCTCCCCCTCCTCCTCTCCCTCCTTTTCCTCTCTCCTCCTCTTCTTTCAGGTTTTTTTTTTTTTTTTTTTTACCACAGCCAGCAGTGCTCAGGGCTTATTTCTGACTCTGCTCAGGGATGAGTCCTGGAGTTAGAACTCCTTGGAGGACCATATGGGGTGCCTGGGACCAAACCCCATTGATCTTGTGCAAGGCAAGCACCCTACCTGTTACACTATCTCTCCTGACCCTCCAGATGCTATTCTAAGAGTTTTCTCCACAAAGGCAGAATTTCTCATTTAAAGTGTCTCAGGTCTCTGGACCCCGATCATTTACAATTTTAGAATTCCAGGAGCACGCAGCCGCAAAAGCTGGCAGTGCAACCTCTCATGAAATATTCATTATAAGCAATAGTAAATAAATTATCTAGCATCTGCCTGTGGCAAACAGGCTTGAGTGATGGTGGGAAAAGTCGAAATAAAAAGGTCGAAATAATATCCCGGAAGGGGCTGGAGCGATAGTACAGCGAGTAGGGCGTTTGCCTTGCACGCGGCTAACCCAGGTTCGAGTCCCAGCATCCCATAGGGTCCCCTGAGCACTGCCAGAAGTAATTCCTGAGTGCATGAGCCAGGAGTAACCCCTGTGCATCTCTGGGTGTGACCCAGAAAGAAAAAAAAAAGAAAGAAAATTTAAAAATTAAAAAAAAGAAAGGAGGAGGGACTGGAGAGATAACACAGCGGGTAGGGCGTTTGCCTTGCACGCGGCCTACCCGGGTTCGATTCCCAGCATCCCATATGGTCCCCTGAGCACCGCCAGGAGTAACTCCTGAGTGCAGAGCCAGGAGTAACCCCTGTGCATCGCCAGGTGTGACCCAAAAAGCAAAAAACAAAAAAAAAAAAAAAAAGAAAGGAGGAGACAGGACAGGAGACAGGCCAGCAGCTGAGTTATTCCAGATAGGCACAAACGCTGCTGGGCCCAGATGTCTGGAGCCTTGGTGGGATGGGGGCAGACAAAGTCCTGCCGAAAGCCCAGTACTCCACCCACCCACATCTGGCTCCCACCGCTGCCAGGGAAATGTCCCTGCTTCACAAATTATCTCGGAGAGGCACCAAAGCAGCTGGGGGTCCCAGCTCCACAACTCCTGAAGCAGGTGGCCAGATCTGCAGCTGTGCAACACCTCCAAAATCACAGAGCCCAGGAGAAGCCCGCAAATCAGGTGGGAAAACTCGAGTTGAAGCCACTGAGCTCAGTGAGTGAGAACAGAAGGCCCAACTCGAACCTAAGGGCTCAGTAAATCCACAGCTCACGACCTTAGCAATACCATCAGGAGATACATGTTGCAATAGGCAATAAAAAGTAAATTATTTTGTGCCTGCTAAGGGCACAGACTTGAGGAGGGGAAACTGGGAACATTGTTGGAGGGAAATGCATGTTGGCGTGGTCTGGTGTTGGAATACTGAATCCCTGAAACAGCTGTATTTTGAACAACTTTGTAACTCATGGTGTTTACATTCTAAAACAAGGGGCTGGAAGGATAGCACAGCGGGTAGGGTGTTTGCCTTGCACACAGCTGACCCAGGTTCAATCCTCGGCATCCCATATGGTCCTCCAGTAATGCCTGAGTGCAGAGCTTAATCCCTAAGCATTGCTGCAAAATGCAAAAATAAATAAATAAATACAAACAATAAGAATTTTTTTTAAATAATGAAAAAACTGTGTCAGAGGGTGGGCGAGATAGTACAGTGGGTAGGGCTCTTGCCTTGCATATGGCCAACCCAGGTTTGACCCCCAGCACCCCAGAGGGTCCCCTGAGCCCTGCCAGGAGTGATCCCTGAGCACAGAGCCAGAAATAAACCCTGAGGATGGATCCAGGAATAAACTCTGAGCACAGCCAGATGTGACCCAAAAACCAAAAATAGATAAATAAAATGTTCAATACCCAGCCCTGCGTGATCCCCTGAGGATGGCCAAGACTGATCCCCAAACACAGAGTTGGGAGAAGCCTGGTACAAGTCGAACAGTTAAAAAAAAAAGGAAAAAAAAAAGTCGGGATCAGAGTGAAAGTGCAGCGGGCAGGGTATTTGCCTTGCAGGCAGCTGTCCCGGGTTTGATCCCTGACACCCCGTATGGTCTCCAGAGCCCTGTCAGGATTGATCCTGAGCACAGAGCCAGGAGTAAGCCCTGAGCACTGCTGGGCATGGCCCCCCAAACAAAACCAAAATCAAGCAAACAAAAGAAACATAGAGTTAACACTAATGCAAACCTGTTACCTAAATTACAATAAGAAAGAGTATACAGGTATGCATATGTTTGGAGGGGGGTGTACTGGGGGCCAGGGGATAGAGAAGGACAGTAGTCACTCACAGGATCCTTGAAGCTCGCCCCCAAGTGCTCCACGGCGTAGTAGAGCTGCCTCTTCTCTCCCAGAGACCGCAGGATGAAGCGCTGGATCTCCTGGGGGGATGGAGGGGTGGGGCAAGAAGTGAGGCGGGCTGGCTCGGGTTCTAGAGGACCCCCTCGCTGGGTCTCTGTGACGCTCCCTTTCCTACAGCTCCAAAGCCAGGGCGGAGGGTACGAGTGTGGGCGGGTGTGTGTGTGTGTGTGTGTGTGTGTGTCCCTGTGTGTGTGTCTGTGTCTGTGTGAGATCGGAGTATTCGTGTGAGCCTGTGTGTGGCCATGTGGGCCCGAGAAGCTTGGGGCGGGGGGGCGGTATGTGTGTGTGCGCGCGAATCTGGGAGTCTTCGGGAGTGGGCTGGCGTGGGTGAGTGTTCAACAGTGACTGAGTATGTCTGAGTGTGAGAGTATGTGGGAGTTCTCGAGAGGATTAGTCTGTGTGAGTCTGTGTGTGTGTGAATATAAAAAGACGTATAAGGGGCTGGAGGGAGCACAGGATGAAGATCCTTGCCTTGCATCCTTCTGACGCTGATCCTGGATCCCCCCAACCCCACGTAGAGTCCCCTCCAGAGTACCACCAGGGGTCACTCCTGAGCACAGAGGCTAAGGTAGCTACTGGTGTGGTCCCCAAACCCAAATAGCACTGTAGCACTGTCCTCCCGTTGTTCTTCCATTTGCTCGAGTGGGCACCAGGAACGTCTCCATTGTGAGACTTGTTGTTACTGGTTTTGGCATATCGAATATGCCACGGGGAGCTTGCCAGGCTCTGCCATGTGGGCGGGATACTCTCAGAAGCTTGCCGGGCTCTCTGAGAGGAAAGGAAGACTCGAACCTGGGTTGGCCGCATGCAAGGCAAACGCCCTACCTGCTGTGCTATTGCTCCATCCCAAACCCAAATAAAATCAAATAAATTTTTTTTTGGGGGGGGAGCCACTCCCTGTGGTGTTCAGGATTTACACCTGCTCTGTACTCAGGGATCACTCCTGGTGGGTTTCAGGCATCAGATGGGCTTCCAGGTATTAAACCTGGGTCAGCCACGCGCAAGGCAAGCGTCTAGGCCACTGTACTATCTCTCTGGCCCTGAGTGCAGGAACTCTGGGGGCCTGTTTGACCCGGGCAGGTGTGCATGGGGTACCTCTCTGGGCCCGAGGCCGGGTGTCGGCTCTCCCAGCTGGGCCTGGTACTGGTCCAGGGCCTTTTGGGCAGCCTCGTCCTCCGGGTAGAAGAGCAGGACGCTCAGAACGTTTTCCACAGCCTGGGACAGATTTCCCACTGGAGAGAGAAGAGTCCGGGTGGAGAAGCAGGCCCCAAGAACAGCAATGAATGACCTTGGGCTGGGGCAGGAGGGACTTGGTGGGGGAGGGGGGAAGGAGGGCCGAGCAGGACCCAGGGACTCCGAAGCCCCCATCCCAAGGCTCACTTCAAGGCTTCCTCTCCAAGAATCACTGCAACCTACCTTCCTGTGCCGCCAGAGATGGAGCAGGAGGACAGAGAAGGGAAAAAAGGTGAAAAGCAGCAAGCGCGGGGAGCCCTGGGTTCGTCTCTAGCATCATCCCCGACGGCGCCCAAGGAGAGCAAATTAGCCTCCTCCGGGGAGGAAAGGCCTAGCACGCACTGGATTCGATTCCCTGTATCCCCTAAGGTTCCCGAGCACCGCCCGGAGGGATCCCTGAGTGCAGAGGCAGGATCAACCCTGAGCGCTGCGCGACGGCTCTGGGTTCGACTCCCTCTCTCAGCATTCCCAGCCCCGCTCACGCCACCCCCCCCCCCCACCTCGGGGTTCGCCCACTAACCTTGCGCATGCGCCTCATGCAGTCGCCGCAGCTGGCTGGGCAGGAAATCGGGGACCGGGAAGTTGCGACCCGGCCTCGTGGCCGTGGCCTCCACGCAACGCTGCCGGCACTGCAGGACCCGAATCCAGTGGCCTGCGCAGGGTTCGGGTGGGGGAGACGCAGCTGTGAGTGTTGCACGCGCTGTCTCCCTCCCGGTCCCGGGAGAAGCCCCCAAAGGGCCGCGGCTCTTTACCCGCGATGGCCTCATAGAGACCCCCCTGGCCGCCAGCTTCGTCCTCCTCGCTGTGCTCCTCAGGCCCCTCGCAGCCCGCCCGGCAGCTCTCCAGCTCGGCCAGGCTCTCCCTCAGGGCGTCCTCCAGCCAGGGCAGGGCCAGGCCGGCCTCCTGCTTCCCGAGGAGCTCTAGGCCCATGTCATAGGCTGCCTGGGGACAGGGGAGGGGAGTGGTCAGTCGCCAGGGGACCAGGTAGTACTGAAGAGATGGGGCAAGGCGCGGTCTCACCCCACTGGGTTCTGTGCCTGCTCCTGGCTCTGCGCTCAGGGATCACACCTGGCTCAGGGGACCATATGGGATGCCGGGGATCGAACCTGGCAAGTGCTCAGCCTGCTGGACTATTCGTCCGGCCTTCAAGGCTTATTCCTGACTCTGTGCTCAGGGGTCACTCCTGGCGGGGCTCAGGGGACTATGGGTGCCCAGGATCTAACTCAGTTGGCTGCGTGCAAGGCAAGCGCCCTGCCTGCTATACTATCTCTTGGGCCTCCGTCTCACTTGGGACAGGGACCCTATGCCCTGTGTCCCCCTGGGAAGTCGGGAGAATCTCTCAACCAGAACACAACATTCCCAGTGGGGTGGGGGGGGTGGGGTCACACCTGGTATACTCAGGGGCTACTCCTGGTTCTGTGCTCAGGGGTCACACCTGGTGGTACCTGGGGACTGTGTATGGGGCCAGGGATCGAATCTGGGTCAGTTGCATGAGAGGCAAATGTCTCTGTCCTTGTATTCTTTCCTGCCCCAGAACCCAAAACCATTTTTTTTTTTTTTTGCTTTTTGTGTCACACCCAGCGATGCACAGGGGTTACTCCTGGCTCTGCACTCAGGAATTATCCCTGGCGGTGCTCAGGGGACCATATGGGATGCTGGGAATCGAACCCGGGTCGACCGCGTGCAAGGCAGACGCCCTACCCGCTGTGCTATTGCTCCAGCCCCAGAACCCAAAACCATTTGACACGAGTGGACCTCAGGAAGTAAACTAAGCCCCACAAAAGGATCCCCCCAGACCCCGCCTGGGATAAGAAGGACTCAACTCAGAGAGGATATGGCACAGCCTGGACTGGGGGAGGGGTCTCACCCAGTGGGGGGGTGTCTCCAGGTCCCGGAAGCTCTGGGGCCGCACCCCAGACATCCGTCTGTACTTGGCCATGTCCTCCCGCATCTGCAGGTGCGTTGGGTTGGCCACAAAGAAGGTGTGGGCAGCAGCGGCCGCCAGATCCAGCTTCTTCAGCTGCGGGGCGGGAAGGAGGAAGGGGGGGGGGGGTCCCTGCCCTGAAGTGGAGGTGTCAAACCTCTGCTCCCCCAACCCTGACCCTCCTCCGAGGCTGCCCTCTCCTGGGACCTTCTCAGAGACTGGTCGGAATTGTCCCCCTCCTAGCCTCTAGATTCCTCCCTTCCCCGTCCCCAACCAATATTGGGGGGCTAAGGAGAGCCTGGGGGAGGGGAGGGTATGCATCAAAGGACATGGTGCTGCAGAGGGGTTAGAGGAAGTGATGGGGGGGGGGGGGACACCTGAGCCGGCTATAGAACCCGCAGGTCTCTAGGACCCGGAGTTGAGGGGTGTGATCAGTGCCCCCCCACACACTTCTCAGCCACGTAGGCAGAAGCTACTGGCCCAGGAGCCGTGCAGTGTCCACTGTCCGCTCCCCCCAATGCCAGCTGGCCCGGGTTCCCCTCCGCCTGACTCTTGCTTCTGACACAGCTGCCCCAAGCGGATGGGGATCGGGGGGTCCCCCACTCTCAGCCGCCCCACGCTCCCCACCCCGCCGCTCTCCTTCCAGGGAGGAGGCGGCGCTCGGCTCCACGCGCGCCCCGGAATTCCGAGTCTGCCCTCCCCCCCCCCCGCACCCCGTCTCCCGGAGGCGGGGCCCCTCGGCGCGGCAGGGGTGCAGCGGCCGGGCGGGGAGCCCCCCACCTGGTAGTAGGCCCGCTGCAGGTAGTTGTAGGGCTCCCGGCGCTGGAAGGCGGCCCGCAGCGCGCTGCCCAGGCGGAACCGCGCCGCGCCCCCGGGGCCCAGGCGCCGCGCCCCGCAGCGGGTCAGGCAGTCGGCGCGGCCGAGCGCGGCGCGCAGCAGCAGCGGCTCCCAGGGGCGCGGCGCGGCGGGGGACCCCGGTTCGGGCTCGGCCGCGCAGCGCGCCCCGCAGTCCCGCCGCGCGCGGCCCAGCGCCGCCCGGCTCCGCAGCGCCTCCCGCAGCAACGCCACGGCCCGCGCCCAAGCCCCGGCCGCGTAGGCGCGCAGCCCGTCGGCGTAGAGCAGGTCGGGGGCCTGCAGGGGCGCCCCCGGGGACAGCGAGGCCAGCGAGGCCAGCCCGGGGGGCTCCGGGGAGCCCGCGGGAGGCAACAGCAGCAGCAGCAACAGCAGCAGGAGCAGCCGGAGAAGCTGCAGCATCGTGGCGGGGCGGCCGCGCGCGGCCGAGCGCGGAATGCGGACGCCGACTAGGGGGGTGGGGGGGAGGGGAGCGAGGGAAGAAGGGGGGAGGCGGCGGGGGCGGGAGGGGAGAGGGAGGAGGGAACCAAAGCCGAGGGAGGGCCCCGAGACTTGGGGGAGGTTTGGGGGGGGAGGAAGGAGCGGGCTCGGAGAGCTGATGGGGCCCCAGAGCCAACCCGGGGAGACGCCAGTGGGAGGGAGATGGGGAGGGAGAAGTCTTGGGGCGCCCCGCGGAAAGTCTTCGGCACAAGGAGGGTGACGTGCGGGGAGCCACACCAGGACTGAGCGGGAGCCCGGAAGAGCCGCCTCGCTGGACTCCCCGAGGCACAGCTGGGGTCCTGCCCACCCCTCCACGTTGGGTTCTGGAAGAGGAGCGTCACCAACCCCCCAACACACACAGACACACACAGACACACACACACACACACACACACACACACACACACTTTTGGTTAAAAAAAGCTTTAGAATAGAAAGGGGCAAGAAGGGGCTGCTGGGGCCTTGTAAAACCTAGTCAGGCCCAAACCCTTTTCCTGCAGGGATGGCAGTCGGGGGAGGAGGCGAGTTGGGGTGTGGGGGGGAGCACATTGAAAGTAAGGAGGGCTGGAACCCTAGGGCTGATGCCCAGCACTCGCCCCAAGAAAGAAAGAGAGAGAGAGAAAGAAAGAAAGAAAGAAAGAAAGAAAGAAAGAAAGAAAGAAAGAGGAAAGAAAGAAAACCCGCATTTCTCCAAAGCGGAACAAAGAATCTCTCTATCTATCCAAACTTGCAAACGCAACCCCCCCCCCAGCGGAGACGCCCCCTCGAAGCCCCTCGAAGCCTGTCCGTCTGCCCCCTGGCTTTGGTGCCGTTCCTGTGTGGCTCTGGGCCTCTCTCTACCACCCTGGCTCTATTTTGTCCCCGTGATCTCCCCACCCCCCAAGCCTGCGCCTGCACGCTTACCATCATAGTCCACTGGACACGGTTTCCATGGTAACACTTTAGCCTTTAATACATTTTGTGAGGAAGGATGGAAGGAGGGCCAGGCGGCTGGTGGCTGGGATGGGAGATGGCAGGGCTCGGGGACCCTGGATCCATCGCCTGTCCCCTCCAGGGGTCTGGGGGCAGCCGGCTGTAGTCTCAGGGCAGATCTGGGGGTTCCCCTACCCAGGCCCCCTCCTCTGAGTCCAGCAGGCCCACAACAGCTCATAGGGTCAGCTGGGGGAAGATGGGGTTGCCGGGGCCCCACGAGCCCCCCCAAGCCCTGGCACTCGCCTCCCCCCCAGTGAGGGAGCAGCGTCTCGCGGCACTCAGCCCCAGCGGAAGTCCAATGGCTCTACTATCGGGGGACCCCAGGGACAGTCGGCGGGGTGACAGGCCCAGACCCCTGAGCCGGCGAGGAGAGGGTCCCGGAGAAGCAGCTGGAGAAGGCAGAGGCGTCTCGTCGATGAAGGTGGTGATCTCCTCCCGGAAGAAGCAGGGACCCCGAGGGGGACCCCCACCGGACCCCAGAACTCCACCTTCCAGGAACTGGCGCAGGCTGGCCAGCCCGCCACCTTCAGCCTCCTCCTCTTCATCATCCTCCAGCCTTTGTCTTCGTCCTCCCGGGTACTCCGGAGGGCACCCCAGGGCCCGGCTCTGGGCTGGGAGGATCCGGATGTCGTCTGAGGAAGACCACTTATGCAGGAAGGAGCCTGGCGCCCGAGGGGGAAAGATGTTGGTTTCGTCGTGAGAGAGCCGGCGGGACAGAGGGACCTGGGGACAGGTGTAAGGAGGACCCAAAGGTCAAAGATGCCAGAGGGATGGGACAGCAGGGAGGACGTTTGCCTTGCACGCTGCTGACCTGGATTCTGTACATCCCAGATGGTCCCCCAAGCACCGCCAGAAGTGACTCCTGAGTGCAGAGCCAGGAGTCATCCCTGAGCACTGCCAATAATCACCCCCAAACCACACCCCCCAACAAAACAAACAAAGGTCAAAGATGCTGCATAAAGGGCGGGCGGGGGTGGGGGGGACAGGACCCAGACCTCAGCGGATTCTGCAAGGACAGCCCCAACCCTGGGACTCTTGGGGTTTTCATTTTTTCTTTCTTTTTTTTTTCTTTTTGGGTCACACCTGGTGATGCACAGGGGTTCCTCCTGGCTCTGCACTCAGGAGTTACTCCTGGCGGTGCTCAGGGTGACCATATGGGATACTGGGAATCGAACCCGGGTCGGCCACATGCAAGGCAAACGCCTTACCCACTGTGCTATCTCTCCAGCCCCATTGGGGTTTTGATTTTTGATTTTGGTTTCTGGGCCACAGCTGATAGTGCTCCTGGCTCTGTGCTCAGGAATCATTCCTGGCAGGTTCAGGGGACTCTATGGGGTGCTGGGGATTGAACCTGGGTTGGTCACAGGCAAGGCAACTACCCTACTACGTGCTGTACTATTCGGTTCCTCCCTGGGACTATTATAAATCCCCACCCCCACCCACCCCCGACCACCGCACATACATACAATGATCTGGGGGGAAAAGGGGCCTTTCTTTTTTTTCCCCTTTTTTGGTTTGTGGGCTACACCTGGTAGTGCTTAGGACTTACTCCTGGCTCTGTAGGCTCAGGGATCACTCCTAGTGGTCCTCAGGGGACCCCAGGAGGTGATGGTGATGGAACCCAGGTCAACCACCTGCAAGGCAAGTGCTTTACCTGCTAGATTGCCTCCACAACCCTCTTGCCTTTCTTTCAACACTTTTTTTGGGGGTGGTTGGGTGGGGAATGGGTATACCCAGTGACCCTCTTTCAACACCTTAATTGCCCTGAGGGTCAGGGTGAGGAAATAGAGGGGTCAGAATAGATTAAAGGGGGCCGGAGAGATAGTACTGCGGATAGGGCGTTTGCCTTGCACACGGTCGACCCGGGTTCAATCCCTGACATCCCATATGGTCCCCCAAACACCACCAGGAGTAATTCTTCAGTACAGAACCAGGAGTAACTGCTAAGCATTGCTGGGTGTGACCCAAAAAGCCAAAAAAAAAAAAAAAGTAACAGAGGTCGAGGAGAGACATGCTTTATAACCCCTGGGCCGGGTCCCAAGCACTGCACGCGCTCCGCTTCCTTGTCACCGGCCCTCCCCAAAAGAAACTTCGAGAAAAGCAGTGAGGGTGATCCGGGGCAGGAAGTGCGTCCCCTAGCGCCGACCTGTAAGTAGTGGACCCGCTCCAGGGGCGGGAAGAGCATGTGCTTCGTGGGCAGCAGCTTCACTTGGGTGGGGTCTCTGCCCCCGGCCCCCGTGGCCCCGTTGGCATCGAAGCGGACTTTGCACACGCGGCCGTCGGCGTAGTCGTCACAGCCCCCGTCTAGGAGAGAAAGCGGCAGAACGGTTAGGGGTAGTGGGCGACCAGGCCCTACCCGTCGGGAGCTCGGGGAAGGGGGGGAACCCTCGTCTAGTTCCTTCAAGAAGCTCCTGCGGGGGAGGGGCTGGAGCAATAGCACAGCGGGGAGGGCGTTTGCCTTGCACGCGGCCAACCCGGGTTCGATTCCCAGCATCTCATAGGGTCCCCCAAGCACCGCCAGGCGTGATTCCTGAGTGCATCAGCCAGGACTAACCCCTGAGCATCACCAGGTGAGACCCAAACAGCAGAAAATAAATAAATAAATAAATAAATAAATAAATGAAGCTCCGGGGGAGAGCTGGCGGGGTTAGGACTCAGGGCAGGGGTGGACGTGGAAGGGTGCCCCGGGCGCGCTCGGGGCGCAACATTGGGGCAAGCCCGTCTTGGACTCCCCCCATCCTCGGCCCTGGGGGACAGGGGGCAGAGAGGGAGCCCTGGCAGACTGCAGCCCAGCGGGTCCCTCCCCTGACCGTCGTCGCCGTCCTCCTCCGACATGATGGCCACGCACTGCTCCCAGACGGTGCGCACGTCGGCGCGGTAGCGCTCGCAGGACCAGATGAAGGACGGCAGCAGCAGCGTCTGCGCCATGGAGCACCACAGCACGGCCAGCACCATCCAGGGCGGCGCCGAGTCCGACTTCAGGGAGAAGAAACTCACCACCTGCAGGGGAGGGGCGGGGCGGGGCGGGTCAGCGGGGGGGGGGGGGGGCACCGGACCCCGGATCCCGCCGGGCAGGAGGGCACATGCCATGCGCGGGGCGCATGAATGGGCGGAAGTCAGGAAGGAAGGACCCGGACCCAGGACAGAGTGAGGAGGAGGGAGACCTGCAAAGATGGGAGAGAGTGCTGAGAACAAAAGCCTGGGGTCCCAGGGGGTGGAGCCAGGCGGTTCAGACCCCCCCAACCCCCGTCCAGGATCAGAACATCCCAATTTTAGGATTACAAAAAAATTTCCGGGGGTTCGGGAGGCTGGGGTGATAGCACCACGGGTAGGGCGTTTGCTTTGCACACGGCTGACCCGGGTTCGATTCCCAGCATCCCATATATTCCCAGCATCCCATATAGTCCCCCGAGCACCGCCAGGAATAATTCCTGAGTGCATGAGCCAGGAGGAACCCCTGTGCATCGCTGGGTGTGACTCAAAAACCAAAAAAAAAAAAAAAATTGGGGGGGGGTTAGTGATATTTGGGAATATTTTTAAAATGTTCCAGGACTGGAGAGATAGTACAAGGCATAAAGCGGGTGTAGACCCCGGTTTAAATACCCCACATTGCAGAGGGCACCAAGAGCACAGCCAGGAGCGACACCCCAGCGCAGAGGCAGGAGTAAGCCCTGAGCACAGCCGGGTGTGGCCCAAATCCCCACTCGAACAACCGGAAAAGAATGTTTCTGGGAGGCTGGAGCAATAGATAACACAGCGGATAGGGTGTTTGCTTGCACACAGCCGACCCGGGTTCAATTCCCAGCATCCCATAACATCCCCCGAGCACTGCTAGGAGTAATTCCTGAGTGCGTGAGCCAGGAGTAACCCCTGTGCATTGCCGAGTGTGACCCAAAGAAAGCAATATATATATATTTCTGTTTTCTGGGGGCAGAGCGATAAGTACAGTGGATAAGATGCTTGCCTTACAGGCAGCTAACCTGGGTTTGATCCCCGGCATCCCATAGGGTCCCCCCAAACACTGCCAGGAGTAAGCCCTGAGCACAGAGCCAGGAGTAAGCCCTGAGCATTACCAGGTGTGGCCCCAAAACCAAAAAAAAAAAAAGTTCCACCAGGAATAGTTCCTGGGAACCAGAGTGTGGCCCCAACCTCCCCAAAGTAAAAATAATCAAATATTTTTCATATCATTGTAGGTGTCATGCTGGTGTCATGGCTGGCTTTTGGCTCAGTGCATAATTTTTTTTTTTTTTTTGCTTTTTGAGTCACACCCAGTGATGTACAGGGTTTACTCCTGGTTCATGCACTCAGGAATTACTCCTGGCCGTGCTCGGGGGACCCTATGGGGTGCTGGGAATCGAACCCGGCTCGGGCTGCATGCAAGGCAAATGCCCTACCCGCTGTGCTATCGCTCCAGCCCCTCAGTGCATAATTTTGACAGAATTTTCTATGTAGCTCTCTGCTCTCATATTTCCTAAATAAAACTATTTCACTTGAGTCAAATAATTAAGAGCTGGGAAGACAGTACAGCAGGTAGAACGCTTGCCTTGCACATGGCCGAGTCGGGTTCGATTTCTGGCACCCCCTATGCCCCCTCCCCAGCCCTGCCAGGAGTGATCCCTGAATAATCTCTGAACATTGCCTGGTGTGGCCCTCAAGCCAACAAATCAAACAATGAAATCAAGAGTAATCATATTCCCAGATCAATTTACCGAATCTCTCCTCTCCCCCATGCACACCCCAAAACATGCACACCCCACTTCGGGCCTGCAGGGGAAACTGATGCACAATGTGCAAGGATAGGGTGGGCCCTGGGGGGACGGTGGCCACTCAGTAGTGCTCAGAGGCCAGTGGCACCTTGAGGGAATCAGGGGGTGGCCACACCCAGATGGTCAGCCTGAGGTGGGGGTGAACAGTGGAGCAGGGCGAAAGATGGTGGAGCTGAAGGATGGGCAGTGGGGAAGGAGTTGAATGGTGGGAACTGTGAGGGGGATGGCAGGGATGAAGATGGGGGAGGAGAAGGTGGTGGAAGATGGAGCTGCTGGACGATGGAGCTACTGGACAATGGGGCTACTAGATGATGGGGCTGCTGAGTCATGGAGCTACTGGATGATGGAGCTACTGGACGATGAAGTTGCTGGATAATGGGGCTGCTGGGTCATGGAGCTACTGGATGATGGAGCTACTGATGGTGGAGCTACTGGATGATGAAGTTGCTGGATGATGGAGCTGCTGGGTCATGGAGCTACTGGATGATAGAGCTGCAGGGTGATGGAGCTACTGGATGATGGAGCTGCTGGGTCATGGAGCTACTGGATGATAGAGCTGCAGGGTGATGGAGCTACTGGATGATGGGGCTACTGGATGACGGAGCTACTAGATGATGGAGCTGCTGGGTCATAGAGCTGTGGCATAGCTGATGGACCGAGAGGCCAGGTAGTGCTAGAAACCAGCTATTGGGGACTGCGGGTGGGGGGGACCCCAAGCTCACCAAGATGGGCACCCCTGTGAGTGAGTCATAGAGAAAGACGATGGCGCTGACCAAGTTGGTGACCTGCAGAGACGTCTTGGCTGACTCAGAGCCGTCCAGCGAGGAGCGCCGCTTTCCTCGGGCATCCTCCACCACGATGGCGGGGACCTCAAAGGCTGGCCGCACCCCGAAGCCCCCGGGGCCCCCTGCCTTGGCTCCAGCCCCACCACAGCCCGCTCTCCGGGCCTGCCGGGCCCTCCGGGGCCGGGCCCACAGCGTCTGGTAGAAGGTGATGGCCACACAGACCAGCCCCATGACAATGCCCCCCAGCAGCAAGAGGCTGAAACAGAGCCCGAAGCCCAGGCCGATCTTGGAGACAATGAACTGGCAGCCGCGGGCGTAGTAGCGCTCGCCGTTGTTGTGCCAGCCGATGGAGGGCAGCGTGGACAGGATGAAGCTGACCATCCAGATGCCCATGACGGCGTGCAGCGCCTGCTTCTTGGCGTTGCTGAGGCGGTAGTTGACGGGCCAGCGCACCATCCACATGCGGTGATAGGATAGCGAGGCGACCGTGAAGCAGGTGGCCAGGGCCAGCGTGTAGTAGGTGGACACGAAGACCTTGCAGATGCTCTCGTTCCAGTCGTAGTCGGAGGACGCCTGGCGCCGCAGCTGCACCACGGCGAAGGTGGTGAGGGGCACGGCTGCCATGAGGATGTGGGTGCCCGCCAGGAAGCACAACAGGAGCTCGAGCGGCTTATGTTTCTGCTGCTTGGCCGAGATGCTGAGGATGATCCAGGCGTTGGCCAGCAGGGCCAGGAGCCCGCAAGCCAGCCAGGACAGGGCGTTGGAACGCAGGGAGGCCTCCTCGGCCACCGAGCCGCCCCGAGCCATCCTCTCCTCGGCCCCCCCACCCCCCCGCCGGAACTCCTGGGGGTGGGGGCTAGGTCTCACCCCGGAGCCCCGCTCACGCACACCCCCATGATGGCACCCCCAAGCCTGGCCCCGGCTCCACGGCGGCCACCCCTAGGCCACCTCTGCTGTTCAGCATGGAAGTGTCCGAGCCAGTTGAGGGTGGGCTGGAGGGTGGGAGAGGAGAAGGGGGGGTCAGCAGGGCGAGCTGTCCATAGTTGGGGTACGCTCTCTTCAGTCCTGATCGTGATGGGGAAGCAAGCAGGAGGCTCCCCCAACTATGAAGCTGAGCGGGGAGTTCCGGTCCCCATGCTGGGACTTCCTGACCTTCTCTCCCTCCGGATCTTGACCAGGGAGGAATCTTCTAGATGCCCCTGACCGTCAGGGGGATGGGCGTGCAGCTCAGCCACCTGGACAAAGGGCAAGGGAGAGATGAGGTGTGGGTGAGGGAGCTCCAGGAAGGTTTCCGAGGGACCCCCGCTTTCCTCTTTAGTAGAAGCGACTGCAGGTTTCAGGGGATCCCACAGGACACACACCTGCCTTAAATCAAGGGGCTTCTGGAGCACCGCACACAGACAGCTCCGCTCCCCCAGAGGCCTCAAGGAAAGGAGGGTTCCAAACTGTCCCCTTTTGAGCCCTCTCTCCTCCCTCGGAAGGGCCCTCCCTGCGCGGACCCCCTAACTCCTAACAGAGGTTGTGTCGGGGCTCCTTCCCGCTCCCCATTCCTCCCCAAGCTTCCCTCCAGCTCGCCAGGGATGTGGGGGGAAGGGAGGAAGGAGTCTGGGACCAGAGGGGGGGGGGCTGGCTAGGGAACCCGAAGGCGGGGAAACCGCTGACATCAGAAGCATCCAGAAATGGAAAGAGGGGGCACTGGGGGGAAGGAGGAGAGTTTGAGCAGAAGAGAGGGAAAGAGGGGGCCAAGTGATAGTAGCTGAAAATAGAAGCCACCGCCAGAGACCCCTGGGGAGCAGGCTTTGGAGGAGGAGGGAGTTTGGGAGAGTGGGGGTTAGGGAAGCCGGAAGCGCAGAAACAAATCCACTTGTTCAGGGAGAGGCTGACCACCCTCCCCCCCCACCCCCACCCCCCCTCCCGGCACCCCCTGCCAGGAAAGCTCCTTTCTTCCTGGCCCCAGCCTCAGTTTCCCTCCGCCGGGAGGGGAGTCCTGATTTTAGGGATGCTGAATGCCAGGGGGCCCTGGGAAGGGGGTTCAGTGGAAATGGGGAGACCCCTGGAGCCGACTGGGGATGGAAGGAAGGGCTGATGGCTGGGGGCAGGGCACGGGGGGGGGCTTGAAGTGGGGCGCAGGAAGCTCTATTTGATGCAGGGTCCTCACACCCAGGCCCTTCCCCAGAGGTCCAAGTCCAGCCGCCACCTTTGTCTTCCCTCCAGAGCCCAGTAACCCTAGTTGCCATGGCAATGGCTAGCCCGAGGGGAGGTGGAGGGAACCGCTCAGGAGCGCATCCCCCCCGACTCCCGCCGGTCCCTCCGGCCTCGGACCCCTTTCGGGAGCCCCCCACCCTGGCCCCGCTGGTGGGCTCAGGAAGGAAGAGAGGGGGCACCCGGCAGGGAGGCTGAGGATGTGAAGGACAGAGAGAAGAGGGTGAAGGACAGAGAAGGAGCAGAGGCAGGTGGGGGGGGGGAAGCCCGGGGGACTCCGCGGGGGACCGGGACCCGCCCCGCCCCGCCCCGCCCTGGCCGCGGGGTGAAGGGGTCGGGTCAGGCGGCTCCTCCCGGCGGCACCCACCGCCGGGTGCTCCCGGGCGCACCCGGCAGGTGGCTGGGGAGGGGCGCCCGGCCAGCGGGGCGCCGAGGGAGGGTCGGAGTCGGGCTGGGGGTGCGGGGGACCGGGCGAGGGGTCGTCTTACCTCCGGCTGCGCCCCGCACTCCCGGCGCGGCTCCCGGGCTCCCGCCGCCCGCCGGCTCCGGCTCGCCCGCCCTCCTCCCGCTCCCGCTCCCCCTCCTCCCTCCCTCCGGGCTCCCTCCCCCTCGGGCCCGGCTTCGGGGGGCTCGGCGGCCCCAGCCCGGCTGCTGCCGCCGCCGACGCCGCTGCTGCGGGCGAGCGCCGGGCCGGGCGGTGCCGGGGCGCGGGGGGCGCGCGGGGGGCGCGGGGCGGGCAAGTGGACGGCGGGGACCGGCGCGGGGAGGGGCCGGGCGGGCGCCGCCGGCGCGGGGGCGCGGGGGGCGGCTCCGTCGGGGAACGGTTCGCGTCCTGCCCCCGCCGCGGTTTCCCCGCACGCCCGCCCGCCCCGGAGGCAGCTGGTGTTGCGGGGAGCGGGTGTCGGGCCGGCCGGGCGCGCGCGGGCGGGCGGGCGGGCGGACCGGGGGGTCACTCGGCGCTGCTGGTGGGCTGGGGATGGACACCCCCCTCCCCACTCCCCTCGCACCTCCTGCCAGGCAAACTCACAGGCGTGTTGGGGAGCCACACCGTGGGCACAGAGCGCCTCCCCGCTGCGTCCACGGAGGCAGGTTGGGGGGGTGGCACACCCCGACAGGCCGGACAGCCTCCCCCCCCCCCACCCCAGGACAGCCTTAGGCTCCCGCGGGGACACACAGGGCGCTTCCCTTTGGGGCGAGGAGGTGGCTCTGGGTCTCCAAAGTCTGGGCCTCCCCGGGAAACTTCTCTTGCATGGGACCCCCAAAGAGATGGAAATTCTGGCCAGAAGAGCTGCCTCCTTTCTCCATCCCCATTCTCTCTCCTCTCTCTCTCTCTCTCTCTCTCTCTCTCTCTCACACACACACACACACACACACACAGAAAGCAGCACCTTCTTTATAGTACATTTATTTCCTTTCCCGAGGGCTCACGGAGGCAGAGGAGCGGGCATAAGCTGGCTGTGGGCGCTTGTCTCTTGGGGACAGAAGCTGGGGGCCAACAGGCCGGGCTGGCATGGGGACTGAGGGCAAGGAAGGGAATGGCGGAGGTTAGAGACCCCCAGAGAGAGGGAGAACAGCAGGACCCCATTTTCCTGGGGCCTGTGTGGTTTATCCAGTCGGATGGAAGCCGGTGTGGGGCAGAAGGGAACCTTCTGAAGGTTGGCTCTCAGGCTAAGTCCCCACCCCCTTCCCTTGGCAAAGCGCACCTTCCAGAAGGTTCTACACAGGGGGAGTGAGTGGCCACTGGGCGTTCTCTCCCTCAGAACCCGTGATCCCGGCTTGCACTGTGACTAGAATGAATGAACCGGCATGAAGTGAAGGAACGGCGTTGGTTGTGTAGGGTCAGGCCTCCGTGGTCAGCCAGCGGCAGAGGAAGGAGGGACTCTGGGCGTGGAGGCCCTCCCCAACCTTTGCAGACTCTCTGGAGCTGGCCCTCACTGGGGGTGGGGGGGCTGAGAATTCAAGGCCACATGTGGGGCCTCTGTGACCGCGGGCTGCAGAGAACTGCAGAGAGCTAGGTGGTGTTTGTCCCTGAGCTCGGGAACCAGCTGCAGAACCTTTTGCAAGGGGCCTGGGTGGGCCCTTCACCTCGCCGCTGAGTCCCGCTCCCCACGGCCCATTCTTAGCTCCCAGCCCTGATTCATGAGATTTTTCATAAGGTTCCAACAGGAAAAGGAGGCCAAATTGTGGGCAGGTGAGGGTGGTGTAGCCAGACGTGGACACAGGGGTGTCCCGCTGGTATCCAGGTGAGGCAGGGAGCCCGTGGCCCCCACGCAGGCAGTGCAGCAGAGGGGGTGGCTCAGCAGAGGCTGGCAGGAGCCCCTGCAGCTGGTCCTGGGCTGGCTGTGTGATCTCCAGCTAATTCTTGCCCTCTCCCTTAAAGGCACAGTTCCCATACTTCATGCTTCCAGACATCCAGCCTCACCCTCCAGACAAGCAGGGCTGGTTCTGCCCGCCTCCCACCATCTCTCCGCCCCTGGGTCCCCTGGGCAGTGAGAGAAAAGAAAGAGCCAAAGAAGGCCTGGCTTGGACTTGAGCGAAAAGGAGAGGGGGGAGGCTCTCTGGGTGAGTGCTCTTTGGGTAAATGCTCCCTGGGAGAGTGCTCTCCGGGTGAGTGCTCCCTGGGAGAGTGCTCTCCGGGCGAGTGCCCCCAGGGAGAGTGCTCTCTGGGTGAGTGCTCTCCGGGAGAGGAGAGCCTAAGATGCAGCGTGGACAAGGAGAGCGAGGGTGGCTGCTACATTCATCTGGTCCGCAGGCCCAGTAGTCCAAACCGGAAAGGCTGGGGGGACAGCTGGGAGGCGCGAGTGGGAAGCGTTCCCTGGCCCGGTGACTCAAAGGAGCCCACGTGTTTTCTGAAGCCGGCTGGAAGGAAGAAAGGGAGCACGGTCCACCGGTTACACCCCCAACTCACACACCCGGCCCCACTTCCTCCCTGGACCCTGCCCCCCCTCCTCCCTGCAGGCCCCTCCCTGCCCTCCCTTCCCCTGCCTCCCCCCTCCCCCAGCTCCTTACTGGGAGCACTGGCAGGTCTTCCTCTCGCTGAGGAGTCTCTTGATCTGAGACATCCTCTGGGCCTGGCGCTGTCCAGGAAGAAGGAGGAGACTCGTGAGGGTCCCAGGCCTCCGGAAGGGAGGTGCCCCTCGGAGGGGGCCGCGGGGGACGCTGGGAGAGGAGAAGCCGTCAGAGTGCTGAGGCATCCCTCACCCCTCACCCCACCCCCCTGTGAGGATCGTAGGGCGCACGGGAGCAAACCCCACATCCACAGAGTGCAGGGGCTCTGTACGGAGGGCTGGGGGCTCCCGGGGCGCAGAGGGCTGGGAGGGGGATCACTCACCCTGCGGTGCTGGCACCGGACACAGCAGTAGATGCAGAAGCTAGTGAGAAGCAGGAAGCCCACGAGGCCCCCCACCACCATGACCAGGTTCATGGGCGAGGTCGGCAGGTCTGTAGAGGAGACTGGGAGAGAGAGGGTTCAGCTCAACACCCTCCAGGGGTCAGAGGACAGTCTGTTTTTTGTTTTTGTTTTTTTTTTTTTTACTTTTTTGGATCATACCCGGCAATGCTCAGGGGTTACTCCTGGCTCTGCACTCAGGAATCACTCACTCCTGGCAGCACTCGGGGGACCATATGGGATGCTGGGAATCGAACCCAGGTCGGCCGCATGCAAGGCAAACGCCCTACCCGCTATGCTATTGCTCCAGCCCCGACAGTCTGGTTTTTTTTTTGGTTTTTATTTTTATTTTCTTTTGCATTTTGGGTCACACCCGGCGATGCTCAGGGGTTACTCCTGACTCTGCACTCAGGAATTATTCCTGGCAGGGGATTGTATGGGATGCTGGGAATCGAACCCGTTTGACCACGTGCAAGGCAAACACCCTCCCTGCTGTGCTATGGCTCCAACCCCATCAGAGGACAGTCTGGACGGCACTGAGGAGGCCCTGCTGCCTTGGGGCCTGTTTCTGGCTCTGGGACACCTGAGAGAGGAGGGCACAGGCCCCTGCCCTGCAGGGCAGAAAAGAAACCTTCGTGGTGGGGGGAGGGGAAGGATGAGGGGGGGTGAGGAGTGCTGGCCATCAGTGCAAAGCTGGACCGCCCCACAGTCCAGTACCCCTGAGCCTCTGAGCTAGATTCCAGTCCCAGGGGGCTAAGGGTGGAGACTGCAGGGGCTGGCGCGATAGGACAGCGGGTAGGGTATTTGCCTTTTACACGGTTGACCTGGGTTACATCCCCAGCACTGCATGTGGTCCCCTGAGCACCATCAGGAGTGATCCCCGAGTGCAGAGCCAGGAATAAGCCCTGCACACAACTGGGTCTGGCCTGAAACCCAATCAAACCAAAGAAAAGTATAGAGTGGGGCCGGAGCAATAGCACAGCGGGTAGGGCGCCTGACTTGCACGTGGCTGACCCGGGTTCGATCCCCGGCATCCCATATGGTCCCCTGAGCACCGCCAGGAGTGATTCCTGAGTGCAGAGTCAGGAGGAACCCCTGAGCATCGTCGGGTGTGACCCAAAAAAGCAAAAAAACCAAACAAACAAACAAAAAAAAATAACTGACAGAAAAATATGAAGCTCATAGGCCATTAGGAAGGAGCAATGTAAGTTGTGCGTGTGTGTGAGTGTGAGTGCAAATGCACACTCAATGCGTGCAGCTAGCGCGCGCACACGCATGCGCACACACACACACATACACACACACACATACATGTTCTTTCTTTTTCCCTATCCCCTAAATTTTACAATATGCCGTGCTCAAGGCTGACTCCTGACTCTGCACTCGAGGATCTGAGGCTTGGGGGCCATGGGAAATCAAAGTCAGGGGCTGGAGCAATTGTACAACAGGGAGAGCATTTGCCTTGCACGCGGCAGACCCAAGTTCGATCCCCGGCATCCCATCTGGTTCCCTGAACACCGCCAGGAGTGGGAGTGATTCCTGAGTGCAGAGCCAGGAGTCACCCCTGAGCATCGCTGGGTGTGACCCCAAAAATAAACAAACAAACAAACAAACTTTGTCAGTCAAGTGCAAGGCAAGCCCCCCTGCTGTCTGTTCTATCTCTCCAGTCCCCTCTCTTCTCTGTTTGTCTTTTGTTTGGGCCACACACCCCGAGATGCTCAGGGCTCACTCCTAGTGGTGCTCGGGAGACCATATGGGACGCCGAGGGTTGAACCCAGGTTGCAAGCACGTTACCCACTGCACTATAGCTTGGGCCTCTCTCTCCTGCATTTGTAGAAGAGTCAGAGTTGGGGCCTGGGTTGGAAGTCTGCTTTCCCACACTGTCCCCTGGCGACAGGGACAAAATGCTGATGAGACAGTCACATTCATGAAACCAGAGATCACCGTGCCCCCAGCATGGAAGACAGGACCTATGGCCCACCTGGCGCCAGGAGGCCCCAGGCTGCTTCCCCTGCGTCCCAACATTGACCCCCCCCCCCCCGCCCCCGACAGATAATGGAACCAGACCAAATGCATTGATTCCACTGGTCTCGGTTCCCTTCTCCCGTTTTCCCACCCACGACAACTTAAAAGCCCCCTTAGTCCCTCCCAGGGCGCGGCTCTACCCCAGCCTCACCCGAGGCTCGGAAGCACTTCTCCTGGGGCTGGAGTGATAGCACAGCGGGGAGGGCGTTTGCCTTGCACGCGGCCGACCTGGGTTCGATTCCCAGCATCCCATAGGGTCCCCCGAGCACCGCCAGGGGTAATTCCTGAGTGCAGAGCCAAGAGGAACCCCTGAGCATCGCCGGGTGTGACCCAAAAAGCAAAAAAATATAACAAAAACAAACTTCTCCTACTTCCCTCACTTCACTTGTCTCTGTCTCTGTCGGCTGAGGTCACAGACCTATTGTCCCCCTCCCGCAGGGGCCATCCCCTATCCCGTCCTGCATGCTCCCCGCGTGCTCCCAGGCCCCGGAGTCTTCATTAGCCCCCAGTCCCGTTAGGAGTTGGGAAGCAGGCCCTCTGCCCCTCCCCTGGCCTCGGAAGGTCCCCTCCGCCTGAGAGAGGGAGACGGAGGCTGGGGGAGGCCAGGGACCGGATGTTCACTCACCTTCCACCGCTGACATCAGCAGCAGCCCGGCGGCGCCCATCAGCTCACACTGCCAGGTGCCCGCCTCGGCGTCCTGCACCTTCACCAAACTCTGCTGGCTGCTGGCCTTCGTCTGGTTCCTCCACCTCAGTCTCAGCGTCAGGGATGGGGGTACAGGTCCGCTCACCTCACATGTTACATTGCTCTGGGTCGTAGTCACTGCAGGCGACAGAAGCCAACGACTGGGACCAGGGACCTCGGGGCTCCCCCACACCATCAAGGCTGAGGGAGTTTATTTTTAAATTTATTTTTAATTAATTTGTTTTCGGTTTGGGGGCCACCCTCGGTGGTCCTTAGGGGTTACTCCTGGCTCTGCACTAAGAAATCACTCCTGGCACTGCTTGGAGAAGCCTATGGGATACCAGGGATAAAACCTGGGGTCGGCCGCGTGCAAGGCAAGTGCCCTAACCATCACTCTGGCCCTTGTTTTAATTATTTTTTTTTAATTTGCTTTTTTTAAAATTTTTTTTGCCTCTTATCAGGACATCTTTTTAAGACATCTTATTATCTCATTCCTACTTTGGACAAACTTGCAGGCTATCGAATGTAGCCTGCCCACAGGGCAGAGTCTGGCAAACTCCCCGTGGCGCACCAAATATGCCAAATACCAGTAACAATGATGGGTCTCATTCTCCTAAAGAGCCTTGAATATAATCTCAGGGCTAGGATGAAAGAGACGTTACTGGGGCCTGCTCGAGGCAATCGACGAATAACAGGATGATGAATGCAAAATGAATGAAATTTGCTTTTTGGGTCACACCCTGCGATGCTCAGGGGTTCCTCCTCGTTCTGCACTCAGGAATTACTCCTGGCGGTGCTCAGGGGACCATATGGGATGCTGGGAATCGAACCTGGATCAGCCGTGTGCAAGGCAAACGCCCGACCTGCTATACTATCGCTCCAGCCCTTAATTGTTTTAAATTTTTATTTACTTCCCCATGCCCCCGGCCCTGGGGGAACACCAAGATTCTTGCAATGATCACCAGCACCATAGCCAGCTCCTGAGGACAGATGAAGGGAGAGTTTAATCAAAAGATCCAAAAGAGGAGCTGGAGCGATAGCACAGCGGGTAGGGCATTTGCCTTGCACACAGTCAACCCGGGTTCGATTCCCAGCATCCCATATGGTCCCCTGAGCACCGCCAGGGGTAATTCCTGAGCGCAGAGCCAGGAATAACCCCTGTGCATTGCCGGTGTGACCCAAAAAGAAAAAAAAAAAAAGATCCAAAAGAGGGAGTCAGAGCCAGAGTACATGGTGGAGGGTGCTTGCTTTGCATGTGGCCATCCAGGTTCAATCTCCAAGCCCAAGCCCCAAGCCCACCAGGTGTGATTCCTGAGTAGAGAGGCAATAGTAAATCCTGAGAACTGCTGGGTATGCCCCCCAACCCCCTCCCAAAATTCCCAATGAGGAATTAATGGGACTGGGTAGGGTACATATTACCTTATGTGGCCAACCCAGGTTCAATCCTTGGGCCCCGTATGTGGCCACCTAAGGTTTAATCCCTGGACCCCATATCACCCCATAAGTCCACCAGCTGTGATCCCTGAGTATAAAGCCAGGAGTAAATCCGGAACACTGCCAGTGTGGTTGAAAAACAAATAAGAAAAGAGCCCAAAGGAGACTTTTATGGGCCTCTGAGCACATTCCTTGATGTTGGATTATAGTTTGTTTGTTTGTTTATTTTTTGCTTTTTGGGGTCACACCCGGTGATGCTCAGGGGTTACTCGTGGCTCATGCACTCAGGAATTGCTCCTGGCGGTGCTCAGGGGACCGTATGGGGTGCTGGGAATCAAATCTGTGTCGGCCATGTTGGCTGCGTGCAAGGCAAACGCCCTACCCGCTGTGCTAACGCTCCAGCCCCAGGATTATAGTTCTAAACATTTCAGGTTTAACATTGGTTCATCCTTTCTCCTCCTTCCTTTCTCATCACTGTGCTCCCAAAGCACTCCCATTTCCTCAGTATTCTTTTTTTTTTTTGCTTTTTGGATCACACCCAGCAATGCACAGGGGTTACTCCTGGCTCTGTGCTCAGGAATTACCCCTGGCGGTGCTCAGGGGACCATATGGGATGCTGGGATTCGAACCTGGGTTGGCCACGTGTAAGGTAAACGCCTTACCCGCTGTGCTATTGCTCCGGCCCCAGTATTCATCTTTAACTTCTCTTCTGTGCTCTGCTTCCCCTAACTGTTTATCACTCATTTCCCCTAATCAGAACCTGTGACTTGTAAAGTCAGATGCTTCAGAGATCTCTGGATTTTGTATTTGTAAGTGAAATATTGCTTTTCTCTTTCCTTTATGTGCTTTGCAGTCTATTTTACTGCAATTTCCTTTTTGTATAGCCACAGAGAGACAGTTGATGTTATGCTTTTGTTACTTGAGAGTTAATTGACTCTGAATAATATTTACTCCTGGGCATCTGTCATATTTACTCGACTTAAGTCTCAGTTGCCCTTAGTTCCTAGCACCCCAAAAGGAGGGTCCTGAAAAAGGGACTTGGATGGACCCAGGGCAAGCGATGAGCTACCCTGGCATCAAAACAGGACGGGCCAATGCCATACAATTTATAAGTTAAGAGCACGGTCATGGACAAACTCTGTCATGACCCAAAAATAAGTAACTGGACGAGGACCCTGCTGGGGTTAGGAAAGACTAATCTGGCCCGAGGACTGTAATCTGGGTTATATATCGAGATGTCCCTGGGAAGAGCCAGCCTTTTATGCTTGGTAAATCTCTTACTGTGTCCATACAAAATTACTAGAAATTTTTTTTTTCTTTTTGGGTCACACCCGGCGATGCACAGGAGTTACTCCTGGTTCATGCACTCAGGAATTACTCCTGGCAGTGCTCGGGGGACCGTATGGGTTGCTGGGAATCGAACCTAGGTTGGCTGCATGCAAGGCAAGCGCCCTACCGGCTGTGCTATTGCTCCAGCCCCTAGAAATATTTTTAATTAATTAATTAATTAATTTGCTTTTTGGGTCACATCCAGCATTGCACAGGGATTACTCCTGGTTCATGCACTCAGGAATTATTCCTGGCGATGCTCGAGGGACCCTATGGGATGCTGGAAATCCAACCTGGGTCGGCCACATGCAAGGCAAACACCCTACCTGCTGTGCTATAGCTCCAGCCCCTAGAACTATTATTAAGAAATAAATTGAAGATGACTGAATACTGGCTAAGAAAAGGGGAAAGTAATACACCTTAGATGGGATTCTGCCCTTGGGTGGATCTCCTAGCAGGATGAGATGTTGAAGAGCTTCCCCAGAAGGAAGGGCTTTACAAAAGTTGATTGTGCTACTCGCCTATGTGTAATTGCTACCCTCAACCTATGATGTTTTGTTCTTCTTTGGGTCACGCCAGTGATGCACAGGGGTTACTCCTGGCTCTGCACTCAGGAATTACTCTTGGCGGTGCTCAGGAGACCCTATGGGATGCTGGGAACCAGACCTGGGTCAGCCAGGTGCAAGGCAAACGCCCTACCCGCTGTGCTATCGCTCCAGCCCCTGATATTTTGCTCTTAACTAACGCTGGGAGACGGGAATTGGGCAGAGTGAAACTTGGAGGAGAGGAGTGTGAGTCTGGTACTGAGACAGATTTTAGAATAAACGGTGACTGATCACCCACCAGCTCGGTGGCCCTCCTTCCTGCATCTGTGGACAGCGGCCAAGGGGGGTGAGAAGGCGGCTCTTGGCCACCGAATGCACACGGCACGTGCCCACACTTTTTGAACACACACCTTGGCAGTTAAAACAAAATAAAAAACAGCTTTGGGGGTTTATTTGTCCTGGATTTGCATGCCAGCCCCTGTGGGCACCTCTGTGCAGGCTGCTTCATAGCTGGAACACCAGGCCAACATTATATGCGCCTGCGCACCTGCAGACACACACACACACACACACACACACACACACATACACACACACACACACACACACGAACTGTTCTATTTGTTTCCAATTTAGGTGTTTGGACCACATCTGGTGGAGTTTACTCCTGGCTCAGGGATCACTCCTGGGGGTGCCCGCGGCAGGAGATCCCATGTGGCTCCCGGGTTAGAACCGAGGCTGGCTGTGTGCAAGGAAAGAGCCTTTCCCCCTGTTCTCTCTCCTCTCTCTCTCTCTCTCTCTCTCATAGACTGTTCTGGAAGGGGGCCTGGCATGGAGTAAGCAGCCAGCATTAGCTTTCCCCATCTCTGGAACTGCAAAAAGGATTCGGAACATGAGGATGCAGGGAGAGAAAGAGAGCGCTGACCTCAGCATTATCGGGCTCAGGCTAAGAGCGGAGGAATTGAAGGAGCTCAGTGAGCAGGGGAAAGGCGGGGTCAGAGAGTCAGAACCCGTCTCAGGCCCTTTGGGGGATTCTCAGTGGAGTCACCACCCCCCTGCCCAGTCTCAGTCCAAACCGAGCACCACCGCCCCCCAACCCAGAGGTGTCCTGACCAGCACTCAGGGTGTGGGCTTTCATTCTGGGAGGGCGGAGGTGGATGACCATTTGGCTCACTGACCTGGGGGGGGGGCACAATAGGCAACAAATCACAGAGAGAAATAAATATATATACATATATATCTCTTGGAGAGCCCAGCAGGCTATTGAGAGTATCCCACCCACACGGGCAGAGCCTGGCAAGCTCTTCGTAGCGTATCCGATACGCCAAAACCAGTAACGATAACGGGTCTCATTCCCCCGACCCCGAATGAGCCTCCAATCGTTGGGAAGGACAAGTAAGGAGAGGCTGCTACAATCTCAGGGCCGGGACGAATGGAGATGTGACTGGCGCCCGCTCGAGTAAACTGACAAACAACGGGATGACAGCGATACAGCGATACAATGACCTCGGAGGGGGATGCAGGGGGCTCCCGAGCTCCTCACCTCGCATCACCACCAGCTTCACTTCCTGACTCAGCGGTCTGCGGAGGAGACACAGGTCGAGCTTGAAGGTTCCCGCATAGCGCGGCAACGCGCGGGGTAGGGTGAAGTTCAAAGGGAGCGTCTCCTCCATCTGGAGCTTGGGTGCCTTAGACACCTGCTGGAAGGACAGCTTTTTCTCCTTGAAGGAGAAGGTGATCAAGGGCTGGGGGGCGGAGGGGGCTCCCCCGCCCTGCCAGCTCAGCTCCCCAGTCAGAGCGTCAACTTGGGAGTTCAAGGGGAAGGTGAACTGTGCCGACTGGTTCTCCCGGGCGTACACTGTGTAGGGTGCCTTCTGGAAGCCTGCAGTGGGAAGAGAGAGAGAGTCCGGTCAGGAGCTGGGGGCTGGCAGAGTGCGGGGTGGGCTAGGCTGCGTGCCGGGGGAGCAGAGACAGAAGGCCGGGGTGCTGGGGAGCTGGGCCTTGCATCGGTGATGCCCGAGTTGATTCGTCCTGATTTTTGTTTCATTTGGGGGCCACCTCCGGCCAGTGCTCAGGGTTTACTCCTGGCTCTGCACTCAGGAATCTCTGGTGGGTTCGGGGAACCATCTGGGCTGCCCGGCATGGAACCCAGGTCAGCCATGTGCAAGGCAAACACCCTCCCCGCTGTTCCATCTCTCCGACTTGCATCTTTTCAAATTTTTTTTGGTTTTATTTCTTGGGGGCGACACCTCGCAACGGTGATCAGGGCTTACTCCTGGCTCTTTGCTCAAGGATCTCTTCTGGTGGTGATCAGTGTACCACGTGGGGTGCCAGGGACCAAATCCGGGCCAGCTCTACAGAGCTGATGGAACCTGGGGCAGCCCCAGGAGGCCAGGACCCCAGCAGGACAAGCCTCTGGGTCCCCACAGCCCCTGCCCACACCCTCCCCCCATTGGGGCCCTACTCAGGACTGGAATTTCTTTTATTTTTTACTTTTATTTATTTATTTATTTATTGGCTGCGTGCAAGGCAAACGCCTTACCCGCTGTGCTATCACTCCAGCCCAGGACTGGAATTTCATCCCAGCTGGGGGCAGTGGTGGGGACACCCCTGAGGAAGCGACTTGCCAACTCCACGCCAGTGGGAAACTGTGGCAACAAAGCAAAGGGGTGCTCAGGGCGGGAGCGACAGCACAGCTGAGAGGGTGCTCGCCTGGCATGTGGCTGAGGGGGTTTAGATCTACGGCACCCCATGTGGTCCCCTGAGCACCTCCAGGAGTGATCCCTGGAGTAAGTTCTGAGCGCTGCTGGATAAGGGAAAGAGAAAGAAAGAAAGAAAGAAAGAAAGAAAGAAAGAAAGAAAGAAAGGAAGGAAGGGAGGGAGGGAGGGAGGAAAAGAAAAGAAAGAGAAGAAAGAAAAAAACAGGAAGAAACAAGAAAATGGGAAGGAAGGAGAGAGGGAGAGAGGAAAGGAAGGAGGGAAGGAAAGAAGGAAAGACAGAGAAAGAAGGAAAGAAAGAGGGGGAGGGAGGAAAGGAAGGAAGGAAGGGAAGAAAAGAAGAAAAGAAAGAAAACAGGAAGGAAAGAAGAAAGGAAGGAAGGAAGGAAGGAAAGAAGGAGGGAGAAAGAAAGAAAAGAGGATAAAGGAGGGAAGGAAGGAAGGAAGGAAGGAGGGAGAAAGAAAGGAAAGAGGATAAAGGAGGGAAGGAAGGAAGGAAGGAAGGAAGGAAGGAAGGAAGGAAGGAAAAAAGGGAGGGAGGGAAGAAGGGAGGGAGGGAGGGAAGAAGGGAGGGAGGGAGGGAAGGAGGGTGGAAGAAGGGAGGTCTCCTTTTGGGGACCTCTTCTAGCCCTGCTCCTCCTTTCTCGGCATCTGCATCCTGAGCAAAGAGGCACTTGCAGCAGGACAGGGCAGTGGTCGAAGTGGTCGGGCCGGGGGGCGGGGGGCGGGAGGGACCCTCTCACCCAGCACCAGAATGTTCACTTGGAGCTTCAGCGTCTTCTGGGTCTTCTGGGTGTGGGAGACGGTGCATGTCCAGAGGCCGCTGTCCTGCATCTGCACGTGAGCCACGAAGAAGGCCAGGCCTCCGGGCTGTGCACTCGGGGACCCTGGGCGCTGCCACTGGACCGAAGGGGTCAGCTTCGGTGGGCCCTGCAGGGTCAGGTTCAGGCTCTGCCCCTGGAACAGGAGGGTGGTGTCGGAGCTGGCTGTCACTGCAGAGAGAGCAGGCCACCTGTGTCACACACACCGTCCCCGAGGAGGGGGACGGAGCCAGAGAACCACAAGGGTCTCTCCATCAGCCCGTCCCAGCATCTGCCTGGCCAACCCTTAGCCAAGGCCCATCCCTCCCCCCTCCTGCCCGTTTCTCCTCCTCCTCCCTGCCTCTCCTCTCTCCTCTGCGCAGACACCTCTCATTCCCTCTCTTCAGATCATTTCCTTTCTGCACATCTCACCCCAACCTGCAAAGGCTTTTTTTTTTTGGAGGGGGAGGCTTTGGGGGTCACCCCCGGTGATGCTCAAGGGTTAGCTCTGCCCTCGAGAATTACTCCTGGCAGTGCTTAGAGAAGCATATGGAATACGGGGAATTGAACCTGGGTCGGCCACATGCAAGGCGAACACCCTACCCGCTGTGCTATCGCTCCAGCCCCACTTTGCAGACTTTGCGGAGGCACTTGGTGGCCAGTCTGATCCTCTCTGATCTGCTTTTTGGGAGTCACACCCGGCAATGCTCAGTGCTTCCTCCTGGTGCTGTGCTCAACGATTGCTCCTGACGGGGCTCAGAGCCAGGCTAGCCAGGTGTAAGGCCTTAACCACTGCACTATCTCTCTGGCTCTAAAACTTTAATTCTGGAGTTGCCCCCAACGAGCGGCTCTCCGGCACGGCCATGGCACCAGAGGCTCATGGACCTAATCCAGAAGCCAGCAGCTTGCAGCAGAAATGTGAATAGACTATGTGTTAAACTACAGCGCCATGCCCCACCCCTGGGAGGGAAAGGGTGTCTGTCTGTCTCTTCCGCCTTCCCCGCTCCCTCCTACCCTCCCACCAGCACAGTGGCCATGGCCTTGGAGCTTATTGAACAGCCAGGTATGAGCCGGTGGTGACAGGGCAACTGCAGCCTCAGGGGATGGGGGGGCGGAACCGGCACGTCCTTCACACCCTACCGAGGCCATGAGTTGCCCTCCACAAGCGGCTCTCCGGCACGGCCATGGCACCAGAGGCACACAGACCAATCTCGTAATTATCCGGCTCTTGGCAGAAATCCCTTCAGACTTAATTAGTAAAATATCAGAAATCCAAAATCGCGCGGCCGCAAGAGCGGCCACATGACATCATATGGTCTTCATAACCAGCATTACACTGTAGCACTGTCCTCCCGTTGTTCATCGATTTGCTCGAGAGGGCCCAGTAATGTCTCCATTGTGAGACTAGTTATTACTGTGTTTGGCATATCAAATACGTCACAGGTAGCTTGCCAGGCTTGCCGTGCGGGCAAGATACTTTTGGTAGCTTGCTGGGCTCCCTGAGAGGGGCAGAGGAATCGAGCCCGGCTCAGCTGGGCCGGCCGTGCACAAGGCAAACTGTGCTATCGCTCCAGCCCCAATAACTAGCAATAGAAAACAAATTATTTCACAATGCCTTTTCAGCAGTTCTGATTGTTGGGGGGAAATTCCCAATAATAATGGTGCATCTTTTGTTGAAATAATGAATGTAATCAAAGTAGAGAGAGAGTTAAATAGAAACCATCTGCCTCACAGACATTGGGAGGGGTGGAAGGGGGGTATATTGGGGTTCTTGGTGGTGAAAAATGAGTACTGGTGAAGGGAAAGGTGTTTGATCATTGTATGTCTGAGACTTAAACCTGAAAGCTTTGTAACTTTTCTCATGGTGATTCAATAAATAAATTTAACAAATAAATAAATAAATAAAACTTTAATTCTTTTTTGTGGGGCATCACACTTGGCAATGCTCAGGGGTGACCTGGCAGTGCTTAGGGACCACCTGGGATGCCGGGATAAAACCAAGGTTGTCCTCATGCAAGGCCAGCACGCTACCAACTGAACTATCTGGCAGGTCCTCGAACTTTATATACTTTTTTTTTTTTTTGCTTTCTTGTGTCACACCTGGCAATGTACAGGGCTTACTCCTGGCTCATGCACTCAGGAATCACTCCTGGCAGTGCTCAGGGGACCCTATGGGATGCTGGGGATCGAACCCGGGTCGGCCATGTGCAAAGCAAACGCCCTACCCACTGTGCTATCACTCCAGCCCCTTGATACACTTCTTGATCGACTTTGGTAAGCCCCTTACCATAGAGTAACAGAAAGAAGACAGTAGGGGCCAGAAAGGTCAAACAGCAGGGAGCAGCCAGAGAGTGAGCTGCGGGGAATGTGCTTGCCTTCCACCCAGCTTATCCGGCTTCTGTCCCTTGCACCCCATATGGACCCCAAATCCCACCAGGAGAGATCTCTGACTAGTTGAGATCCACTAGCTGTGGTCCTCAAACCAAAATCAAAACCAAAAACCGACCACAGGTAAGGCACACACCATACCCGGGTTCAATCCCTGGCATATCATACGGCTCCCAGAGCCTGGCCAGGAGGGATCCCTGGGCGCAGAGCCAGGAGTAAGCCCTGAGCATCACTGGGTGTGGCCCCCAGGCACTCCCCCTGAGAAAAGATGAAGAACAAGAAGAAGAATATAAAATGAAAAAGAATTTCCCTTTCTTCCTTTCTGTTTCCCAGAAGTAATAGGTGCTATTCAATTGTTGTTTGTTTGTCTGGGGTGGGGGCACACCTGGTGATTGTCAGGTGTTACTCCTGGCTCTTCACTCAGGGATCACTCCTGGAGGGACCATATGGGCCGCCAGGATCGAACCCAGGTCGGCAGCCTTCAAGGCAAGTGTCCTACCCACTCTAGTATCACTTCAGCCCCAGATACTATTAAGAGTACTGGCTACAGTTCAATTATTACTTTTTTTTATGCCTAACAAGCCTAAATACACACATCTGTATATCTATGTAAATAGAAATAAACTGGGGCTTGAGCGATAGCACAGCGGGGAGGGCGTTTGCCTTGCACGCGGTTGACTGGGGTTCAATTCCCAGCATCCCATATGATCCCTTGAGCACCGCCAGGAGTAATTCCTGAGTGCATGAGCCAGGAGTAACTCCTGTGCAACGCCGGGTGTGACCCAAAAAGAAAAAAAAAAAGACATCAATAAATATGGTCAGGGCTGGAGCGACAGTACAGTGGGAAGGGCGTTTGCCTTGTACATGGCTGACCTGGGTTGAATCCCCGGCATCCCAGAGGGTCCCTCAAGTGCACTGCCAGCAGTGATTCCTGAGTGCAGAGCCAGGAGGAACCCCTGAGCAGCACCAGATGTGACACTTCCCCACAATAACAAATAAAGAAAAAAACAGGTTTTGATTCCAACCCTGGCAGAGCTGAGCTTACTCCCAGCTCTGTGCTCAGGACTCCTTCCTGATGGTGCTTGGGGGACCGTCTGGGGTGCCAGGGATTGAACCAGAGTGTGGCATATTCAAGGCCAGCATCTTAATGACCTCTAAGCCCGCCCATCCCCCTTCTCCAGATTCTGGAAGTGTTACCCGCTCTGTCCTGGTTAGGGGTCAGAGAGGGGGGAGGCTGTCTAGCTCTGCCCCCCACCCCCCGCCTTAGTGTCCACTCACATTTGTAGACCTGCAGCTCCACGGCCAGTGTTTTTTGGTCTTTCACCTCACAGATGTACGTGCCTGAGTCTTCCAACTTGAGTTTACTGATGACCAAAGGAAAAGATCCCAGGTTCCATTCCCTTGTTCTGGAATCAACACGGCTTTCCAACCTCGTCAGACCTAGGAAGAGAAGATGAAGGAAGAGGGTCCCCCCCCACCCCCACCCTTCATGCCTCCACAGCTCTTAATAGCCCATTTCCTGCAGAATCTGCCCTCATCAGAGGTCCCAGACTGTAAGGGTCCCCTCCCCTTTACCCCCCCCCCCCCGCCCCCGGTCAGGACCCCACACATGCCTCCAGAATTCAATGGTATTCATTTGTTTTGTTTTGTTTTGGAGTCACAGCTGGCAATGCTCAGGGCTGAGTCCAGGCTCTGCTCTCAAAAATCACTCCTGGTGGGGCTCGGGAACCCTATGGGATGCTGGAGATCGAAACTGGTCCGGCCACATGCAAGGCAAACGCCCTCCCCGCTGGACTACTTTCCCACCAGGAGAATTCCATGATCATCTCAAGGAGTAGCGCCCCCTTCAGGCCGAATACCAGATGTGCGCTCACTCATGTCAGCTTCACAGCAATGAAGGGTATTTTGTTGATTACGGAAGCTGAGATTAGGCAGTTGCGCCAAGTCACACTTTGTTGACAGAAACAGAAGCCAGAGAATAGCACAGTGGGAAGGGCGTTTGCTTTGCTGGTGGCCGACCCAGGTTCCATCCCGGGCATCCCGTAGGGGGCCTCAACACCACTGGGTGTGATCCTGACTTCAGAGCCAGGAGTAAGCCCTGAACTTTGCCAGGTGTCAGCCCAAAACCAAAAAAAAAAAAAAAAAAGTAAGACTCAAATGAGAATCCTAGTTGCCTCCAAGGAGAGGAAGTGAATGTCCTTGATACAAGTGTGTGTGTGTGTGTGTGTGTGTGTGTGTGTGTGTGTGTGTGTACACGCACACACGCACACACACATACAGGGATGCTAAGTGGGACGGAGATGCCAGGAGGTGACTATGGGCAGCAGCTGCTTTACTTGGTCTCTGTACCAGGCTGCCAGGCCTGCGAAGAAGTGCAGGTGGCAGAGCAGACCCAGTGGGAGAGGTTAGTAGCAGCAAGAATAGAGTTTGGGGCTGGAGCCATAGCACAGCAGGGAGGGCATTTGCCTTGCATGCGGCAGACCCGGGTTCGATTCCCCAGCATCCCATAGGGTTCCCTAGGCATGGCCAGGAGTGATTCCTGAATGCAGAGCCAGGAGTAGACCCTGAGCATCGCTGGGTGTGACCCAAAATGTTAAAAAAAAAAAAAAAAGAATCAGGGTGCTAGAGAGATAGTACAGCAGGTAGGGCGTTTGCCTTGCACGCAGACAACTCGGGTTCGATTCCCGGCATCTCCTAGGGTCGCCCGAGCACTGCCAGGAGTGATTCCTGAGTGCAGAGCTAGGAGGAACCCTTGTACAACGCCGTCAAAAAATATACATATATAACAGAGTGGATCCAGGAATCCACCAGGGCCCCTGGGGCATGGCTTGATGCTGGTGGCACTGCCCTGGGCAGCTGGAAGAGAATCCAGGGAAACATTTCTAAAGCCGGTGGCTGAAGAGAGAAACAGTTGCTGCCAGTGGGAGTGAGGGAAAGAAGCCTGTCAGAGGTGGGGCAGGGCAGCTGCTCCCGGGAAAGTCAGATCCTAGACCCAGAACAAAAGCCCTGCCACAAAGAAGGTCGCACAGGTGATCAAAGAGATGCAAATCCGATGACAATGCCTGTGGGTGGGAGGACATGTGCCTGCCTGCCAGGCTCTCCCACACCTCTGCATGTGCAGATGTAGCTGTGTCCCAGCCCGAAGAGCACTGTAGGAGGTGACCTCAGCACCATGGAGGAGGGATCCCTACAAAAACAGAAAATAGGGACCAGAGATACCAATTTTTCTTTTTTTGCTATCACTCTGGGCCCGAGACCAAATTTTTGAAAAATGAAAAGAAAATGGGGTAATTCCTGAGTGCAGAGCCAGGAGTAACGCCGGGTGTGACCCAAAAAGCAAAAAACAGACAAACAAACCAAAAAAAAAAAAAACCTCAGAAAAAAAACAGGGGCTGGAGAGATAGCACAGCGGGTAGGGCATTTGCCTTGCACGCAGCTGACCCGGGTTCGATTCCCAGCATCCCATATGGTCCCCTGAGCACTGCCAGGAGTAACTCCTGAGTGCAGAGCCAGGAGTAACCCCTGTGTATCGCCAGGTGTGACCCAAAAAGCAAAAAAAAAAAAAAAGAAAAAAGAAAAAAAGAAAAGAAAATCCAAGAAATAGAAGAAAGGTAGAAAGGAAGGGAGGGAGGGAGGGAGGGAGGAAGGAAGGAAGGAAGGAAGGGAGGAAGGGAGGGAGGGAGGAAGGAGAGGCAGGAGGGGGGAGGGAGAGGGAGGAAGGGGAAGGGTATATTTGCCTTGTGTTGCATGTGGTAGCCCTGGGTCTCCATCCCAGCACTGGCTGGCCCCCTAGCACCACAGAGATGGCCCCTGAGCACCTCTTGGTGTGGCCTCAAACCAACATAAGTAAATAAAGCAAAGCAACAATGATGTCATTTTCAACTCTCCGATTTGCCAGGGGAGCGGGTGTTTTCTATAAAGCTACTCGGTGCTGGCACGGTGCTGGCGACAGATTCACACTGACATTCACTAGACGCAGACATCCTGGAAGCAATCTCTCAGTAGGCACCAACTATTTTTAAAAGTTCCCGTCCTCCATTTGATTTCTAGGACTTCATCCATCAAGCAACAATTTTAAGATGCGAACCGAACTGTGGAGACCAAAATTACCATTGCAGAGTTGTCCGCTGTGTGTGGGGTTCAACAAAAAAGATACTGGCCCGGAGACTGGAGCAATAGGACGGCAGGTAGGGCATTTGCCTCACACGTAGCCGACCCAGGTTCGATCCACGGCATCCCATTTGGTCCCCCGAGTACCACAAGTAGAGATTCCTGAGCGCAGATATTGGCTGTGTGAGAGTTCCCTCGTTTGGTGGCCTAGTAGGTTGGCACCAAAAGTGACATTACCGGACTGGAGCCACAGTACAGCAGGGAGGTAATATGTTTGCCTTGCATACAGCCGGGCCAGGTTCAATCCCCGGCATCCCACCTAGTCCCCCAAACACCACTAGAAGTAATTCCTGAGCACAGAGCCAGGAGTTAACACCTGAACATTGCTGGGTGTGACCCAAAAAGCAAAAAAGAAACACACCAAAAAAATGATATTTCCAATAATATTTTATACGAACAATTTATGAAACGGGAACTATGTGTGTGTTTAAGTTGTACTTAAGCCATCTTGTTTATTTCATTGGTTCTTTGGGGGTCACACCCAAGGGTGCTCAGGGCCTACTCCTGGCTCTGTACTCAGGGTTCAATCCTGGTGAGGCTCAGGCAACCATATGGTGCCGGGGATCGAACCCTGGTCAGCCTCATGCAAGCCAAGCACCCTACCTGCTGTACTACCCCTCCAGCCCATGTGTTAAGGCCAACTTGACTTCTGTTTTTGCTTTGGGGTCAAACCCAGCAGTGCTCGGGACTCACTCCGAGCTGGCTCAGGTACAAACACTTGAGAGAGGAGAGGAGAGACACGTTCTATCCGCACATGCGAACTCGCCCTGGCCAATGCCCTGAACGCGTTCACAAATGCTTAAAAGTAGGTTACGTGCAGGGTTCACGGATTCTACAGGAACAATTTTTGTATCTAATGCACACAGTGGGTGCTAATGTATGAATGCTGGGACAGTCCAGGCTGGACACATCCTGTTTTAAGCTCCACAGAGACGTTGACTAATTGCTTCCATGACCCTGTTCTGTTCTTGCTCAAGCAGCCAGATCAATCTGGTCTCCAGGACTCTGATTTACGGCCTCTTCATCTCTGCCCAGCTGCCAGGACGGGGCACTCAGAGCTCGGGCCTTGAATTCCCATCTCTTCTCCTGATTTCCTGGCTACACTACCCACTAATTCATATTCCCAGTATTTGAGTTAATTTCTGGTTTGTTTGGAGGTTTTTTTTTTTTTTTTTGGCTTTTTGGTTCACACCAGGTGATGCTCAGGGGTCAGTCCTGGCTCTGCACTCAGGAATCACTTCTGGCGGTGCTCAAGGGACCATATGGGATGCCGGGGATTGAACCCGGGTTAGCTGCATGCAAGGCAAATTTCCTCCCCACTGTACTATGGCCCCAGCCCCTTGTTTATTTTTTGAATTTGGGTTGAGGACACAGAGCTCAGGGACTGTCTTATCAATGATTAGCGGACCACAAAGATACCAGGGATTGAAACCGGGACCCTCACATATGTTCCAAACCTTCGAGCTATCTCCTGGCTCTTGAGTAAATTTTTTGGCTTATTTGTTTTGGGGTCATATCTGGCAGTGCTCAAGGTTTATCCCTGGCTCTCTGCTGAAGGGCAACTCCCAGCAGGCTCAGAAACAAACATATGGTGTTTATAGCTCTAATCATTTTAGGTTTCACTTTGGATTGTCCTTGCTCATGCCACAGGGAGCTTAGACTGATTGAGTTACTCCCATCACAGTGCTCTTAAGGCAATCTCAATTCCATAGGGCACTCCCAGTCCTCTGTGCTTATTTTTTTTTCTTTTTGGGTCACACCCAGTGATGCACAGGGGTTACTCCTGGGTCTGCCCCCAGGAATTACCCCTGGAGGTGCTCAGGGGACCACATGGGATGCAGGGGATCAAACCCGAATAGGCCACGTGCAAAGCAAATGCCCTCCCCGCTGTGCTATTGCTCCAGCCCCAAGGTGTTTATCTTTAATCTCTCCTCCGTGCTCTTCTCCTCCTAGCTGTGAATCACTTAAATCCCCAAATCAGACCCTGGGACTTGGAAAGTCAGATTCTTCTGAGGGCTCAGGATTTTGTATATGTAATATGAAATATTGTTTTTCTCTTTCTTTTATGTCCTTGCATGGTTTATTTTAGTACAATGTCCTATTTGTATAGACACAGGGAGACAGTTAATGCTTAATGTTTTTATAACATGGGAGTTAGTTGACTTCGAATAATATTAAGTACTGGCATCCATCGTATTGACTTAACTTAAGCCTCAGTTGCCCTTAGTTCCTAACACCCCAGAAGGGGGTCCCGGAGAGGGACTTGGATG